GGTCTTCGCGATCTGCGCTGTTGCGCTAGTCACGTCTGATTTTGCACCTACCCAATCGGTGAAGCCTCTCGCCCGGACGTCTAGAACATTTATCCCAGCCCATCTCTTGCTCTTACAACACCATCATCTGCGTCAACGTGATCGATCGTGAACGTTCCAAAGTGCGCAACTTCTATAGAATCGGACGATAGATATGGATGATTTCAATGGCGCGACCGACCGCTTCTTGGCGTGGTTCAAGGCTGGCGGAGGCGTCTTTCGAGACGACTTGCTTGAGATACAAGATCTAAGAGCCAAGGACGCAGGTCGAGGAATAGGTAAGCCTGCGAGTCAGGTGTGCACGATTTGGGCCTTGATTGACAGCATGCAGTCGCAAAACAAGACATACCAGAAGACACAACGTTATTCACTATACCTAGAGATTTAATCATTAGTGTGAACACATCGCAACTACCAAGCAAACTACCCAAAGTCTTCGATACGTTGACGGATGGCGAAGCCGATGATGAGAACGAACCATTGGATTCATGGACTTCTCTGATATTGGTCATGATATACGAGTATCTACAAGGCGATGCGTCACGCTGGAAGCCATACATGGATGTACTGCCGACAACTTTCGACACACCCATCTTCTGGTCCGACTCGGAAATCAAGGAGCTCCAAAACACCTGTCTATCAACGGAGAAGATTGGAAAGCAACAAAGTGATGAGATGCTGCGATCACAAGTCGTGCCAGTCGTTCAGCAGAACCCGGGGATATTCTATCCTGATGGAGCTAGTGAGTTGGGTGAGGAAGAGTTGCTTGCTCTTGCACATCGTATGGGTAGCACGATCATGTCGTACGCATTCGATCTCGCCAATGAGCACGAAGAGGAAGACGAGGAGGAAGACGGTTGGGTTGAAGACCGGGAAGGTACCACGCCGCTTGGTATGGTACCCATGGCGGACATACTCAACGCTAATGCCGAGTTCAATGCACATGTGAACCACGGTGACAGCCTTGAAGTCACATCACTCCGTTCAAAACTGCCAGCTAGCTCGGAAGTACTCAATTACTATGGTCCGTTGCCGACATCAGAGCTACTACGTCGCTATGGATATGTGACACCCGAACACCACCGATACGACGTAGTTGAGCTACCATGGAGCCTTGTTCGCGAAGCGCTCATCCAAGAGCTCAGTCTGTCGGACGATATCGTCGCAAAGATCGAGGTAAGCAGCCGGTACAAACTCTCAAGTGAATGCACTGACAGTATCGTAGGCCAAGCTCGAAGAGGACGAAGAGCTAGAAGAATACTTCATCATCGAGCGAGATTCCGGCGAACCAAATTCGGAAGGGCAGCTCACATATACAGCTCAACTCCGCGACATTTCGCAGGAGCTTGAGGAACAATTCAAGGCTGTGCTGAAGGCTCTCAAGAAGAGCAACCCCGGGCTCATCGCGGAGAAGCGGAAGCGCGATGATATCTTCAACACCGTTGTGACCAAGGCGCTCGCCGCTAAGCTGGCGCAATATCCGACATCAACAGAGGACGATGAGAAGCTATTGAAGGTAGGAAGCTTGGAAAAGAGACATCGCATGGCCGTCGAGGTCAGGCTTGGTGAGAAGAGGCTGCTGCATGAGGCGCTGGCTTTATCACAGGGTGATGAAGATGAAGTGAAGGGACAGACAGGAAAGAAAGCGAGGCGCAAGGAGTGATGTCACGTGATTACCTTACGGGTACAATAGGCCCCTTCCTTGGCAGATAGGACCTTGGCTTTTACAATAACAATTCCATAACCCATATATCTCGCAAGTGAGGTCGTCGTCTCGTCCACGGCTGCTCGTTATCTGAGTCATATCTGCATGAAAACTTTGCCTGACTACACAAAGCACTTGTCGCACTCGCAAGAACTTTTAGAACCTGTTTCCCGTACTCGTAGTTCGTACAAGCAGATAAGCGAGTACGCGATCCGGCACTAGTCTTGGATGGGCAAGCCTAGCGCAGTACGAAACAGCGGAGCAACGACGTCCCATCCAACGCATTAGCAGGAATACAGATGTCCTAGCAGGAGAGTAAAAGCCTTGGTTTGCACGCGTATGCACGGTTTTACTCGTACTGCGTGTCTGTTGAGCCCGTACATATAAGCCGCGAGGCTGTGTGAACATTGCAAATTCCTTGGCGGGGGTAAAGAGGTATATCATACATATATAGGACAGGGCGATAAGTTTCTGTGACAACAACTGCGAGACCTTATTTTATCCCTATGATTCGTTGCATTGCTTAGCCAAAAAAGACTTACTCCGGAGCAACGATAACAACGACACTTCGACTGCACTTCCCACCGCTACGCCAAAGCTTCGAATATGAACCCTTTCGCTACCTTATCCGCATTTGCGAACCGATTCAACCGCACCATCCACATCACGCAAGCCGTCCTCGTGCTCGGAGCTTTTATCACAGGATGTGCGCTGCTCGCAGACTCGTCAATGCCACGCGGGCGCTCCACCACGCTGGTCCTCGTCTACTCGATCAAATCCGCCGTGTTCTTATTGTACCAGTATCTCACCACACATGTGGATCGGTTCCGCCGGTTCGGTAGCCCGCGGGTGAACTTCTTCCTTGATGCGTTCGATTGCCTGCTTTGGTTTACGGCTTTCATCATCTCGTGTATGGGCGGCAAGCGCTGCGTGGGCAGTAGCTGTACGACAACTGGGATTGCGGCCACCTTTGCGCTGTTGTTAAGGTAATTTGTGTAGTCAAAGGTGGCGTGCGAGTTTGAAGTATATACTGACCAGCGTAGTGTATCATATTTTATCACGTCCGTTGGCATTAGTTGGCCTAAGTGGAGAGAGAGCAAGAAACTCCAGCATGTGGAGCAGGTTTGAAAGCTTTAATTACGATCGTCGGCGATCGCTTAGTTGCAAGGCGGAGAGAAGGCTGCGGACAGGAAGGCAAATAAGAAGGCGAGTCGCAAGAATTGAGATATTCGTCACGTTCAGAGCATCTTATCGGAGGGATCATCACTTAATTGCATCTGGACCTGACCATATCCAACACAGCTCACGCGCAATACACATGCGCATCTAGACCGTGATTTTCTCATTAGCAGTCATATCACGGTCGTCACGCTCAGCAAACACGCTATAGTTGCGTATTATCAGCTGCTCGACGTATGTAGCTTGAACTACAAGAAGATGAACATCGAATGTGCACGCAGCAGCGTAGATTCAGTAAGCTTTCCGTGTTTAGCACTACTCAAAGACCGGGACCTGTGATCATCCCTGCCCCTACTCGTGCTCCTTTTTTGCAAGAACGACATCAGCCTGAAGATATGCAGCCGGAATCTGGGGCTTCGAAGCTTATGGAATAGCTAGAGCTCCCGCCGAGCTTTTGTGGGGCGTCGTTTTCTGAGTCGACGCGTGAGTTGATCCTGGAGCCCTTAGGCTTGCGGTCGGTAGTCGGGGCTGAAGAAGAGATAGCGATACCATGAGTACATGTCACTAGGTAGGTGCTATCAGGGACTAACTAGTACAGTTACAGCCTTACCTAAGGACTTCAGTTTATGGGTGTTGCTGATAATGCGCGTCATTATGGGTATGTCCATGGGCAGTCTGATGGAAACATGATGGATGAGAGGTTGAGTGGGCTTGGTGAGGGTGACATAAGAGTTGATTGGAAGCAGTAAAATGGGAAAGTTTACTCCGTATGAGTGCGGTGTAGTTCCGAGAACGTGGATGTTGGATAACGATATCATTCTATACGCTACGTCCTCTTGTCCCCGGTATCAAAGTTGCGTCTTCCTCACTACAGTTGTATGTACAGCTCGAGTGTCTTACATCAGTTACTAGAAGAGTAAGGGTTGGCTGGAGTGGATGAGACTGTAATTTAGGCATTGTCCAAATGTGTTTGCAGAGTCATGTGGAGTAAGAAAAGCTGATAACAACATTATGCGCCTTGAGGGTGTTGTAATGTCGAGCCTCAAGGTCAGCCTCACTCTTAGCCTGCTCTTCAAAAGTTCTTACCGCTCAGTCAGCTATGCATGAGCAAGGCTGGAGGATGACGGATGTCTATCCATCCAGCGGTGCCTGGCCACATGTCGAAGGGCACAGTGTTGTTTCAAACATTACTAGTGCGGATTCGTTCTTGCTGAATGAGTGGTCGAATAGTCAGGGCGCGGCTGCATATCTAATCTCGTGATGCATCGAAGGGCACAGTGGCGTTTTGTACTAGCCGGATTAGGTTGAGGTCCTTCTCAGCCTCACAAAGGCGAAAGAGTGTCTAGTAGCCGTCGCACGTCAGGCGTATCGTGCTTGATTTTCGCTTTCGAAAGTTAACTGTTACTGGCAACTTACTACGACCGACAGAAGACACGATACCACGAACGCATTCACAGCGCTCTCCGGCGACCGACCGTCTACAGCTCAAAACATATCTCTTAGTTTGTCCCTCATCTGGACGACTCTTCACGTACACTGCAATTAACTCCGTATTCCGAGCTGTAAAGAAGACTGTTCAGCATGTCTCCTGCTTCAGCCATCAGTCAAACAGGCGATGAAGACTTCGATTGGGCGATCGATATTCTGGATACTCAGCCTGTGGCTAGTGAGGCTGGCCTTGGGTAGGATTTTTTTTTACCCTTGCTAACTCGCTACACATATGGCAGAACTTGGTCACTAGTGGGTAGTCCCACGCTAGTGGAGGACGCCCGAGCCGTGTTGGACGGGGATGCCGACTACCTCTTGGGTCACGATGAACCCCTTGCCGGTATCGAAGGCCCCTATGGTATGAATCAGGGGATCCTTAACGATATAGCCTCACATGTCATGTACATACCCGTCGTTACGCAGGTCAGCGGTCCAATATCAAAGGTGTAATTGCAGGCAATAGCACTAACTTTACTTTGAAAGAATAGTAAGAGATCGGTTGTTTCTCACTGCCAAAGGGATACGTAGAAAGAGCAGTGTTTCTTATTTCTCTTATACAATCATTCCCTTTCCTTTTACCTAGAATCATTCATGCGGTACCTGGTGCAAACGCTGCTGCTATACCAACGAGCTTAACCCCAAGTACTTCCTGTTGTTCTCCTGGGCCCAAGGCACCCTTCACAGGATACCTTGCCTCGAAGCGGATACTTCTTCCTTCGACGATCAACGCAACTTCGTAATCGACTTCCCAGAAGCATCTCTTAGATCCTTTGTGTATGCTAACTTCAGATGGGTACTGCGGCACAATACGACCTTCATCTTTCAATCTTGTCAAATCGGTCTGGAGAAAGCCGACCATGACAGCTCCTGCCCTGATGTTAGCTTCGTATGAGCATTGCGAGTCGACGCCACCTTTGTTCTTAATGTTCGTTTTTCTGTAATGATCTGGTCTCGGTTCGTCACACATCCAAAGCTGTTCAGCGCTCAACAACTTCTTTCTTGTCAAGGGAAAAGTATGCTTGACGTGGAAAGTGAAGGCTTGCATGTTCTCCACCCTTTCACCCTGCCTCAAAGTCAATGAAGTGCAGAATCAAATCCGCAATATATCTACTGACTGCTTGTAAGACCCACCGGATAGTCTCGTCAACATATCGTTCGCCGTCAACGCGGTTGATTCGGCATGTTGTTCCCCTGTGCTCTGGTATGTTCTCAGGATCGTACGATTCACTGAAGAGAAACCCGTAGCTGCATTGTGTAATGCGGCTTGGTCCAAATCTTTTGTTCAGTGCTCGGAGGACCGCGCCTCTAGCTACTGCGGTTGATCTAATGGCTCGTTAGTCTATGGTACCTAACTTGCATATCTGGAAGTGAAATTGACTGACGGGCTTCGTGGGACGATGAGATCAATTTTCGCTCCCTTACAATCTGCACGTTTCGCAAGGTAGTTTCTCAGGTGACTTTGGAGTGAAGGCGATTGACCAAACCCGCCGGTTAAAATGACCTTCTCGACTTGTCGATTCTTGTTCTCTGCAAGCTCCAGTTGGTTCTCCAGAACTTCCTTCGCACAGTCTAGCGATGGCTGGAAGAACTTCTTCATTGTTTTCCTGGAAGAGCAAAGTCAGCTTTTGCAATCATGCGACGAAAGTGAGGAGAGAAATCACCTCTTCAGTTCTAGGTTGTTTTGATAGAAGCCTTTTTTCTGATTCTCTCTGAGATTCTCGATATGTACTATGTATGTTTCTTCTTTTCGCTTGGTGATATCGATGATCCGCTTTTGATAATTCTCGAAGATAGTCGTTCTGATTCCCACGATGCTTCTCAATGTCTTCGGATTGTGTACGTCATTGACCAGGTATTTCTCGTTCGCGAGCTTCTGGAGTAGTTTTTGCTCAAATCGTTCGTTGATGAAGCTTGCCCCAAGTAATTGACCTTCGCAAAGTTAGTCTTGACGCTTTCGTTGGCCGATTGACTCACTATCGGGGGCAATGACCTCCTCAGCCAACCGCACAGGATCGCTGTTCACGCATCTGTATGTCACAGCATCCACTGTGCCTCCTCCCGCATCGAGGATCACAGCTGTCTCATTGCTCTGTGGGATGTTATCAGCGAAGAGGTCTTTGATGATCAGGAAAGCTTACATAGAGTCTACATCCTGCCTCTGCAAGGATACACTCAGCAGCAGCCTCTGGCTCCGAGATCATGAACAAGTTACAAACGTCGTCCTCGGCATTTTTGCTGAGACCGACTTCCTTTACAGCCTCCTCTAGTGCCGTCTGCATAACTCGACATGCAGTGACAGGCCATTTAGCTGGCACACACAACACAAACTCGATAAGCATGTTCTGTTGGAGCTCATGCGAAGAAAGTAGTTGTTCCTTTGTGTGGTTTAGCAGGTGCGTTAGATAATGCCTGTAAATATCTGTGTCCTTATCGATGATACCCCGTTTCCTCAGTGCTGTCAGAGTGGACCGGAGTTCGTCCCGAATGTGATCAGTCGCGCTTTTCGAAACAAGGTTGAGTTTGATTCTGGTGAGTGGCCGAGCCTCATCAAGAGGGGCATTCAAGACGTTGAGCTTTTGCTGGACCTCGTAACCCCAGTATTGCTTTGCTTTGCTCGGTCCTGTGGATCTAGTTTGTGTTTTGGCAAGGTCCTCGATTCCATTGCTATCCTCGAATTGCAATCGTGACTCCTCATCCTCGGATTCATCATCGTCGCTGCTTGACACTTCGTCATCGCTCACGCAGCTTTGATGGTCATCGTCGGATGTGTTGGCAAATCGCTGTCCCCCACTTCCTGTGCGTCCATGATCGTACCACAACTCAGTTGGCACATCTTCTCGAAAATCTAGTTTACCAGGTGGGGGTTCGTAGCCTGGGTAGTTGCCAATGCATCTCACATGACTGATGTCCACGTTCTCTGGTGAGGCGCCTCTCGGTATAACGGTGTATGCAACAGAGCTGAATGTTGTACCGAAGTCGATAGCGATAATCATACGGTCCTCGTAGACGTTACTCAGACGGCCATGATCCATCGAGGGTACATTCGTAGTGATGAGGTCGTCCTCCTCTATCGTCATCTCGACGTCCGAATCCTGATCCATGTTTTCGAAGAAGAATTCCGATCCAAGGTCAATGTGGCCATACTTGACTGCTGAGCTTCGGGTTGAAGGTGTCATGTTTCCATGCGTGTGTGATTGAAGAAAATGATCGATCAATCCAGTCGAGTGGTAATCAAATGCACAGAAGCAACCGTGAGATGAGAAACTTCACAAGTGCTAGGAGAAGTCAAACACAATGGGTTCGACTTGCTACCCATGTACGAACCCCGCTTGTCTTTGTCTGCGCACGGCGCACACATGTCAACGTAAACGGATACGCAGGAGTGCCAGAAAATGTTTCATAACGCGAGTCAGCCTTGCAGCCTACCTGGCGTTCTGCATGCAAGCAGGGATGGAATCCTATCACCGCCCCCAATGAAGTCGCGCTAGCCACAACTGAGAAGGCTCATTGCGAACCCTTGAAAGTATGCAGAATATGAACAAACATCTAAAAGGCTCATGTAGCCTGCCCCTATGACTTTCGAGCAGATTTTGGAGCATCGATATTTCGATAGCAGACACACGCATACTTCATTTTTGACACCTACATCCTGATCTCAATGGCGATTTCAGTCCTTTTGGAAATTTTGGCGATCCTCGATCTTCTTGTTCAAGGCCCTTCGACTAGATCGGTGCAGGACCCAGACTATGCGGAATACATGGAGGAAATCTTGGCACAGATTGCAGCAAGATTGGAATCCCCATTGACAACTGAGGAAATCAGAGAGCGTCTTTTGCAAGAGCTGCGAGTCAGAAGGAGGTATCCCAATGATGTTCTAAAATTCCTTCTCCTTCAGGGCACGGAAACGATCCAACTCGAACTTGACCGCGAGAGTAAACGGCAGATCGAAGAGCACGTAAAGACACTTCAACGAAAAGATCCTATAGGAGGAGCGCAGCGGTCTCGACGCGCACGATCCACCGTTCCGGATGCTGCTAAGCAACAGAAAAGAGCTTCAAGCGTTGCCACCTCTGGATCCTTGCAGAGCTCCAACGTCAGTGTATACTCATCAAGGATCAACGAGAGGAATGCGGTATCGAAGCTGAAGATAGCAACCAAGGTAACAATCTCCAAGCTGTGCACGCCAAGAATGCTGACCTGGATAGCGAAAACGCAAAACACAACGGGATGACGCCATACTATCAAACAACCCTGTACCTAGTGCCAAAAACCCTTGCGCTTCCGATTGTTTTCAGGCCACCGTTCCTTCAGAGGCGATCGTAGATCTGCCAATTTCGACCTCAGATGAATCATTGTCTGGACGACGACCACCAGTCCCTGAGACTACGAAGCGAAGCAATGACTCAATCGATCCACATGCGTCGATTCATGCCACTTCCAAGAGAAAATTGTCATCTACGGATATCGTCGAATCTACTCAGGCAGTCATGGCTTCTGAGCTAGCCTTCTATAAGAAACGCTATCAGAAAGTTAAAGAGGAATGCCTCATCCTGGAAAACCAGCGGCGACAAGTCGCAGGCCTAGGGCAACTACCGGGAGACGTAACAACAGTTCTCAATCAAAACACCCGAAGAATCGCAACGCTGGAGATGAGGCTCAAAGATCGATCAATTCTGGAACGGTATTTATCATTCGGCAAGACCCCGAATGTCATGCAAAACTCACAACGACTTATTGGTCTATACCAAGACCTTAAAAATAGCATCGCTATGGTGCTAGTTAAGAATAGCGCCAAAGAGTATGCTACCGGGAGCCTCCTAGGTATCTCAGCCGACTTAGATAGTCTTTTGTGCAGCGTGTTTGGAATTAACACTCCTTGCAATCTCGAGGAGAAACGATGCAGCTTCCCGGCTTTAACATCCTTCGAGCTTATGCAAGCTCTGACAGGAGCTTGCATCTACAACTGGATTTTTGGGGCCGAGTTTCAAGCGCATGTGATGCGCACCACACCGCTCTTAGAAGAGTATCGCAGCCTTATCACTACCTGTGGTAAGCTCGAAACTATCGACTCCAAGTAGGACAGTGCTTATATCTTACAGGTAGTCGCGAGAGTCTCTGTGACTTGGACCTCGCAGTCCACAGGTCCATCTTAGAGAGTGAAAGCTTCAAGAAAGTTATCATCCCAAAGATGGCCAGAATGTTCAGAAAGCGCCTTACACATACAATCAAGCTTCTCCTCAAAAAGAAGTCTAAAAGCAAAGCGATCAAGAAACTGCGATCATCGTTAAAGCCCGTGTTCACGTTGGCAGTAGAGGTTCGCGCAGAGTCCTTGCTAAGCGCCAGTAACTTCGAACTCATATGGCCTGTAGCAGGATCAGCGGTCAGTGGAGCAGACATGGAAATGACCAGTTCAAAACCGATTGCAGGTCCGGGAGTTGTCAAGTTGCCTCTTCTTCCAGGTCTACGTGCATTTCCCAAAAAGAAGACGATGGTTGGATATCAAGGATTCGCACAGGAAACATCGATCAAACTGCCGCAAGATTACGTAGTCAAAGCATTAGTACTCTGTTAAAATGAAAATCACGTTCAGGGGATCGCTGGGATCGCGGACACTATCGCTGATGCACTTCTGCTAGGTAACTCGTGAAAGGAACCAAGCCTAACTGATCTTCACCCTACTGCAGCCTGTTACTTGGGTGGTATGACATCCCGCATGGACTTAGTATCGATCCTTTGAAATGTGCTGTAGGCGGGACGCTGTGGTTCCGTGGCATGCGGGTTAGCAGCCGAGCCGCCGGAACAACTGTGCCACACAAATTGATAACGAACTTGGAACCAATCAGACGAGTCCAAGAACCAGCCACGTTCCATTATTAATTTTCTGACGCAACATCCTGGGCAAGTGTCACACCGGCGGCTGAAGCCTTCCATCACAAGTCTGATTAGGATTGACTCCCGATGCAACAGTGTTACGACAAGAAAATAAAGCAGCACAATTCGGTCCGGGCCCTAGCTCAGCATGTATGCTCAGACAATATCCGCAGCAGCTTGAAGCATGGATCTGTCACCAAGCGTGCATGTTGTTTCCAATCAACGCCGCTTTTACGAGGCAATTTCAAACAACGATAAGGCTCTTCTCAGACTCCATGCTGAATGCTCAGGGGCTTCCACTCGATCCCCGCAAGCTTGATGCATGCAGTAAATCAGTGTGTCCAAGCGATGGGTTGCAAAGAGTGCATCTTCTCATTCCATGTTTACCTGACTTCGATGGTAGAACGGAGCAACTGACGTAGCAGAACGGCACTACCACGAGGAAAGAATTACAGTCAACAATCTGCAAAGATTTCGTGTATGCATCCGGAGCGGTGCGACCAGGATCCAGGTGTGGACCGTTGCTCAGCCTCGTCGGCAAGGTTTAAACGCTTCGGCGTGGCACCATCTACGCAACCGAGAACCTTTAAGCACAGACTCACCATGCTAGTGTACCCTCAGCTACTTTAGCACCCGTCGGTCCCTCGGTTACGATACGATTTGTCTTCTGATGAACGCGTGAATGTCGCCTACGCCCCACACTTGTGAAAGTGGTCAATCCAACATCGCTAATGCCACCAAAGAAAGATCAACTCTCGCCGGCAGACTTGCGCCAGAAAGCCCATAGTCATGGCATTCGATTTCCTGGACCGGTACCTCCATCAGCATGGCCGAATGAGTACAAACACAACTTTGAAGTCATACGCGCACTCCAGTTCTTGCGTTACGAAGACTACAAAGATACCGAGCGCATTCCTACTAGTCATAAAGTGGGTTACCAGAAACGCGTCAAGGAACTGCGTGAGAAAGTCCGATATCTACTCAAGGATATCGATCCCAACGAGTCTTCATGGCGCAAGCTTGAAGACCCTATATTCGGCATATTTGACGACCCAGTCATATGGTACGTCGTAGACCATGCGGACTTCTGCATAGCTGAGCTGACTTGAACAAGTGAAAAATGCAACAATGAATTGTTGAAGTCAGATTATGAGGCGGTCTCTTCTAACAACGAGCTTCAGAGCAGGCTTCATGATAGACGAAACATGAGAAGACTTTGCGCTTGCAATGGTAGGCGGCCACAGGGACAGATGAAAGATGAGTAAGTCCTCTTCAGTCGACTTATCGACCATGAGCTGAGAAGGTAGTGACGAAGAGGCCGGATCTATCTTTTGCTCAGTAAGGGAGGAGACTATAACCCACGCACCTGGAGATCATCTTGACGCTTCAAGAATTTCCATGCGACCAGATGCCGCGATAGGTTTACGGAAACCATCATCCGTAGCATGGAATGAAACTCATTTTCCGGCGAAGAACAGACACGACTTATTTCTACCGTTTCTCGTCATTGAAGCGAAGAAAGAGAAAGACGCGCCAGGGTTTCGATCGATCCAGTACCAGACCGCGTTTCCTGTTCGACGATTTTTGAAGGCTCAGTCTGACATCGATAGTCGTGACACATCTTGTGAGCCTTGCTTGGTCTGGTTCTTCGCGTATCAAGGTGAGCAATGGCGATTACATGCAGGCACTCTAGATCACGACAAAGTGGTGAGTTTTGTCTCGTAGACTTGGCGGGTGTCAGAGCTGACCGTGCCAATCGTTCTAGAGAATCTATGATCTATGGCAAGGGACAATACAGTCACAGGATGGGGCGCTACAATTGCTACTCATCGTCGATTATATCTGGTCGTGGGCACGGGATATATATCGCACGACTGTCAGGAACCTCATTGCGAATTCAAGGACTAGCTTTCGTATTGTTTCTCCAGTTTCTACAGATCGATTCCGCAACTCGATTTCACTCTGTCCCACTTCCAGCTCAGCGCTTGATTCCCAAGATCTAGACGGAATACAGATCGACGGCACTGTGGCTGAACGCGATCGATCTCAGCGACAAGAGAGTACAGAACCAGTGTTTCTCAAAGACGCAACAACTCATCCGTTCCTTCGTTGGGCAGTCGGTCACTCAGAGTCGCCTTCTTGGACTGCACTTGGCAGCATTCGTCACGCCAATATCGTACAGCTCGAGTTCCAATATCACCATCACTGCGCAGCCGCTACCTTTTTGGAAGAGGACATACTCTCGAACCAAGATCGATCATTGAAGTCACTGTTAGAAAATCACTCTATCATAATATCTAGAGAACAGTTGGATGATGTCGCATTTATTTGGGGAGCGCGCAATCAATCGGTCCAGGGCCTTGGTCTGGCACATGCCATGCGAGCCACATTCTATTTCAAAACTTACTGCAGCCAATCTTCATGGCAGATTAAGCGAGTATTACATTGCAACATATGGGAAGAAGAGCAGATCCCTTTCTCCAAACATCCCAACACGGAAGACATTATGAAAGCCATGCTGAAAGTTCGTAACATTCACGGCAGAGCATCCGCATGGCTTGCTCTACGATCTACGGACTTGATTTTGCGGCCAACACAAGGAGGGGGAGGCCTGGAGTGGGTACTACCTGCAGACAGCAACCTATCAGAGAAGGTATCTGATATCCTTAGTGGACTTGCAACTGGAAGAAGTCAAGGTACTGAAGGCGTATGTCGCGTCCGCCTTGACAATGGGCTCTTCTGGACTGCTACCGTCTTGAGCAATCAAGATCAATGTTTACCCCCATCATGGGGGGAAGACAATAGGACTGGAGACTATCTGCTTGCTATTCGTTCCTCTTCATGGTCTGATACGGTTCCCAAGTTTTGCTTGTTTGTACCTGCCGAGACCGACTACGAGTCTGGGAGCGAGCTGTTACACTTTCTCGACCTAGCTGTATCAGAGAACAGTTTCTATAGTGATGACAACTGTCAGTTGAGTAATCATGACAGCATGGCACTCCGTCACGGATTCTGTACATGGCGCACAGCGCTTACGCTCGAGAGGAAGAACACTGCGTGATCGCCTAGACCATCCTTAGGGTGGGTTGATGCGCGCTAGCACGCGACGATGTAGTGTATGACATCCTCACTTGCTACCATAGTATCATTGTTAACCACATCTCATGAATCATATTGTCAACATAACTGTCAGACCAAATATGTGCTGTCAAGCTTAGACTTCCCCTTCTCCTTAGAGCAACTAGCACGGGATCTAAACGTGTCGCATTAGTGTCTGATTGTTGCATTGAATCCATAAAACCCCATTCCGCCTAGAGAAGCATAACAGCGCTCAGCGAGATTGATATCATGCTTACCAGCCCAAGCAATGCTTCGTCTGGGAGCTCATATCTGTTATTGACACCTCGATCTTCCATCGTTTGTTAAATATACTACTGCTCATGGCAATACAGACTGCAGTTGATGTGACGTGAGAAATGCTAGCTATCAGGTGTGGCTGAGGACGTGGGAACACTCTAGTAGGTCAAGTTGGCTGGCGATTTCGTATACACCTGTCTTAGGTCTTACACAGCCGAAGTCGTCCTAGCAGATGCTGCAGAATTGACTCAGCTTGACAATTAAACTTCTTCTAGCAGGATTCCTCATAACTGGTCTTCGATTCAAGGAACGAGACAATTGTCACAGCATTGAAGTTACAGTGTTGGTGCGGCTGGAATGCTCGACGTGGTATGTTGTTTCGGCCTATGCAGTGTATTCTTGTAGTGAATACTCTGAGCCGCAGTAACGGACAGGAGAGAGACATTACGAGTCGAGATGCTGTGGTACCTTTTACGGCGTGAAAACTTAGAGCTATGGCCATAGCTACTCCAAAAGCTGACAGGATACCTACCTATAGTTTCTAATCGCCCTCTAAGTCTGAGGAAGCACATAAGCGTGAGGCTGAAAAGCAACAGCTACATGAGGCTGCGGCTGCTAAAAGATTCTCTAGAGACGAGCTTCAAGCTGCTGCCAAGTTCCTCCAATACCAGGAGAAGGAAAAGCGTCGTGTGGTATTCACGATACCTGAGTAACCTCATCTTTGTGGTAGTGAGCATGGTGTTGGTGGGGCACGAGCCCGGTCTGCACGGCAAGTGTCGCCTAGATCATCTCAAGATCGTTGACGATACCCCGCACGAGGCTGAGTTCCAGCTGCTTCCTTTCTATCACTCTTCGCTGCCTGTTGCCCAGTTTCTTCCCATAATCTCCTCTCATCAAATATCTTGTTCAGCATCGAAACTCCTTTGACCGCTTGTACGGTCGGCCATTAGAGTGAACGACGTACTGGCTGGTGATTAACACATCCTCACTACAACATGACTTCTTACACTTACTCCGACCTGCGCGAGAACGAGATACGACTGCTCCGGCTACTTCCTGCCAACGGCAACTCTACTGACGGCATTTGCATTGTTCTGGACCACGCACCACTCTTTCCCCGGGATATGCAGTCGCAATCGCAAGCACGACTTCGTTCTAAAATCAAACTTAGGGAGCAGTTGCCAGATGATTGGAGGGTGTTTGCAAATCCGGAGGGTAAACACTTCTTTGCATCAGGCTGGGATGTGCAATACGAGCACCCAAATGCAGCTATCGATGCAAGACTTTATGAAGCGCCCGTTGGAGGTACTCGAGACAACTCGCAGCCTGATTAAGAGGCGCTTTCGTACGTTTGGGGTTCACCAGATGACTCAGTGTCTATATTGGTATATGGAGATGACACTGCGCTTTCCAAACCCATTGAAGAGCGGGTAATGTTCTCAATGCAGGTCCGCCGGAATCTTGCAGATACACTACGTCATTTGCGTCTAGTCGATACACATCGAGTCCTTTGGGTGGATGCAGTGTGCATAAACCAACGCAACATGGCAGAGCGTAGCCGAGATGTAACTCGGATGGGATTGATATACCATCAGGCAAGAAGAGTTGTCGCGTGGCTAGGGATGTCTACCTCGGCAGTGGTCAAGCACTTGCAGCGCTAAAACATCTGGCAAATGTAGTGGAGATATCGGACGATGGCTTGATCTTCCGCTCGACGAATAACAAGAGTAACTGGCGTCCTCGCGTCGACAAACCACCTCTAGACGATGAGACATGCAAAGAACTCGTAGCCCTCTTCTCTCGTCCCTACTTCTACAGACTGTGGATCGTCCAAGAGCTTCGCCTGGCCAGCCAACATTCTCTGATACAATGTGGAGGCGACATCCTCACTTTGTCTGAACTTCGGAGAGCGACAGAAGCGCTTTCTGAGGCTAGACACGTTCCATCACTGCTTGGTAGACACATGAACTGGTTGGCTTTCTCAACTAGTCCTCACACAATGTTCATTGCGCTTCTTGGTCAGAGTCGCGCTCGCCAGTGTTCCGACATGCGCGATAAGATCTACGGTCTGTTGAGTTTACTGCCCTCACAGCTAGCCGCTCGTATCAAGCCCAATTACACCATATCTTACCAGGATGTGTACAAAGAGTTCTGCTTAAACTACATGCATATCACGGAACGCCTGGATCTCGTACCAATGTGTAGCACCCAAAGATCTGATGAGACAGGTGCAACCCTTGCCTCCTGGACTTTGGATCTGTCATGTATAGCTCTCAAGACAGTACGCCTCAGAGTGATGCAAGCAGCAGCAAATTCACGAAGCGAGTACAGCTATGTCCCACCCCATCGATTAGATGTCACAGGTATTCGCCACGCGAGAGTTGTCACTCGAAGCGCACCAATCCCGCCGAATACTGCACAAGCCGCTGAGCTGTTCGAGACACATCGACCCAGTGGATTGTCCAACAAACTTACCCGACCGATGAAAGCGTGCTCGATGCATGGATAAGACTTCTCCAACTCGACCTGCTTCGAGACAGACATAGGCACACTGATCAGCTGCCCCTATTGGAGGATCTAAGAACGCGCTGGTCTGATGCAATCACTCAATATCGAACGCCTTGGGAGTCAAGTCTGATCTCTCCCCTTACAATAGAGTATCTGCTTGGTGCATCATTGATGGAGTTAGATAATGGCTACCTCGGCTTTGGACCATCCGATGTACAACCTGGAGATAGTGTCGTTGTACTCCTGGGCTGCTATACTCCAATGATTCTGCGCCCTCAGGGGGACGGAGCCTATATTGTTATCGGGAGCTGCTATGTACAGGGTCTGATGAACGGCGAAGCGTTACTAGGAAACCTACCAAGATCATGGACGGTACAACAACATCTGAATGATGGTGCCATTGTCTTCAAGTACTACAACAGAGACACAGAATGCTTAACGAGCGAAGATCCACGACTGCCTCCTCTTGGCGAGATTTGGAGAAGGATGTACAGACCGCGTACCCCAGATGATCCATTACATGTAGCATACTTCGAACACATTCCCACGGGTTGGATTTTCAGTTCAGATCCGAGACTCGCACCCCATGTTTTGCGCAGTCGAAGAGTCAACTTAGAGACTTTCGTACTGAGTTGATGCATGTTGCATGGCCGTCCTCGCACTCTGGACTTTACTACTTTCAGCCTGAGCCCTCCGATCGCGAGATGTGTTGGTTCTCTTGCATCCATTCCAGGTACAATCAGCTTGGTATCAGATGTGGCGACAAGTCAGCCAAACCAGCCGTGGCCGTAAGCTTGGTTTGTAGAGGTTATTGGTGTTGTAGGCTTAGCCTAATAGGCTTGATAGCTGTGGTGCTTAATACATAGCTAGATCAAAAGTACAGTTTGCAGTTACAGTTATCTGTATCATATACAACACGACCATGTTCCAGAATATTATTATCTCTTTATAATACAAAACATTTTGTACAACACATTTCGTTCAGAAGGCAAGCATAGCAAATGCGAATGCAGGTGCCAAGATAGCTAGGCCAGCGTTCTGCATGGCAGAGGCGGCACTTCCAGTTTGCTTAGGATCAGCGATACCTGAAGCGGTGCTGGAGCCAGAAGGCGAGCTCGAAGAAGACCCGACCATGGAAGACAAGCTGGGTGTTCCTTGTGAGGATGTAGAAGTAGGATTTGAGCTTGCCGATGTGGAGGCGGAGTCGGTTCCAACGCGGTTGGCAGAGTCGCCAAATTTACGGTACCAGTTGTCCTTGTGATCACCAAGACACTCGCCGACAGTGACTCCTTTGTAACCAAGGTCGGTGATGGTTTTGAGCATGAGCTCTGTGAGCTCGTTGGCGGTCTCATGGATGATGTCGTGCGAGATAGAGATTGTAGAGTTCTTTTCAGGTGTCATACCAGGCGCAGTCATGTTGCCATTGAACCAGTCGAGCGAGTTTTGGAACGTATTTCGGGGTTGCTGCTGGTAGTCATCCGTATCAAGCTTGAAGTAGATGATGTGATAACCCATATCCTGCATAAATTGCTCACAACCAGAGTCAGTCGTGCAGCTAGAATAAGGCGGTCGAATGTAAGTCGGAATCTTCCCGACAATGTTGTTCAGTGCACCCTCCACATTGAGAATCTGGTTCTTGCGAACATCTGCGTTGATCTTAGACAAGTCGAGATGCGTCCATGTGTGGGACGCAATCTGATGTCCCTCGGCATCCATGCGCTTTATCACATCGATGTACTCTTGAGTCTCGTCGATCTGCCCCTTGCCATTGTTGTTGCCAGTGATGAAGAAGGTCGCTTTTGCGTCGTACCTTTTGAACAAATCCAGGATAGTTGTGGTCGTGTCTTTCATTGGTCCGTCATCGTAAGTGATAGCGACCTGACCCGGATCTTTACAAGCCCAGAATCCACCATAGATACCGTTACCTCCATAGGGAACTGAGCCAATCTTTGCTCGGGGGATGGACTCGGTACTCTCGCCAGCTGGCTTCTGATTCTCCGGACACCCAGGCCCGTAGTTGTATTGGCAGCCGGGAGAGGAGCAATAACTAGAGTTGGAGCCACAGTCTGCCTGTTTCAGTACACTATCATCGTGGTGCTCAATCTACGTACAGCCAGCTGTTGAACAGCAGCCTCTATCTTCAGGGCATGATCCAATACCCTCGCCACATTCTTTGGGACTTGCGCGTGCCTCCAAGGCCGATTTTATACGTGAGTCGATGCCGAAAGTTCCAGTCTTGAGGCTGTCGAGCAAGGCACTGATCCTTTTGTCATGAGATTGGATCTGCGGCAGTCCAAAGCCACCATGAGCATTTGCGAAAGATGAGAGAGCCGCTGCAGCCGCGACAGTGATGGAGAGGCGCATCGTGCGAGCCGAACAAGTCGAGATTTGATTAATGTACAGTATTGTATAAGCGAGCGAGCGGATGTGTGAGCGCAACTGCTAGACAGTTTATCGCGTAGTAAGCTCCAAACGAGTGTCGTGCCGTGGCATAAAGAACGTTATGAGCCCGAGGAGGAGGAACAGAGGAAACAGCAGGACACGATGCGTGACAGATGCAAGACATAAAGGGCCAACGGCCGAAAGCCAGAAGGATGCCTCGCTTGCAAGGCAATACCAATTTCTTCTCGCACCATAGCCGAAGCGGAAACTCGCAGCGGAGAAGTTGAATATGGTCACTGGTGGCCTAAGAAAGGAAGGCTGGAAAGATCTTAGACTCTGCTTAGTGTAAGGCTGCCTGGTTCCACACGGCAGCCACGAGGTGTGGGTTTGTAGATGAAACCATTGTCAAGGCGCTGCGTCCAGCCCTGGAGGTTGCCAAGCTGCATCTCTCTGCAAAGTGGGTGGTGGTAAAGTGCTTTAAGGATCGTTGCACTATCGATGTTGTTGGCGGCTAAGGGTTTGGGTTTCTTCCAGTTGCAACCCGCGGCACGACCAAGGATGTCATCTAGCGTCGCCTTCTCTTCGTATGTGCACTCAAGATCGGATTTGATCCCATGGTTGGATTTAATGGTAAAACCGGTGAGCTGAATTAGGCAGATGCTGAGTGCCTGTTGCCGCTAAGCTTGATCAGAGCTGCTAGCAGGTGTTGAGTTGAACGCTGATAGGTGTCAATTCCATGAACCGTCAGGGGTTGCCGCTCGAGCCCCTGACTAGTCTCGGTTGCGCGGTGGTAAAGATAGCGAGGCACGGACAAATCCGAGCGAGCCGCGACTAAATGAGCAGCTCCGCTTTTCTTAGTTTGAGACTGACACATGTCAGAGCCTGAGGTGTTCGCACTATCTTTGAGTCACGCACACAACAGAGACTTCTACATCTTCTACTACCACTGTCGCGCTTGCTAGCTCTTTCATCATAGCGAGACACAAATTTCCCGATCAGCACTGCTTACTCAAATTCGACAGGCTTACCAGCATCTGACTAGCCACCATCCAAATGCGCTTGGCCGGCCACTTGGATACTTGTCTTACTGACTGTGTGCTGTGTTTCTAGGCTTATAGAGGCGCGTCGCCTCATCTGTCGCGTCCGCTGTACATACAGTGTTCCCCCAACGCTCGGCATCGTTCACGTATTCCTGATCCCCACGTACCCAAGAATCGGCGTCCGCTCTATACACTTGATGGCTTTGGTGGCTAGCTGCGGCGTGCTCGGGATGGTTCCGAAACCGTATCGTCCATATAGCTTGGCGAAGATGCAGTTCCGGAGGTCCTTGTACTTGCTTCAACAGAGGAGGATGTGGGCGGCGATCCTTCGCCGCGCTCTGCAGCTGCAGAAGGGCCTAGTAATGTCTGGAACCTATCGATTGCATATAGAGCCGTTGAGACCGATCTCCTCAGCCCGCAGTTCTATCGGCAGCGTGCTCTTCTGCTTGATAAGCTTTTCGCGGAGTTGCAGCATCTCCCTGGTGGGCGTCGGCGTGTATATGCTGCGCGGTCTTTTTTGACATTCTCCATGCGCGAGGACACTACCGCTCCGTCTGCGTCTTGCGCCGACTTCTGAGTGTTGTTGCGAGTGGATGTAGCTGTGCAGGCGGGTCTACTGGCTGCTGGCGGCGGCTGTCCTCCATACGGTGGCTTCCTTGGCAGCCTGGGGGGCAACCTCACTTCACGCGATATCTCATCATTCTGATGCAAACCCCAATAGCAAGCACAGATGGAAAGACTTAGACAGTGTGCAAGAACGTCCCTGTACGAACTGCAAGTGAGACATATACTAACTTGGTCCATGCACCATTTCGGCGGTTGGCAGCACGAAGCGTTGACGATTCGCGACGTAGCCGGTGAAGGCTATGAAAACGAAGACGTTGATGATCTCAACGTGGTTAGCAAATCTGCGGTATCTGATATCGAGTGCGACAAGTCTAGCATGAAGTAGCTACTTCTGTTACGAGATAAGTATACACAAAAGGAAGATAGACGCAGGGTACGGTGGCTGCATCTAACTGTTGAGGCTTGCGGGTAGAGCCACGTTAGATTACCCCACGACAATGTACCCTGTCTATGCGCGTAATACCTAAGCTCGGCCCTTTTACGAAGATATTGGAGCCGGTTTCCACACGATCAAAGTAGGTCCGCTCACGAATCCGATTTGTATAATGTTGGGGATACTGAAAGGTGATTATTTCTTGGATTCTGCAGAAACGAGAGAGCGACTGTCATCTATCAGACGAGCTCTATACGAAACCTTTACTACTGGTTCGCGCGAAATGCGACTGTCGCCAATGAGTTTCGTCTGTTGCCTGATGACCTCGACGCGATCACTAAGGAATTTGAGCTCTATCGCCAGAGCAGATACTTGGGTGAAAATATTGTATACAGACGCTAGAAGAGCGCTCCTCCGGGCGCAAACGCGAAACCAATTAAGAGGGTACTTAGCAGTACGGTCAGTGTTAGAAGATAGCACTATTTCGCCATGTCATCGCGCTTCATGACCTCTCCAGTCTCACTACCGATCCATATCTATACGGACCTTAGATGCTACATCGCCTTATACCAAATCACGTAGATTCTAAGATCCTGTCGAAACCCGATGCAACTTGGTAACAAGGTGCAAAATGACTGCATGTCTACTCTGCATTCCCCAGAATCATCGCACGATCATGTTGTTGATGGGAGAGGCTGATGACAACTGTGGACGATATCCTTACCGAGTGGAGGCCGAGCGCACACCGATCTTGAAAACGCTCTGTTCCATTCAGAGTGAGACTAATTCTACCTAGCAGCATTAACTCCATCTGTAGAAGGGCGCGATGGGCTGGAAGGTGGGGGGCGAACGAAAGGGCCATGACGGAATGACGGCAGTACCCGAGACAAAGCAAAACAAGACGCCATCGGTTGCGAGGTGGAGGGTGAGCGAAACAGTCAAGACGGAACGAAGGGAGTACCCGAGATAAAGCAAAACAAGGGACTGGAACAAAGCAGGCGAATAGCGAAGGAAAGAAAGATCAACGGCCGAAATCAAAGCAGAGAAAGGAGCGCGCATTGGTGTGGGAGGGTAGACTGAACAAGGATGTTGCTAGCGCGTCGTAACGCCTCTAATCTGCGTTGTGTCTACGGTCAGTGCCAGCCCCGAAGGGGGTAATGGGCTTTGGAGATGAAGCAGACAGCGTGATGTGGCTGGAGCATTCTAGATTACCTGCGTCTTTTCCTTGCTTGCTTTTGCTGGTCTCAGCTCAATGCCAAGACCTGCTCGCTGAGTGCCAGACATCGATATAATGTGATTGGTCGATGTCTACAGAGTATTGTTAGATCGCAACTTTGTAGAAAAATATCAAGTCCGCTGAAGAGACAGCTAGTGTCGTAGCTACGCATGTCGGCTGGGTTCAGATGCACAAGGCTACACCCGCAGTCGTTCTAGAGTTGAAGCTTAGATCCAAAGCCCATCCTTTCGCACCATTACGGTGCTTGATCTGAAGTTGGCGTGCACCCCGTTCATTCTTGTGTATGTACGAGATGAAGGCTAATGGAACGTATAAACGCACTACCGCTGAACTATCACTTCCGAGTACGACTTAGCTTCCGATAACGAAACTAGCGGTGGTGTAACAAGAGCATCTGCTCCACATCTGGTCGTTGCGGCTCTCTCCGTTGACCGTCATGTAGTTGATGGCTCATGGTTGAACGTAGGCTCTGCTGTACGGATTGGTATTCTACGATTCCCATGTAAGCTTGTGTTCACCCCATTAGTTTGATGATCAGCTTTGGTGTTCCTTCGCATCATGACTTTATAGTATTTTGGGCAATGGACTCAACAGCTCGGGCTCGACTATCGAATCCTTCCTGCCGAATGAGTCTTGAGACCCACCCTTCAGCACTCCTCGTACTTCTAATCACTTAGGCCTCTACAGAAGAGGTATAGATGATCACCTGCTTGTATATGTTTTGCAGTCATGTGCTTCTAGTTGCAGGAGCGAGCTTGTTGAGAGAGATTCTAACCTTCTATGGAACCAATCCCACGTAGAGGATGCAAACTTGAACAGAGAGACAGCCTCGAGCCTGACAACTGAGATGTGCATGTGCATTCCAATGCCTTGGCGGAAAAAAGGCTGTGCATTACAGCTTGACGTATGCGTGATAACGATGCAGTCTTTGTTTTATCCAGTTACTAACACAGGCGAACAATCTTCCTATGAGCCGAGATCGGAGGTAGCACCCGGCGGATACACAAGATGCTTGAGTCTACATATCTGATTAACAAACATCATCGCACAACACATCAAATTCATCAAGACCATCTTGTAGTCGCAATTGGAGATATCTTTCTTGTTTAAAGAACCCACCCTACCTTTGCTATAACGAACATCTACATTATGGCTCCGCACAGCCTTGACCTCGAGGATGATATGACAGCCGTTGAGGAGATCCACACCAAAGAATCCAAGACTGGAGATGATATGATGACTACTGCATCAGATCATATGCCAAAAGAATGCATTACAGGCCTTCAGGGCAGGATTTCGTAGGGCAGCAGGTCATGCCTCTCTACGCCGATGGCAACTGGTGGCTAACTGCTTACCACGATGTCTACTTTGTCCAAGAGGACTGGGTTGAACAATTCACCATCCATAACGACCTGGACAAAACGATTCACGAGACAAGGAGACTCGAGCGTGGCAGTCGCGTGATCAAGGGGACTGAATTCATGACTGGCGTCACTGCCGGCGCAAGTTTCTCTGGATGAGGATTCAGCATGAATGTTGGCGCGACTGTCGAGAACAAAACGTTTCAGTCAAACGAGACATCGGAAGTTCAAGGATGCGAGCGAACCTTTGGAGTTGAACCGAAGAAGAGTCTCTTCGCATACCAAAAGGTATACACCTTTAAGCTGAGAGTGTGGTTCATCTGGAGGGACAAGAATCAGTTCGGTGGGAAAGATATGGTCTATGCGTACAGCTCCGGTGACGCTGTCATCAAAGAATGCGTCCAGGCCATTTCATGCGACCAATGGTACTATAGCAACGAAAAACTAGGATCCGCAACAGTCAACGTTACGATCCCATATCCTAACCCTACCCCGCGGGAACCTAGAGGAGCTGTGTGTCAGTGGAAGAACATGAACGGCGCTTCACAGCACCAGATAAGAACCAAATACCTATCTGCTGCAAAATAAGGGAGGGAGGAGCAAAGGGCAGATTCTGTAGTCGTTATCTTAGTCTGTTTTCAACACCAGGCTGCAAAGGCATAAAATGGACTTCAACACCAACATGCCGTTGGTACGTCTAGTTCAAATGAAAAACTAAACAATACGATCCATTCTTGTCAACTTTGTTTTCCAACCTGGATTTGCGTTTTGAGACAGTGCTGGGTTTAGTTAACGTCCAGTTCTAAGACATTAATAGCCCTGCATAAGTATTAAAGCTGGTTGGTTTGTAAAGAAAAGCTAGTAGTGTACGATACCAAACAACCCCTAGAGATGTCCAGTGTCGAAATCGCAAGCTATGAACAGAGTCGAAGCTCATCCCCACATCCAAGGATGCCTATCGGCTTCATCAGTGAGCAAGCTCAAAGATCCAGCGTTTGTGTCACGGTAGACCAGACAGTAGGTACAATGCAGAGGCAGCGCACACGCGACAAGAGACTCAGACGGTCGGGGTTAATTTCGTTCTGACAGCTTGCCCAAATGTTGAATGACGCAACAGATTGTAAGTCTCCAACTGGAGTAGAGCTTATCAACCATGAGTATGCTTTGTGATCTGACCCTTCTTGATTCATACCATTTCAAAGTGCTGCTAGGTTATTGCTAGAGTAAGGTAGCCTTTTCACTAATACTTCCACGATAACCTTTGCATTATGTAACCATTGACGCTGTATACACAATCGATCATGAATAGGCAGTCATTCCAGATTTACTTCCTTGCACGAGTATAGAATTCTGCTCAGGCGCCAACTCGGTACCTGCGAAATTCACTCCTCAACACCCAGGCATTCTCGATTTCTTGTACTTTCGACCCAGGTTATCTCCAACCAGAAACTTTCTTCCGACTGGATCAATATCTGCAAAATGTCCACAACACCCATCGTCAGAAAGTACAGAATCCTTGTCCCTGGGGCAGAGAACTTATTTTCAACTACATTCGCGCCTTCTGGGCTCGGGGAAAATGAGGTTCTGAACAGTTTATTCGAAGATGAGACTACTGCAGACCTTGGTTTGCCTCCCGTTGTAAGTGTCTCACACGCTGCTCAAATGATAACTTCTAACCATATTTCACAGCCTCAAAGATCCGCTCAAGACCCTAGTACCAAGAAATGCAAAGCCGAACGCTTCGCCGCCAATAACGACTCAAGCAACGAGCTCAGGAGGTCTCACCAACATAAGAAAATCAAGGAGAGTGAAAAGACTTATAAGGACAAAGCAGCACGACGTTACCACACTCTCGCAGTCGCTGCGTCAATGAAACCGTCCATCGATACTGACAAGATCTTCGAAAGCATGAGGAAGCAGAGGCACATTCCTGTACCGAAGTTTGTTTCAACCGGCCACGAGCGCCGCCGCGAAGTAAATCTCTTAGCCCGGAAGCATGTTCAACATGTCGCTCCTGCCATGTCCGCCAATATTGAGACGAACCGCGACGTTCATGGCGGTATGAACAAGTTCGATTGGGCTGAGGGCAGGCGCGAGATCCCGAAAAATCTGATCAAGATCCTTGACCACAAATTCGAGAAGCGCGTTGACGATGATGACGCAAACATTAGCTGGCTCACTATTCCCTTCTCAATCAAAACGATCAACATCGGTGGAACTTTGATCTCGGTCGCTGATATTGTAGATAAGCCTTTCCTACATCCGGAGTTTACTCTCATAGAAGCGATCATGGGTATACATGCGAAGACAGGAAAAGACGTGGTCAAGGCATACAAGCTCAAATACGAGAAGATGGAGTGTGATCAGGCTGTCGCGCGAGCGCACACCATGCTAAAGCAACAGAAGGACGCGGAGAAGCAAGCTAGAAGGGACGAGGCTGCACGGAAACGAGCCACTAAGCGGGTCGGTCTCCCAAAGGCAGCTATGGACAGTCAAGCCGCTGCTAAAGATCGGAAGAAGAAGCAGGCTCAGGCTCGAGCTGAGAAGGAAGGTGGGTTCTTATGACAGAAAGTTATGAGTAATATTCTGATATAATTGTACAACGCTGTTCCAAGCCAAGGATACATATCATCCACTCTCATTTTATTGTTCTCTTTGCTGATGATAAACGACCATATTATACATGAGGATCTTCCAAGACCAATCTACATTTCTAAACCCTGTCACTTGTGATGTGATCGTCTCAACTGTCACATGCTCTGTGCGTCTTGGAGGCGCCACAACCTTGCCTCAAATGTAATTCAGGGAGTCCAATACTTCAGCCGCCACTCTCTTACCTGCGCTTATCGCCCCATCCATGTAACCTCGCCAAAATAGTGATGTCTCCACTCCAGCGAAATGAATGCCCTGGAATGGTGTTGCAATGTATGGGCCGTACTTGGTAAGCGTTCCAGGAGGGAAGTTGCTGTTATATCCGCCGCGCGTGTATTCTTCCTGGTCCCACTGTTGGATAATCCAGTCTGTAGCGGCTGAAGCCTTTGGTCCAAATATGTTAACGAAGTCTTTAGTGACCATAGCCTGAATATCTTTGTGGGATTTCCCGTCGATCTTGCGTGCCCGATCCGCATGCATAAACGCTAGTAGGACGCCGGAGGACCCGTCTTCGGGTGAGACATCATATGTACTCACTACAAGTCCTGTATTACTGAAGGCTTGGCCGTTCAGCCCATCAGCCCTCCAAAAGGGAGTCTTGTACTTCGCGATAGCTTTGGCAACCGAACCCATAGGCATCCGCTGCGAGATTTGGTCTCGTCCCGCGGGCATCGGAGGGACCCACTGTATCCTTGATGACATGACAGGCGGCATAGCGACTACAATCTTCTTTGATGTCACACTTCCGGCATCTGTGCTGATCTCATATCCATGTTCAGTTTTCCTGACGATACGTACTGGCGCATTGAGCTTTACATGTTCAGAGCCGAGGAGTTCCGAGATTTTGATAGCAATGCTCTGGCATCCTCCTTTGCAGATCATCGATTCAGCACCATCGACCGAGCTAGTAATCTGGTTGAATGATCCCGACCCAGTTTCGTTTCGCGACGTGCCAATGCTAAGAAGAGTCGAGAGGAAAGAAACCTCGCCTGATTCTTCGCAGAAGCCAGTCGAAGCTGCGATGTCGAACACAAACCTCGCTGTGGACGAGAGATTCTTCGTGTCAAGCCAAGACGCGAATGTTTGGCTATCCCATTCGTTGGCTCGGCTATGGTCCCAGGGTGCCACGGGGTTAATCTCGCTCGCAAGGTCATTGAGTAACATCTCAGTGGTTGCCACCTGAGTGAGACTGGCAGCATCCACAGGTAAATCTCCGGTGACACTGGAATCCGAGGAGAACTTCGAACGGGTGTTGTTGATGAATAGAACGGTGCTTCCGTTGTTGTATGTAGGGATGAGCTCGACGCCCATCTCTTTGGCCATAGCGACCATGTTGGTTTGGGCCGCGCCAACAAACTGAGCTCCTCGATACGTTACAGTTCCGTCTGGAAACTTGTCATCGAAGACGCGACCACCGACTCGGTCATATGCTTCCAGTACAACGATAGATTTGTTTGCTGCCTGTAACTCTTTTGCAGCAGTGAGTCCTGAGAAGCCGGCTCCGATGATGGCAACATCGACATGGGGATGGATAGTACCAGTTGCAAGAGTCGGAAAAGTATAGTAGCTGGATGCTAGCAGGAGGGATGGTAGAACTTTGATTGCCATTTTGAAGGAGTCGCTTTGTTGTACATCCATGAGGTGAGTGTGAGACTTTTGCTGTAGGAGCTACGGATACTTATAGAGGCGACGCAGCGATCTATCATCAAACTGTCTCTAGAAAGCGCTTTAGTCCTCCCGAGATGTCATGGGCTGCCGCATAGCGATCTTGGCATGCGCGATATAGGAAAGCTCTTGGCTCTGGCGTCCGCTCCGGCCGTCTCGCACCATACAGAATTGAAGCGTTTGTTCTGGACAAGGGTGCCGATTGGATCACCGAAATCTACATTTTTCGACTCCTCAAACATCGGTGTGTCCATTGGGGAAGGGCCTAAGCCATCACAATTTACGCACTCCCTTCCACGGGGCCCGCCGGACCCTCGGACGCCGTGGCGAAGCAACATAGTTTCCACGTATCCCTCAAGATATGTGCACATCGTCCTAGACCTTGAGATAGTGCAAGGACTCTCGTAACATTAGGCACTTCTCCAGCTTATCGGCCGGTCGTGTATTGTGCGTGATGAGTCTCAAGACGCTGACATTTCCGGCGCCTCGGACGCCGCAGAGATCGCGACATCCTTACCACCTACTAATTTCCTGTGCAACATGACTCAAGGCACCTAAGTTGTATAAGAACACCAAGATTCTACGGCTGGAATGCTATATCGACACTGACAGGAAACATACTGCTCTTCAACCTCATATAGTGCGCTATCGCTATCATTGCTATACTGAACCATCCCTTGTTAGCTATCTAAGAGACTTTCAAGATGACCACAAACTGTCACGGTACGTTAGAACAATGTCGAAGGACCCGATTTGTGCTGTGCTCTAATAGCAGATCAAACAGTTCTTCGCGTGCCTAAAACCCAATGGGACTTTTGTCCTTCGATCGCAGCTGCGTATGTGTTTGCTGTTCTATTCGCAATAGCTACACTTGTGCATCTTGCCCAGGCCCTGTTGTATCGCAAAGTGTACTGTTGGGCCATTATCATGGGGAATTTGCTCCAGTTCATCGCCTACGTTTTGCGAGTGTTGAGCATCAACAACGCCGACAGTCTAGGGCTTTACTCTGGGTGGTTTGTACTCATCGCGGTGAGTGATTGCCTTACGAACAAAGATAGCAAGTTCTGACAAGACAGATTGCTCCGGTCTGGCTCAATGCTTTCGTTTACATGGTGATGGGTCGAATGGTTTGGAATTGTACCTCTACCGGCAAATTGGGATTTCTCAGTGCGTGGAGGTTTGGCCAGGTCTTCTTGGGTTTGGATATCCTGTGAGTCTTCCAATCACAAGAGCAACGGAAGGTAGTCTAATGATCCTGATTCAGTGCTCTTGTTATCCAGCTCTACGGCGCAGCCACAGCTGCGGATACGACTGCGAAGCCAAGTACTATTCTACAAGGTATGCATTCATGAACGATGAGATACATCTGGTTGATACTAAATGTTCATCAAGGACTACATACTTACATGGGAGGGCTTGGTGTTCAGCAGTTCTTCATTTGCGTGTTCCTGGTCTTCTCGCTGCGTCTCTATGGATGCATACGAGGAAACAGTGCAGGGATCCAGCAGAAGCAGTTTATCAGGCTACTCTGTGTCGAGTATGCAGTCATAGTGCTCATAACTGTAAGCTCTGGCCCGCTTCGGTGACGTTGATCAACAGAGAACTGCTAACAACCATCTTCCAGGCGCGTATCATATTTCGACTTATTGAGTACTCTAATGGCATCCACAGTTCGATTCCCAGGCACGAGGTGTACCAATACTGTCTCGACTCCTTGCTGATGTTGATCGGATCTACGCTGTTCAATGTGGTGCACCCTGGACGGATTATGCCTGGGATAGCACACGACCTTCCGTCCCGGAAAGACAGAAAACCGCGTGACTCTTGGAAGCAGAGAGGGAACCTACTTAGCTTGGAAAGTTTCCGCGGAAACGAGAGCGCGTGATGTGCTTCGGAACTGAGTACAAGAGTTCGATAATATAATGTTATATCAACTAGAATAAAACGCACAGCGGATAGCCTTATTGATATTGTAGATGTTCTGGTGGTGAGCCGTAGGTACAACGTTGTCGGGTTTCACTGTATCGTATCGCAGTGAAAGTGATAGATAGGCTCATTCCTGCCAAGTGCGAAATATGATCATCCAGACAGCTCTCAGCAAGTTGTCAGCTGTTCCATCGACATCGCATTCTATCTGCCTCAGCCGTATCAAGGCTAGTCTCGAATGCTTCCCTCACATCTGAAAACAGAAATACTAACGCAGTACGTCTGCAACCGATTCAGTTGATCCCAGCCAGTTAGTCCAAAAACTAAAAGTATCCAAGTCAAGACTACCTTCGGTGCCAGCTGCGCCAGGAAATACGGAACCATTCCAGGCAGCGGGAATTTCGTGGCAGAGCGTCTGCCGATCCAACGCAGTTGCAATGGGTTTTGTTGTAAAGACCAATGAGCCATCCTCGTGCTGCTCCAGCCCATTGAAGCTTTTCCGTGAAGTTATCAGCGTCTCTGCCGTGTTAAGGAAAGATTTACAAATGAAATAGAGGCGGGAGGATCCAGGAGAGCAGTCTTGAAAGTAGGCCAGTGAGTCGACAGTATCTTCAAGGAGTTTTAGATCTCTGTCGTTGGCCGTGGCTATGGCATGGGTAAACACGACAAGATACGGTGTGAAAGAAGGGATCAGCAAAGTGCTAAAGCGTGGATATTAGTTAGACATCAGGTGGAAAAAATGAGAATCACGAGTACAGTGCCACTGACTCCAACTTACTTCTTAACGTAGCCTATCTTTTGGTAAATGCTGCACGTTCTGAGGCCGATAGAGCATTGTAGATGACTTTCGAGACTCTTTCTTGAAGCATCGTAGCATCGGCTGGATATTTCCACAGTATCGTAGAAGCGGGTTTCGGCTCTATACACGACTGACAGCACCGCGTAGACGATGAAGTTTGCGCTTTCTTTGGCTGTTTGTAACACTTCAGAATAATATGCGCCGGACGAATCAAGCTGCGGTTTTGTTAGAGATGATGTCTTAGAGTTGCATTAGTGTACTAGTACCAACTGTAGCTCCTCCCGTAAATCGATTATTCGTGCCGACAGCTCTTCCACAAAACACGACCGTTTGTATTGAGAATGTTTTGTTGCACTTGCTGAATATAGTTGGTCGTAGGTGTCACCTTGAATCCGGGCAAACCGGTAGCAGATATGGGTATACACATCCCAAGGCCACTGCCCAGGGTCTGAAGAAAGAATAATTGGCTCGGCGTCGATGTCATTGTCATTGAAGTTGGAAGATCGGCCAAGAACGAGGGATAGGTTCTTATCGATTGCGTAGAGACCATAAAAAGCATGACGCTTAGACTGGGCTACTTCTGGCGTGTCGTTGCGATAGGATGACTCCCGATGATAGCCCAGCGTCTGACACATAGTCTGTGCTGCGGAGACGTACATCCAGCACAAGGAAAGTTGTGACTCCTCCTGGGCTCCATATGCCTGCAACACCGTAAGTAAGAGGCTCACACGACAGGTGTGAGTACCCATACTGCTAAGTAGAGAGCTTGAACATTCTCGAGTGTTGGCACAAGAAAGCTTTCGTAGCTCCGTAAGCACTCCTGGAAGTTTGCCTTGCAAACCTTTGCGCAGTCTTCCAGGTCGTATTCCGAAAACATGGGGTCGTCATGCTGAGAGAGGTCTTGGAAAATGTGGAAGAGTACACCATGCATTAAAGCCATCGACCCGACGGAAAGCTCCTCTACTGGGAAGTACACCTTCTGACAGAGGTGTTCAAACCGCGTGTAATCGGTCCAACTACTTGAGACTGCAGATAATAGTGGTGTCACTAGTACTCGTTAGCGCTTGTTGTGGACCAGAATCACCAGGACAACCTTTCGCCTTCTTGACTACAGCGATGACAACATCAGCCGGCAGTAAGCTGACCTTCCTCTGAACACCCTTGTTATGATGATTTGTGTTATCTTGCTGCTCCGATATCTCAATGGCGACCAGGTTGTTATGTAATGACGACAAAGCTGATCTTACTTCGGGATCTGGGTTTGTTCTTAGTATGCTGCTGGCGGCTCTGCTGGCCTCCAAAGTCTCCTTGTTGAAGGATGACTCTCCTTCGAACGGAGTTAGTGGTCTAGAAGTCTCTTGATTCGTTGTTGATGTTGTTGAGGACCGAATGTCGTCGTTATCTGACGATCTATGCGCGATGACTTTAAGATCTCCTTCAATAGCACGGAGACGTTCTTGAATTACTTCGAGTTGCTTCTCGCTAGGGTTCTTAGAGATAACATCGTAAGGACAGAGGTTTCGCGCGACATACTACTGGTTTGATATGACAATGCGAGGGCGCTGCTCGGTTGTTCTCGAAGTGGGTTGACATTGCACACCCAGAATCTGGCAGCTCGAGCATGGGAAATTCTTGTTGCAGCGCGTCTGCATACATTTAGTCTGATGTCGCATGATGTTTGCCAACTCCATGCTTACCTTTCTGGCACGACAGTTCTCACACTAGTGTGAATGTCAGCTCCAATCTCCTACATACGCTAGTAGCAAGAAGGGTAATTTACTGCACGAGACAAAGATGCGACCTGCTCGTTACGGACACTCGGCTCCGCCATGTTGTGATGGATAATGTTGGCTGTCGTAGATTGGCTTGGTGTGAATGCAGGAGTGGGCGATGTTGTTCTCAGTTATCCCTCGGCTTGCGCGGACCCCGATGCTGGCGCCCGCGACTAGGGCCCTCGGACTCCGATAAAGCTCGCACCGGTCAACTGGTTTTACTCTGCTACTCAATCGCGAAAGTTGCTCAGCGCATGCCAAAATACAGTCGACTAAGTAGTTTCGATGCTCCAGCCACCATGCGGTCAACGTACACATCTCGTGTCTTATACCATACTTTACAATGTAAGATACCAATGCGCAGCCTACCCTCGTATTCGGCCCGATGATGCTACGATGCCTGAGCACTCTGTGCACTGAATAAGCTTACTGGTCCCTAGGGCTCCTCTCAATCTCGACAGCAGATCTCGGCTCGGAAAGCTAGGCTCACCGAATGGTATTCCAAAAGCTCATTTACAGAGTCTCCAGTCCCAAGCATAACTCTACATTCACCTTCGTGCCTTCATCAATGCCTCCAACCAAGTCTCCGTTTGAATCTTCAGAAGAAGGCGCTCCTATCTCCCGGGAAAAGCGATTAGGAGACAGACTTGTATCTGGACTCGAAAAAATAGGTGGCTCTCTGAATAGCTTCTCGAATCGAATCGGATCTGAAGCGTGGTGGCCGACTACACTTGATCATGAGTGCGAGAAAGCGGCTCGAATATTGTCATCGTTCTGCAGTATGTTTACTCTACCAGCTTAAGAAAAGATCGCTAACTTTTCGCAGAGGATGGTTGCTATCCCGAGCGGTCTTCAGCACCTGATTCCCTAGGTCCAAGAAGTAAACCGAAGGTCGTGGTTAAGATACCGCAAAGGGTGTTCCAGAATTGTGTCGGGCTCGCTATCTTCACTGTCATGCGCAGTGGATTCTCAGTCTCTACTGCTGGTGGATCCGGCGTCGTCATTGCTAGGAAAGAAGACGGTGACTGGTCCCCGCCATCTGGAATCCACGTCCAAACTTTGGGTCTCGGTTTCATGGTTGGAATCGATATCTACGACTGTATTGTCGTAATCAACAGCTACGAAGCACTCAAATCATTCAACAGATTCCGCTTTACGCTAGGTGGTGAGTTGAGTGCTGTAGCAGGGCCAATAGGAGTTGGTGGGTTATTGGAGGTCGAACTGTCCGAGACACATAAGCCTTTATGGACTTATATGAACAGCCGAGGAGTCTACTGTGGGCTTCAGTTGGACACAACTATCGTCATCGAGAGATACAATGAGAATGCAAGATTCTATGGCAAGAAGATCCCTATTGACGAGATCTTTGCAGGCCAGGTTACAAACGTTCCCCTTCAGGCCAAGATGCTTATGGAAGCAGCACGTAGGGCGGAGGGGCGAGCATGACTGTTATCAGTGACTGCCTAAGATCGCGCTAAGATCGCAGATTAGCTCCCACCAGATATTGCGAAGAAAAGAGATCAAATGAAGACTACCTAGCATTGTCATTCGAAATAACTACTTTAGCTACGCGAGCATTGGTGCTCCAGCATCCATTCCTCCACGGTCATGAACACTCTACGCCAACCCCTTCTCAAGTGTCCAAGTAGCATCAGCATTGAACGACGCCTGAGCATCAAAGTCATGAACACCCCCATTACTCGCAATATCCCCGATATTGTTGTAATGCCTGATATACCGAGTGGGATACCCCCATGCGCGGATCGAGCTACCAGAACCAGAAAAACCAGTCTGGGGACAGAACGTCGCATCCTCCTTGAACGCCTTACTTCCATCACTCGCCTGCACCTGCAACACGAAGTTGTAGTGACGGATATAACTTCCAGCCGTATCCTTCGACTCAAACGAGAAGCAAGCACTGTTCGCAAGACCAGCGCGTACTGTCCAACTAGCCTGTCTCTTCAACAATGCAGTGCTGCTCGAAGACACAACCTGCGTGTTCACTGTCGCGCCATTGTGTGCGAGATATCGGTCCGTGTATCCAGCTGTTATCGCACGGAGCGAGATCGAAGAACCAACTGTGTATGCCGGACCGCTGGTCAACGACGTTGTTGCATATTTCGCCGCAACGACGTTCGCTTGGACCGCGCTCTCCGTTGCATCGGTTGGGTAACCGGATGTCATGACGCCTTCGTAGAAGGTTCCCTGAGCACCGTTGCTGTTGTCACCACCGATACCGAGAATGATGGCGCCTTCTTTGCTCATGGGGTTGTAGCCTGAAGCACTGGGTCGCGCGCCATTGTAGTATGTTGACAGTGCGCCGGAGGCAGCATTACCTCCCTTGATAGCCCACTTGTTTGCTCCGCCCTTGAGGAGAGTGGTTAAGAAGCGGTAAGATACTGAAGGGTCGGCAGGATTGTTCTTTGGGTTCGCGCCGGAGAAAAGACCATTTTCCAGATCGGCCATGACCCAGGGTCCACTACCGGAACCGGAGCCCCAGACAGTGTTGTCGCCAAAGTAGATGGCTTCCATGTGTCCATTACCTGCGGCATTTGTTAGTTGGGATTGAAGGTGTCGTTTTGTGCCATTTACCTGTGTCGAGGTTGTTGGTTTCTGCGTTTCCATAGTCGAAACAACACGCGCCATTGTAATGCGTGCCATCAAGCACAGCATACATGCCCTCTGCTGCGTCACCAGTCGCCGAACCGCTCACTTTGTTATTGCGATAGCCAGTACCCGGGCTTACAAAGACGCCATACGCCTTCTGGCCGTTTAGCGTGACTGGTGCACCATCAGCTGCAGCCAAGTTATCATAGCCGTTAGCTTCCGGGCCCTTGAAGCCTCCTGGTGGAGCTTGTGTGAGGTGGTTGCCACGACCAGACTGGTCGTAGATGATGGTGATGAGGCAAGTGGTGTTAGCGCAGAATTTGTCTTGCGTTGCTGCATTAGCAACACCACCAGCAGACAGAGGTGCGACGTTGGTGGTAGCGCCGTCAGAGCCGCGCTTGACCTGGTAGAGGGAGCCGCTGAAGGAGCTGTACAAGGCGCGGGTGGTGCTGTGAGCAGCGATGCAAGGGGTATTGCCGGTGGCGTAGATATCGCAGGGTCCAGCGGCAACAACCGAAGCCGTAGCCGCAAGGCCCAGAACGAGGGTGTTCCTTTGTGAAGGCATGTCTGGTTTTTGTCGCGATTGGCACAAGAGGATTGATCGTCTGGATCAACCAAAAAGTTTGTACATGGGCGATATTTAAACAAATGGCGTTGCATCGTTGTTGACATGGTCATCTAAATCGTTGCAACTCTCCGTCCGCACACTAGATGGGAATAGAAGCTCGATATCCGGGGTATGGAGTTTTCCCTCCAACAGCGACGAAGCATGTACCTTTACGAGCGCTAATCTGTCACGAGGTTCCAACTCCAGGTTTTCCGCGGCGTGCCTCCCCAAGATTTTGGTGTATATTTTGCGGGGATGACAGGGTTTACGGACGTAGTACGGTTGTAGTGCCGGAAGATTTAAGCTTTTGCCGAGGAACATCTGTCGAGAGACAAGACCGAAGCTAGCGCTCGTAAACAGGCGTTCCAAGCCCGGGGTAAGCTCCGATGCGTTCAAACACCTGAACGTAACTTCCCATGAGCAATCGGTCGTTATCCTCTACAGTTCACAGCGTCCCACATTCTAGACTTTGCGCGACTGGCCGCTACATCGATATCCTGTTTGCAACCATTTTGCCCTTCTTCCAAGCTTTCTGGTAGTTGTGTAGGTGTACGAGAGTGACGTAGTAGGTGGTTTCGAAAAGCCTCTTGAGTGGAGTCATGTATTCTGAAATACATCAGTAGCGGTCCCACGATGGAAGGAGCCCGGGAAACCGTGAATCGACCGCTTATATTCTGCTTATTCTTGGCGCCTTCCTTGTTGGGATGATTGGTTTTCCTCAGTTGGCGTGGCCGATGTTCGCCGGGTAAATTGAAAAACGGTATACCTATGGTCTCAAAACCAGAAAGAGTTCTCAAAGAACAAAGCTATTCTGGTATGGAGACAAAGCGCCGTCAGAATAGATGATAAGATTCGTGATGGCGTCATTGATTTCCGGAATTCTGAATAAGTGTGAGCCGTCAAGCATCGACGTCCAACAAAGCCCGGGTTGAGTATACGCATGTGCGGTCATGGCAACGCATTGAATCATGTGTGCTGTCAGCTTATCGTCAACATAAGGACGACCAGGCCCCATTGAATTACTTCAAAGTCTAACGACGAACTCCTTATACGGTAGTTGAACATGGTATCATATGCTAAAGCGATGCAAAAAGAAGCCACCAGAAATATAGCGCCGCAGGAATTCCGCTCGTGATTCCGCATAGGAGCAAGGCATACATGCTCTTCATGCGCATCATATTCGATTCCGATCCGACGCGCCCATCACGATCATGGGTTTGTCGTGCGTCACCGATCATGTCCGCGAGATCTTGGCGCTAGTGGTGGTAATGGCATGTGGTTCTCGTGGAGGTCTCCATGGGTCGCGTATCGCGAAGGACGTCTTTGTCCCGACTCGACTTGTAGTTCCACCTCGCGTTCCACCGTAATTGTCATATCCGAATCCAGCTCTTCTGCCGAACTTCTTTTAATCTTGCCCCAAAGACGCGACATGCCCTTCTTTGGCGATTCCTCCTCTTCCAAGATCGCTTCTTGACTACTGCCTCGCTCCAGATCGCCTTCCGTATCAGCCCAATGTTTCATCTCATAGCTCTGTCCTTTGTCGTTTGCGAGTTCCGGTACACTGCGGGGTGCTGCGGATCGTCGCCTCGAGCCATTTGACGCTGACGGATTGGCGGTTAGCGTCTTCGATGAATCACCGGCCGATTTCTTTAAGGGTATGCCACCTGATAGTGATTTTTAAAGAATGAAGGGGATCTTCGCGAAGAGGGGTTTGAGTACGGGGGCCGAGGCGCATATCTGTTCTTGGTGAGAATCGTTGCAAAGTTCGAACATGCGAAACTTACCACTCCCAAATCAATCTCCACTGCAGCTGCAATCCAAAGTGGATATGCGTACCAGGTCTGGTCGTACTCATTGAAGAGGCTTCGATAGATATACCATGTACGGACGACTCCGGCAGCCGTGACAATCAATCCCATACCGAACAGCGATGCTACAGCGATGCGCTCACGGAGCCGCATGTGAAGCTGAAGACTGTTAACCACAATGTCGTGTTTGGAACGTTCAAATCAACTTACACCAAGAACTAAGGGTATCGGCGTTATCGTGGTAAGAAGATCTGCGACACAGCTCATGATGCCGCAAATGAGGGTCATGACCGCTTCGTCCATGCAGGTGTCTGCGGGAGCACCGATGGTCCAGTAATTCTTTACGGGATTGCAGAAGAAAATGCCGATGAACGTCCATGATATGAAGAGGCCAACCGTATAGGCGACGTTGGCATGAATCGCCCACTTGAACCATCTATCGCACAGTTGTCAGTACGTTGAGTTTGTGAGTCATGTCAATGACCACTTACGACTTTCCAGTGTCTGTGACCAGTCGGTAATAGAAGCAATGTAGGGAAAGTCTCGTGAAGGTCGCTGCCGCTACGAAAACAACCTTGGCCGTCATGGCGATCTTTGAGGTTGGCACAAACATAGCAAAGGGTATATCCCATACATGTCTATCGCGATAAGTCAGCAATGTCTTGGGCAGATGCGATACGCGATGCCTACCTATTCCACCCGAATCTTTGATTCGCTAGGATAACAACAGCGGTGAGACCGATCGTGAAGAGCAGCGCAAGCAGGATGAAAACATCATCAATACCGAACCATCTCTTTATTACTATACGCGTATATATACGAGCAACCACAGTGATTACTGCCAGCGATATGAAGATGGAGTTGACGATGAGAAGTGCAGGGCCACGCGTGACAGGGTTGTCGTAATTTGGAGTGGGCCAGGACAAGAGGACATCCACTGGTGGCAGCTGCATACTGGATTATCTTGGGCCTGCCCGGGGGAGTATGCGAGACATGCGGACGTAGACGATTGACGAGCTGCAGGTAGGCGGGCAAGATCAAAGAGACAAGATCGAGGACGCGGGTCGGAACTAGCACAGGGCCTCGATGTTATGTTCAGTGGTGAGTGGGGCTTTGCAGCACATGGCCGTTAGCTCCATCCATGTCGTGAAGCGCACATTGGAGCTTTGGCTACCGTTACGACGCTGGTGTCGCACTGGCTTCGAAGCTTGGCTGGTACACGGACCGTACGTTAGGCACAATAATCTGGCGTATCAGCGGGGTGCTACGTGTGGCGCACAAACTCTCCGCGAAGTGTGGAACCGAGAATCACAACGAATGGTTCTGCGTGACCGCACCATCCAGGCATCATAGCCAACACATAGACGCGTTCTTACTATCAAGATCTGCCCAGGCATTCAAATTGCATCTTCATAGCCTCGTGGAGTAGTCTCTTGTGGTTCCTTAGCGAAGGGGTGCTCCATGGCTATCGCTGCAGAACCGGAACCCAATTTCCGCCTCGCCGCACTACGAGAAATGCCGCCACAGCAGCGAAAATGGAGTTTCCTTGCCTGAGGACGCGGTCATGTCTCAGGGTTTTCGTTCGAGTCGTGCAACCTGTAGCTACGGGAACTAGGTCTTGGCCACGTTGGAAGCATTTGGCAAGCACCATCTGAGCCAGTCCAGTGATAACAGGGTTTGGGTGTGTCATCGAGAGTTTCCAGAGCCTGAAACCATGTGTCGAAAGTAGCAGTCGGCGCGAAACATGATGTTGTTCAAAGGTTCGGTGGTTCTGGAGGGAAGGTAAGCCAGAGACTCCGTGCAGCTCCGATCAGGCGCCCAGCACTAGCGTGGGTCGCATCAGGCTTAGACCCGGATCTTTGTCACCCTGCAGCGATCCACTGATGTCCGCCCACAGTAAATCCCCATCGTCAAACCTAAAATTGCGGAGACATCTTGATCTAATTGCGATCCGTTGAGTTCACGACGACTGTGCCACATGCACTTTGCTCTTCCAGCACCTCCTGGCGCAACTATCTCCGTAGGCATCGCCATAACGGGAGCCATGGACTGGCTGACAGCGGAATGGCTGTGGCATTGAGTTTTGCCATCATCCAACAATATCGATAGAACATGCGGTTTTGGTGTTACTAGGTGCAGTGCGTAATACGCCGACACCAAGGTACTGCAGCTTACGCGTGCCGCCGCATTTTGCAGCACTCACCTTTTGGTGACTGAGGTGCGGTGTACGACCGGAGTGTTAACTGAATCTTCGACCTATGACGCCTACATGTGAGTGTAAAGAATCCTTTACTTTTATCTCGGTTCCGAAAGCCGTGCCGCTGGACCCATATGCAAAATCCTCCGCATCGGCGAGGCTTTCACGATCAGGCCCCTGACTCGACATGAGGCTCCCGAGACAAGGGTGGGTCTGCGAGGCTGCCAGCTGATCGCGAGGCTTGAGCAGTGCGGCGTGCTCTCGAGACGGGGCACGGCATGGCACGGTCGTCAATTCTCATTCAGTCATGCCCGTTGCAATGTCGGCTCAGTGACCCCCTCAGGCCCAATGCGATATCATAGCAGGTGCGCGCGATAAATCCATGGGGTTTGTTGCAGCAAGAGTACGCAATGCACCCACGTTAATTGGGGTTCTCTCGTCAATGATCCAAGCCAGGAACATGATTCGGCCCCGGCCCCCTCAATTCTTGGTAGACATGCAGATCCATCGGCAACGCACGCTCCGCGAACAAAAGCAAAATAAGGCGTCCAATGTGCAGGAAACCAAAAAACACCGACCGTGAGCCTTCTACGTTAAGCAAAAGTAATAATGCCATGTTCCACATTCGGATCAGCCCATTCTCAATTCGCATCCCCGGCCACGTGTGAGTTTTACGCCATGGCGCGAGCCATTCTATCTGACGCGCTGCATCGGCCCTTTTGATACACAGTTTTTGCCAGGCTACTCCTTGTGTTCAGGCGAACTAAAGAGACTGAGAGTCAGGCACAACACTCGCCCATGTATTTTGCCGCTCCCATTGCCGGTCCTAAACTAAGGGTGCTTGCATGCGATCCGCTATGGTGGGTAACATATGCAGCCAGCATGCCTTTTTTCACATTCCCAATGAGTCCAGCATTAGTGGACGAAACAGAGGTTTTGACAACTACCAGTAGCATCTTTGTCGTGATACATGTCAGGGATAGTCGGTGGCAACGCATGTTGGATGCGCAAAGTGGCTAAAGGTGTTTGCACAACGAGGTGTAGTCACGTAGGTATGTGTAACAAAACGCCAATGGATTACTACATCCTTACATCCTCAGCCCTGATATTGTTTAGGTAGTAGTCGCCGAGCCTTCCAAGTTATACGTGTACTCCTACCAAGGACAGTCACCACATGGCTGAATGGCGTCTCATGCTGATGTTAAGCGCAAGATGTTCATAGAACTACTCCATTCGGCAGCCACTGCGTGTAAGTCTCATGTCTCCACTTGGTAGTACCCGTGCTGATCTCCCGATGAATCCACCTTCTCGCGACACCGGTGCTAGAACACGGCTCTTGCGCAAATGACTACGCAAGTGACAATGTCGCATACATAAAACCATGAACAATTTCTCAGGATCATACAAAGGGTCCACTTCCTCAGCATCTTCCACTCGCCCATCCCTCCACGAAACGTTGCAAATCAATTCATTCATGCCGCCTGAAGATCTTCTTCGTCAAAGCCACAAAGGTGTCGCGCACCGATCGTCCCAAAGGAGGATTGCTGGAAAAGTCGTAACAAGGCTTCCCTGCTCCGTGTTCGGTGTCCTGCTTACATCGATCGAAAAGATGCTTCAAATTTTTTGAAATCTGTGGATCATCCGGCTTACGCTGCTGGTCCAATCTCTCATGTAGTCTGTCCCACTCGACTCCTTTGCATTCCCCGTTGCGATGGCAAAAGCGTTCCCAGTCCTCGGAATACATGAGACCAGTGTGAACTAGGAAGGGTTCAGTCTCGTCTGCCTGGTAGGTCCATGTACCGTCGTTCCAGCCAAAGTTACCGCACATGCATGGGTAGTTGCGAGCTCTCTTGTCCCAAACGCTCGAGATGGCTTCGCCGCCTGGATTTACACAGATTGGTAGGCTGAAACCACCTGGAACTTTTCCAAGATCCTTGCTCATTGCTCGATCGCGCTTCGCAGCCTCGGATATTGTGTGGTAGTCCCGGTTGCGTATGGCGTCTTGTAGTTTGTTCTCATGAACAAATATTGCGGAACGAACGATATCCTCTTTGGTGATGCCGTGTGGGGTAGGCCGCCCTGATTTCGAGTCGAAATTTCGATAGCCAGTAGGGCCGTGGATGAGGGCCATGTCATTTTGCCGATGGTCGTACTCCCTAGAGACGTCGAGGGCATAAATGTAGTATATAGAGTTTGGATGCTCTGGCAAGCAAGCTCTGTTCTCTTGAGGTCCACGCGTATCCCACTCACAGTATCCAGTCTGTACATTTGCCTGAACAATGTATGATCGCTCCTGTGCCCAGATTCCATTGAGAGTGGTGGAGAAGATTGTCCTGAGGAACGACTCCTGGAGAGGTTGTTGGATGTTCTCGTCTCTCCTGAAGAAGTATTCACCTGCTAAGACATCTACCAGATCTTGACCAGGTGTGTTAGGTCGATGCCCCATGATCGACTGCATGCCAAACGTTTCGTTGCTAACCATAGCATGGCGGAACTCGTTGAGCGACGAGCGTATGTTGTCTTCCAGATTGGAGCTGATGTGTGTGGGATCAGGACGAACGGCATTGAACGAACCAACAACCGAGACGTAGGAAGCTGTCAATAAGTTTGTCATCGCAACTCCGGTCGTTGCTCCGATACCGAACACGGGAAGCGCCATTACTCCGCCAGCCATTAATCCTGCTCCTCCAACAATGGCCATTGCTAGTTTCTCATACGTTCTCCGATCCATGAGTTTCTTCTGGAGTTGCTTCTCTATGCGCGGCGAAGCGCTATATGTCCTGATAAGTTCGGGGATCTGGCCGTCAATGTACGTCGCACCTTCGCGCATAGCCTCGCGCTGGCTCTCAAAGAGATGATCGATACCAGATATCTGTTCGAAGACAAAGTATGCCATTTGTCTGTCGTATGGCGACAACTCTGGGTTCAGCAATTGAAAGGACGTCAACGAACACTCTCCGACACTGTCGCAGGTCACTGAACTTGGTGGTAGATCAGGGGCGAAGTTATCGCGAAGGTAGAGCGGGAATGTCGTGTACCGGTAGTCACGACGGAATAGATCCACATGGACCCTGGTAAAATTGGCCACCAGTTCCCGAAAGTAGGGCCAAGATGTATTACTGGGAACCTGAAGGTTACAGCTTGAGTATGTACTGGTGGAAGCAAGTGAGTTGCTGGAGATTGCGCCCGCGGAAGATTGCCTTTGGTATAGGCGAGGATGGACCGTGACGTTGGTGATAGCGATAGCAATGTCTACGAAAAGCAGCCATACGTAGAACAGAAACTTGAAGACCTCCATGATCCTCGTGAGATTTTGGTTGCTGGTCTTTGTTGTAATCTCGATGCGGTATCTCGTGAGAATCTGGCTGTTCTGGAAGATTAGCGGAATGAGTATGATAGAGTTTAACTTCAAGGAAGGAGGGCTTTTATGTTATAGAGCGTCTGCTCTTTGCGGGGGGCGGTGTTTCTTTCCCATAGTTCTCGTGTGATCGGTGTTCGAACATCTGGCATGGTATTGGTCGCAATGGATGAACGGTAGTTTGGTATTCGGTTAAGCCCGACTTCCAAGGTTGGAAGGAGGCCCACAATCCATGTCATCCAATGAGCACTACGCAGAGCAATGGAAATAATTGTACACTTTGAATTTGTTGGAAAAGACATAACCACAAGACGGAAAAGGACAACGAGTAGGTTTTCTCGCTCATGAGTACCGTGGCTGTTGAAGTGAAAGTGTGATGAAATAATTCAACGGACACGATTGGACAGCGCGGTTGCCGTTCACGGATAAGACCACGGGGTAAGAGCAGGTCGTCGTAAAAGTGTGATGGACTGAATCTTTGGAGGATTTTCCTACATAGGCGATGGGTCAGTGGGTGTGGCAGGCACCAAGAACAACAAATGAGTTGGCACCTTCTCACAGCGGCTTCCGTTTGGCCCTGGCCATTCTCATAACCTTCCCAACGCAAGAAGGTAAAATGGCCATTACGGAATCCCGTGACGCAACCTAGTGCACGATGATATTGATCAGTGCGAAGTTCGGTACACTCGCAAGCCCCAAGTATATAGTATCGCTCCCACGAAACTCCATCCAATCCGGGTCGGATTGGGAATGTCCTCTCGGGCAGGTGGTGATAGAGGACGGGAATACACTGCGAACTCCCAAGGGGATGGCTATAGGTCACGTCTCAAGAGTACGCTTTCTCGAGCACCAAGGTTCAAATGGAAAGATTATTGATGAAGAGTATATGTTGGACAACGTCTTTCCAACTTACTGGCTTGCTTCATCACAAGTTCACACTATTCTGTATGTCTCCAACTTCTAAACCGTTTTGTCCCTGCAACCAGACGAAATTATCCATAGGCGCCTCAGCCTTGACGGTCTCCCACAACCCATCAATGCTCTCGGCCGCCTCGGCGCTCAAGCCACCCTTCTGAATACTCCCTACTGTCTGGACAAGCTGATCTAATGAGCTCGCGCTAAAAACCATTCCATCCTCATCTGTCAGCGCAGAGTGATATGCTACCCACCTGTACGCCAACTCCGCCTTGGTCACGCCCTCGTTTTCCGCAATCGCACTCCACAACTTGAGCCCCTTGCGCAGAGACGGCTTGTTGTACATGTCGTTGTACATACCACCCATAACGTCTTTGTTAAACCGGCCCGCGCCCGCATCCAGATCAGTAAGCGATTTGCTCAAGAAGCCGCCCGCGAGCGGCGAATAGGCATAGAAGACTATGCCGAGCTTGCGCAGCACGGGGAACAAGTTTTTCTCTAGGTGGCGCGCCATAGGGTTGTAGTTGCCTTGGTAGACTTCAGGGAGCGGATAGCCTTTTTCCTTTGCGAGGTTGTACACGCGCTGCACGTCTTGAGGCGCATAGTTGCTCAGGCCGAAGCGTTTGAACAAGCCGAGTTTGTGGGCTTCATTGATACCAGCGAGGGTGTCTTCGAGTGGCACGTCGGCGGAGGGTGAGTGCATGTACACTATGTCGAACTGCTTGATGCCGCACTTTTGAATAGCCTCCTTGACGTGCGAGACTATCGTGTCCTTGCGCGCTGACCCGGGGACAAAGCCGCCGGGAACTTTGGTGTCGATTACGAATTGTGTGCGCTTCTCTTGCGTGCCGATGGCTTCTTCGGAGCCGGTGTAGAGGCGCGCTGTGTCGATTGTGGTGACGCCAGAGGTGAGCAGAGCGTCAAAGACCTTGTTCATCATGTCAGGGCTGCCCAGGGCTGCCCCGCTCATGAAAGCACTTCCTCCAAATACTATCTTGACCATAATGGCTGTATTAGGTACAATGTTGAGAAAATTGTTTCAGTTGTTTATTCTTGGTTGCAAAAGGCCGATCGATCAATGCGTTGTATCTGGGGGGAAAGTTGAGTAGTTCCAACCTGACAGCAGCGAGGCCCCTTGGACTTATACTTCCTTCAGAACCACACTCGCATCCAAGATCACAACTTTTACAATTTCTAAGCCATCTCTGCGATTACTCAGCCCCCCCTCCGTAATACAAGGCGGTGAGTACTAGCAAGATGCTCAAACCATCGCAGTGTCTAGCAAACGGTCGGTGTATCAGTCGTAAAAAGTTGGAAGGCTTCCTAGCGCAACACGCGGACAGGTCATAAAGAAACTAGTTTCTCGGTGGTAATAACTTACCCTTCACTCCGCTTCCTCCCGCTTTCGGAGCCGATGCCCACTTCTCCGACTTCTCCGACTTCTCCGACTTCTCCGGTCTTTGTGTCCGTAACCGATCATCGCGAAATAACTACCCTAGAATTGTTGCTTAGAAATGAACAATTGGGACTCTTTGGTGTCTGTGAATAAGTACTACTGCAAGTTTACAAAATCTATTACATCGGCATTGAACTTCTATCCAACTCCTCGCTTTCACCCCCCTTTATCGACCTTGAATATGGATTATCAAAACAAACTTCGAGTCATTATCGTCGGTTCGGGATTAGCAGGACTGACCGCCGCACGTATCCTCCGCGAACACCACCATGTCACCGTGTACGAGCGTGGAGACCAAACCGCTGCAACAGGAGGACAAGGCATCTCCATCTCTCCAAACGCAGTCAAGATCCTCGAGCGCATCGGATACGATCGTGAAAAGGCAGGCGCAGTGCCGATCTATGGCTATCGGTCTTACGATAAAGAAGGCAACGTTAAGAAGGACCACGAAGTCGACTTGAAGACAAGGTATGGGGCAGATCAGTTGACGCAAAAACGATCCGACTTTAGGGATGAGCTCATGAGGCTCGCGACTGCACCTTCTGCCGAGTTGAAGATTCAGGGTGATCCAGCACACATAGTCTACGACACTAAAGTTGTCGATTTGGATGCGGAGGAAGGGAGAATAGCGCTAGGAGATGGAACAACCGCTGAGGCTGACGTGGTCATTGGTTAGTATCATCACTCCGAGCGAGATTTGCATGAACCCTCGAGAAGATGCTAATGGCAAAAACTCACAGTGGCCGACGGCGTACATTCACGTCTTCGTAATCGTATCCTTTGCGACGATAGTATCCAAGTTAAGACGATGGGATTATCATGTTACCGCGTTGCCGCCTCTGCAGACGCTGTCAAAGAAGTGCTTGGTGGCTCTCTTCCTCATTGGTGGGAGCCTACCACAGCTCAGAATCGCGTGTGCATACTCAACGATGGTAGTGACCGCTTTGTTGCCGCGTATCCACTCCGCCATCACGAGTACATGAACTTCTCATGCATCTTTCCTTCCCGTATGTCGAAGCAAAGCAACAGAACCAATTCATGGTATGCGGAGGCGAACAGCGACGAGATTATAGAGATTTTTCATGATTTTGAGGAGTCTTTCCGCAAGATTCTTGGGTATGTTTATCCTGTTCACACCCTCAAACAGTGTTTCACTTTTTGCTCACATCTTTTTTTCCAAGCATCGCGACAGAAGTAAAATATTGGGAACTACAGGAACTTGATGCTCTACCTACTTGGACTCGGGGCCGTGCAATTGTCATCGGAGATGCCGCCCATGCAATGCCACCGCTGCAAGGTCAAGGAGCTAATCAGGCTGTCGAAGATGGTGAGAGCTTCCGTTTGCTTGAAGGGGTGGAGCCCAGAGATGTTCCGAAAGCTCTAAAGCAGATTGAGAGTCTGAGGAGACCCCGGGCAACGCAAGTTCAAGAAGATACCCGTAATATGGCCGGTGAAGTCAGTTGGGAGGACAGAATGGCCAAGTACGATTTTCTGTATAGTTATAACGGTATTCGTGAGGCTTAGAAAGCACAAATAGATTTCTACTTGGGTAACCTGTTATAGAATGCCTCTATACCCTAGAGGACCACTGTAAAGATTATTCTTAGACCTTCTCTACCAATATTAAAAAAAGGAAAGAAGAAAGAAAAAACTATTTGTACATCCGAAAAGACTTATAGACCCTTCACTCTTCTTCTTGTCTTTTCAACGGCTCACCTCACCCCCCTCATCTCGATCTTTTTTTTTTTTACAAGAAACCACAATAGCTAACCATCTACTCAATCCTCTTCTTCCCCTCCTCCAGTCCCAACAACCTCGCATCACTCTTGCCCCTCTCGTGTTTCGCCGAACCCCCAACCAACGGTCCCACAACAGGATGGTTCCGGACCTTCTGTAGCGTCTCCTGGAAAGCTTCGATTTGCGGGGGTTGTCGGTTTAGTTTAGGCCAGTTGACCTGTTGAAGTGAGGAAGGAAGTTAGCAAGCCCGTTTTTGCGGAAAGGAAGAGAAGGAAAAAAAAAGTGCTCCCTGGAAGATAGTGCAGATGGAATGGGACGAAGACGAGAGGAGGGAAAGAAACGGGGGAAAAAAACTTACGTATAATGTACCATGTCCCCACATAAAGTTCAGACAAGCCGCAGCCGTCAGAAGAGACAAAAGGAGGAGAAGACGCAAAGGCCAGACAGCAGCATCAGGCGCTCTCCGTGTCAGACTGCCGACGAGTATGAAGAAGACGGCCGCAGCAAAGATGTATGGTATCGACTGAATGAACAGTGGCCGTCTATCCGCAAAGAGAATTTGTCCACCCCCAACCCCATCGCTCGGCAGATAATTACCCAAGAAGAGGTCAAACCCATCTTGTCTCGGCCCATCAGCAAAGTTATTGAGACAATATCTCGTAATACTATTATTCAAATCCTGCAACGCACCCGCCTTGGTCCTCACGCCCAGTCGCGTGAAATCAGTCTTGAGTGCGCCTGTGCCCGAATACGACTTGGACACAACATCCGCGTTATCGGCCCAGACGTTGCGGAACAGGAACTCAAAGTCTTTATCCTCCTCGGCCGACTCCCCTTCGCGCAGGAGACCGAGGTCAATCAGCATGCGTGACAGGACGAAGCGCCCCAGCATGCTCTGCACAACATTAGTGCGGTCGAGACAATCCATGCAATTCGTGCGCACAACAGCCGTCTGGTGGCGGCGGACTTCGACGCCCGACCCATCGCCTGGCATATCGACGCCGCAAAAATATCCGTGGCGCAGAATGTGCGGTTCGAGCTGGTCGAGCAGGAGCTTAGCGCGGTCCCAGCGGAGACCCTTTGTTTCGTTGTGGAAGTCAAAGTAGATGTAATGTAATCGATCGTAGACGGTTTGCGCCTTTGCCGGATCGATAATGTGGAACTTCTCCGACGTGATGCGGTCGCCTTGGACGTTTTCCGAAGGCGACGTGTGCAGCAGGTTGACCATTTGCTCGTAGGCTTCTTTGACGCGCTGCTCGCGGCCCTTTTGGTTGACGAGGTTGACCATCCAGTTATCGCCGTAGAGGCGGATTTGTTCGGCAAAGTGCTTCTTTGCGGCGGGGAGGGCGTTGTCGATGCCGCGGATTTGCAGCTTGGGCGTGTACTTGAGCGTGTTTATCTCGGCCCAGTAGACGGGTACGCTGCCTCTGGTCTGGACGTAAGCGAGGACTTGAGTCTCCTTGCCCGCCGTGCTGGACGGGTTCTGGTTGGAGCCGAAGCCGCCGGGGCCGCCTGATGCGTTGTCGTTGAGGATGATGGTCTGTTCGGTTTCGTTGAAGTTGGACACGTTGCCGTTCTCGTCGATGCCGCGGGAGAAGTAGCGGGTGCCTGCCTTGAGGCGCGAGCGGCGCGTGATGAGGATAAAGGTGAGCGGCGTGCCCTTGATAGACGTGTTTTTAATCTCCAACATGCCGTACATGACGGGCAGGATGTAGGGGTCTGCGCCCGGCTGGTGGCCACTCGAGTGCCTTCCATATCCGCCGCTGAGACCACCGCGGAAGTCGATGAGGTCGCTGGACACGAAGCGGTTCCAGTAGAAGCGGTCGTCTGCGCGCTTCCACAGGGGGGTCGAGGGGTCGAGGTGGGCCTGGCGCTGGAACGTATTTGTTATGTCGAACGAGTAGGAGAAGAAGAGCGGGCTGGTCTTGATGAGCGTCTTGAGGAGACTGAGGTAATTATCTTCGTCGGCATCGTGCAGCGGCTTTTCGCGTAGGGAGAGGAACTCGGTAGCGACAACTCTGTAAATCATGTGGCCTTTGATCCTACCCATGGGCTGGGCCTTTGTGATGACAATGATGTACTTGTCTTCACATGTCAGCATTCGCTTTCGTGTCGCCAGAAGTGCAGCGCATACCCAGTCGCAGCTTGATCATGCCGAGGATGCCAGCAATGCTCGAGACCCTCTTGGAGCCCAGCAGCTTGCCATCGTGAAGGCGGATGTCACCTGACGGGCGGTCGACGACGAGGGTAGGGGCTGAGGGCGACGATGGCGAGGAGAAGGCGTAGTGCGAGGGCGAAGAGTGGACATTGATGTCGCGGTAAGGGAGGGCGACGCTCATGGCGGCGGGAGACTATAGGCTGAAGAGCGTGGAGCTCTGTCCTGGAGTCGTGTGGAGTAGTTGTTTGATACGTCGTGTTTTCGACGACGGACTGTTCCAGGGTTTCGTCATGGCGGCCATTGCGGCCAAGGGTCCCCGACTCGTGCGCTAGGGCCAAGCACCGGGACGCAGCACCTCGTCACAGCACCCACCAGCTCTTTCACCCTCACCCCAACACCACGCCTCTACATATCTCCTCCCACAGCCCGATATACCGACTGCCCTCGACAGTCTGTCCGCCGCTTCCACCGCTTCCCCCCATCCACCGCCCAGCCTCGAATACCCTACACCCGATAGCGCCGCGTCACCCCCGTCATGTCGGCCAGGATGCAGCAAGGTCAACGGCCTGGAGGCTCTAGATTTGCACAGTTCAAGCTGGTGTTGCTGGGTACGATCTGTCTTCAAACAAAACTGTTGGCGCAACTAGATAGACTAACAAGCACCAGGAGAATCCGCCGTCGGAAAGGTGCGCAAGCCTATCAAGGCAGCCATGACATAAGCTAACACCTCGCAGTCGTCTCTGGTGTTGCGCTTCGTCAAGGTGCGACATGCTCCTACCGCAAACATATGAGAGCTCAGCCGCTAACCCGACCAGGATCAATTCGACGACTACCGGGAATCCACCATCGGCGCCGCCTTCCTCACCCAGACCATCGCCCTCGATGAAAACACGACCGTCAAGTTTGAAATCTGGGATACCGCCGGTCAAGAACGCTACAAGTCGCTCGCGCCCATGTACTACAGAAACGCAAACTGCGCCGTAGTCGTCTACGACATCACACAGGCTGTACGTCCCTGATCCATGCCTTGATAATGCCATGGAAAGAAAGAAGAAAAAAACTGACATAGCCCGTGAAACTTCACAGGCCTCCCTAGACAAAGCAAAAGCCTGGGTAAAAGAACTCCAACGCCAAGCCAACGAAAACATCATCATCGCCCTCGCGGGCAACAAACTCGATCTCGTCACCGAATCCCCCGATAAGCGCGCTATTTCCACGGCCGACGCCGAGCAATACGCCAAAGAAGCCGGTCTGCTCTTCTTTGAAACGTCGGCCAAGACGGCTGAGAATGTTAAAGAGCTTTTCACGGCGATTGCGAAAAAGTTGCCTATTGATCAGGCGACGGGGCCGAGGAACTTGAGGCCGGGACAGCAGCGTCAAGGGGTCAATCTGAGGCCCGAGGCTAATCAGACGCAGGGGCCTGGTGGGTGCAACTGCTAGAACTTGATCTCATGGGCGGAATCGCACGCGCGGAAGGAGATGATGCTGTAGATTGTGTAAACTTGGGCATGGGGAATTTATGTACGCCCATCGCCCGGATAGTGTGCATGTGCGTGTCTGTATTCCTTATATCTTCCACTATGTTCATTTTGGAACATATCTGGGCCTTTGGCGGAGATACGGAGTAAGGATTTGTTTTGTTTGGTCGTTATCAGTTTCCTTGTATTCCAAGAAGAGAGAAGGAGAGACAGAGAAGATATTGGGGCCACCTGAGCTTTTTTTTAATTAATGATTTCGACAATTTGCTCTCCTGGTTTTGTTTCTTTCTCTTGTCCATGGTCTATTTCTGTCCAAGGGGCGGAAACGTTTTGCAACTTGATGGTAAAAGAGAGGTTCTACGAGAGATTTTGTGGTTTGAGGAAGAGAGGAGAGGATCGATTCACTCGAGTCCAAATTGTAAGTTCTGCGCAAGGTTTGTGTTGATTGGAGAGCCTGCGCTTCAAGATGGCAAAGTCTGCTTATTGTGCATTCGCGTAGAACGACTGTGGTCTGCCTCTAGGTGGTCTCGATGCACTTGCAGTGTCTGACGACGTCATTGTGATTTCCCCTACATCAATTCGCTCTGGACTATTTCCTCTCTACACCACTCTTTTACACAGGACCTCCTCTTACAACACTTCTTCTCGCAACACTTGCCTAGCGTGCAACATTGTTGAAGTAGGTAGCTTTCAACACAAGACGTTACACACAAGAGAAAGGCGCTGACGATACTTAGGCATCTCTAGTCCTCGTCATCACCCTCGTCCTCGATATCATCACCCTCATATTCCCCATTCCAATCAACAACGCTCGCACCGGTAATTTCTGAAGCGAAGCACACAAAACATGGGCGCTGACAAAGCTTCAGAAAGAGCTGGAAGCCGGGCTGCGATATCGCGAAAGCAATGCCGTAGTATATTCTGTCTCACCAAACGGTACTGCAGAGCCATGGAAGACGAGCCATTCCCACCTACCGCATCAACGTTGTTGCCATCAATGGAACGTACGCCGAACGGCCGAAGCCTGCCAAGGGTGTCTGCACCCCAGCGCTGGAAGGCGCCTACCTTGCGGTTAACGCCCTTCTGCGCTAGAGGCTTCTCCCTAAGGCCCAACGTAGCCGACCCTTAGAGCCAATCCCTTTCCCGAAGTCACGGATCTACTTTGCCGACTTCCTTTGTCTACATTGTTCTATCAACTAGAGGCTGTTCACCAGTTCCTTATCAAAAACTAGTACTTCACTCGGCTCGACTTGAGCCATATCCTGCCCTGCAAGTGTACTGAACTGTGCACTCATCGATAACAACGATTACCAACACTATTGCGCACCACCCTACGTCAAGCCAACAGCCTTGAGAGGCGCACGCGCGCTACGCTGAAAGAGCCAACGATTCTTTCCCCTCGTTCGGAAGCATTTCTAATTGTCGTCGAAGATGTGGTGGTAGCCTGTTTGCTGTCCGGAAGTAGTGGTGGTTAGAATTATGCGTGGCTGGTATCTGTAAAGAACAACATATGCAAAAGGAAGAGCGCCGAGCTCGATTCCCCGCAGTAGCGCTGCACTGACGCTGAAAGGGCTGCAGGGAAAGTGCCCTGCTACATGGAAGCGGACGTTGTTTGGCTCGCTAACCGCCTTCAGAATAACTTTGCATTACATGAAACAGGGTGTGTAGGACATGGCTTACTCTGATGGCCGCTCTCGATGTGCCATAACCTCTTGCAGCCCCCAGACTCACACGCAGCACTCGTCTGCCTGCCGCTGCGATTGGTCAGCCTGCCGCCTTCAATAAACTCAGCCTTGCATGAAGTAGGCTGTGCATGACATGGCATGCTCCGATGACCGTTCTTGAGGCGCTATAACCTCGATCTGTAACAAGGTTATTTAAAAGTGATTGCGAATGTAGTAATTCTATATTACTGAGTTCTTACAGAAACAATTGGTCTTGCGCTTTGTCTCTACATCTCTGCATTATCAGATATCACTCGCAAAAGGCCTTTTTTGCATATGCATCTGCGCTTGGAATTCCTTGTTTAAATCTCCTCTATCAGCGCGTGGTTCATACACATTGGTTGTTCAGCATGCCTACCCAACTATTTGATTTATATGGAATGCAATTCCTCTTTAGGTTCAGTGTCGTTGGTGGATGGGGGATCCTTTTCTTCTTTATTGTCGCTTTCCTGAGCAATAACAGGCTTAGCGACAAGTATTGGAACATCCTTGCTACAGCGTTCGTCGCCGCGAACATCGTTTGGGTTATCGGATTGGAAATAACCGTACGGTCCAACCGGTCAGGCAAGTTTCTATTTAGGGCTTACGTGTAAGTTCTTAGATATCCACTATGCGTATGATTGAAGGTTACGTTCAACTGATCATTCTGGGAGTCAGGAAGCAGTCCAAGAAAGGTAGTTTTGGATCTAGACCTTTGATTGCCTTGTTACACCGCGAGTTCAAGAGGCAGACCACGAACAGAATTGCGTATGTGCAGCAATCCCCGTCAGCTACTCGTGAACCAGTGCCTCCAGACGGCCCATCACATCTTAACTGTACCACCTGCCATACAACTCCGTCCAGTCTCGAAGAGATGAGTATCGTGTATGCTCCCTTGATAGGCGACGCAATCCGTTTGCTTCATATCCATCCGTCTTTAGACGAAACGTTGGGCTTGGAAGCTGACTTGGTACATTTCCCACTCTTGTCTGCTCAGTTGAAGAACTACAAAGCCTTGTCTTACACTTGGGGGGCAGAGAAGGCTTCCGTATACATTGCCATAAATGGTGCGTCCATGTCAATTAGCCCAAACCTTGACAAGATACTGCGGGAACTAAGGGCTCTAGAATATGAATACGTATGGGTAAGTCCAGGAGGCTCTAAGTCCTTCAGTAGCTCGAGAGCTAACAGTAAGTCCAGGTTGATGCTATTTGTACAAACCAGCAAGACGACACAGAACGTAGTGCCCAGGTCATCCGCATGCGAGCCATTTATTCTGGAGCACAATCAATAATTGTCGCTACCGAAACTGGAGCTACGATCGCTGGAGACCGGATCATCCAAATACTTGATTCCGTTGAAACAGCATCGTATTCGACCAGCCCCGCTACCAGTTTTGCCGATATACTCAACGACGAACTGGCTCTGTCGGCGCTTGAAGCATTCTTCAACGACCCTTACTGGAAAAGGATATGGATCTTACAAGAGTTTGCGATTGGATACAACATAGAATTCCTCATCGGTAATCGTACGATTGCGGCCACCAAGTTGCGGACATTACTCGAGAAGCTGAACGAGCAAAGTTCAGTTAAGGATCGGTGGAAGCAAGTGAACACTGTGTTCAAAATCCGAATGGATTGGCAGCAAGAGGTTTCGCTGAAACTTTTACTACTTCTTGAGATTACCCAGGGGTCATTGTGTCGTGTCAGACATGATCGTATCTTTGGCCTACTTGGACTTTCGGTCGACGCATTGAAATATTTGCCCGAACCAAATTATAACATCGACCCGAACACAATAACAGTCGCAATCGCACGCGCCTACATCCAGAGAAACACGCTAGAGATCATCCTCTTAGCCCCGCATTGCCCTCACACTGATCTACCGACCTGGACTCCAAACCTGTTCCATTTCGATTCCTTCCCTCCTGAAAGCAGATTAATCCGCATGATATCGAACAGCGACTCTAAATCTCAGTGGCGAGCGACAAGTGAAGCGAAATCGAATATAACCTTCCAAGGCCAGAGTTTGATGACGCCTGCCGCTCGGATTGGATCCATTCGCAGTCTTGGAACAACATTTTCTGACCCTATGGAAACAGGATTCCCAGTCCACGACGCTACTTGGGCCCGAAAAATAGGTTCTTCTCATCTCTGTAGAGAGTTCTACGAAGTAATGCTTGAAGAACTTTACACGCCGAACCCCAAACCTTGTTCTCTCGGGCTATCTCACACTCGCATGTGCACGGTACATGGGCATAGTTTTGTAAAAAGCTTCCTCCCGAGCCATGGGTCACCGGATCCAGAGATGCTGCACGGTGAGTTGGTGAGATGGATTTGTGCGAACAGAGCCTTTTTCACTGGCGCACGCACACTGGCGGAGAGTGCGGCGCGACTTAGACACCCCTTCTTGATGTATGGCTGGAATGCTTGGAATAGGACTTACTGGAATAACAAATTTTGGGGAAATGAAGCGTTTTGGGTTTGGAGAAGAATGGGCATGATGGCAAGACTTGACATGCGCTTGATGTGCTTGGATGGCAGCCCAAAGTACCAAATCGGCTGGGCGGCGAAAGGAGCGCGACTGCATGATGAAGTTTTTCTCATTCCTGGCTGTAGCAGTCCTGCTGTTCTACGCAAGCGGCCTGACGCAAAGTACGAGGTTGTAGGTGACGCTATCGTCACAGGAGCTATGCAAGGAGAGCTTTGGGAGAAGTTGCATTCAGAACACGTTCAGAACATCGAGATTGTGTAGAAGTATGTGAAGAAGAAACAATGTCAATATTGCTTGCGAGTGTACCGAACTTCGCACTCATCAACACCATCGCGCACCAAGTTGCGTCATGGAATTCTGTAAAGGCCATTTTACCTTCTTGCATTGGAGGGGTTATAAGAACGGCCAGGGCCAACGCCCTCTCCAGATGGATGAGAAAGTGCAAGAGTACAGGGCATGGGGTGATCTCATAAACATGAGGAGTCTGTATTCGTTGTCATTCCAGCGAGAAATTGAGCAAAGGAGATGAACCAGGGCGGGACATGGAAAAGAAGGAACATACACCTACTCATCCCGAAGGTGCTTGCTTGCTTACTTGCCTATCTCATATCCCATCTCCCAACTTTCCAACACTCCATTTCACACATGCACCAGCCCTTCCAAATCAATCTCCACCCCCTTCCTCCTCCTAAACCTCAACTGATTCCCAGTATCCAACGCCTCCGTCTCCCCAAACAAAATCTTCGACGACAAATCGCAATCCTCACCCAGCTCCCAATCATACTTGAGCAGCAAATGGTATAGCGCAATCTTCATCTCATTTGCGGCGAAAAACCGCCCGGGACAGCCTTGTACGCCGTGGCTGAAGGAGAGGTTGTCTGGGCCTGTGGATAAGAGATGAGCTTGGCTGACTTTGGTGGGGTTGGGGTCGTCGCGCACGCGGTAGTAGCGGTAGATGTCGAATTTGTCTGGGTTGGGGTGAATGGCTGGGTCGGACATGTGGTAGCCGTCTACGGCGATTTGTTGGCCTTGCGGTATGATGGTGCCGTCGGGGAGGACGACGGTGCGTTTAGCTTTGCGGCGCATCGTTACTGTTTGGTTTGAACGTTAGTATTTTTTCATGTTTATATTTGTTGTTCTCCTTCTCTTTCTTTGTCTCTCTCCCGCGCGCTCCCTCGCAATCATCTAAGAAGAAGATAAAATACAGGTTTTTGGCAACTTACAATACGCGGCGGGCCTATACCTCTGCGCCTCCTTCAAGCAGCTATTCATCAATTTCAAATTCGCCAACGCCCCCTTTGTCAACCCCTCACTGCTCAACACCCGCACAATCTCTTCTCGAAGCGCATCTACGTATTTCGGCTCACTTGCTAGTAGCGTCAAGGCATGCGTCAGCAGCTCACTTGTCGTATGTATCGCGACAAACGACAGCGCAGTCTGAAAAAGCGCTGGATCGTACTTCGTGCCCCAAGCTTCCTGCTCGTACCAGTCAATTATGTCGTTGAAGACGGGTTCGGGCTGCCCGTTCCGTCTAGCCTCTTCCTTTAGCGCTTGGCGTTGGGTGAATAATGGGGTGAGGATTTCGCGACATCGGTTTCCGTTTTCACGCACGGTTTTGGCTTCCGAGGAGAGGTAGGGGACGAGGAACTTTAGATACGGGGGGAGTGCTGCCATTTTGAGAGTCATGATGAAACATGTTGCCTAGAATTCTTTTACGTTAGTCGGGTGGTAATATCTGAATTGTTCTTGTCCTTTTCGAATGCAGTGTTCTTCTTGAAGATGGAAATTGACTGACGGTGTAGGCTTTTGAAGCTGAGAGCCAGGCTTCGTTGCGGCACATGGTGTCGCCGAGGAAGATTCTGGTGGATAGACGGGCGGTGAGTTGAAGAATCGAGTCTGCAATGACTGTTTCTTTCCATTCTGCGAGGGCGGTCAATCGGTGCAGAGAGAGGTGGTGGATACATCGTACCGGGATCTTTGCCAAATATCACATCGCACGCATAAGTGGCTTCTTCTGAGAGGGGCTTTGTCAATGTGTCTTGAAGATATTTTTGTTAGCTTGATATAGTCTACACAACTGCTTGATCTGCTTACTCAAGTATTTGGTGAGTTGATTCATCACAACGGTTTGTACTAGTCTTTTCTCGTGTAGTAGCACGGCAAACATCTCGAAGCCGTGCACATGTCCAGAAAACATCTAATACTTGATGAGCTCCAATGTCATGTATCGACTGTATCAAACAACGTACCCTCACTACTGCTTCTGCGAAGCTAAGATCCATTGAGTTGCGAATCGTAGCCGCATACTCTGGAGGTAAGATAAGACATTCGCCCGTATCAGTAATCAACCTGTAAAGCTGCTTGCCGTAGCGCCTCCTGGCTTCGCTCATTATGGCCCTCCCATTCTGTTGGAATTCCAGTCGTTTGAATAGTGCAGTCTGGTACCAGCGTGGAGGGTTGGCTAGAGGTGGTTTCGATTTACCGCTGGTCATGACAACGATCGACAGTACAACCATGACACCCAGAGAGATTGTCACCATCGCTGGCAAAGACTGCACAAGTGCGTCAAGCGATGGCTCTGGTGGAACATGAGGAATTCGCGATGGTCCAGGAATCGACATATTGAGGATATCGTGGTTGAATGGATGGTTGGAATATCTAGTGTACACAAGAGCTCCATTCTTATAGCGAATTCTCCATCAACGCAACCTCACCATCGGGTTCCTGTCTAGGTGCATCTTCCGTGCTAGGCGTATCAGTAATCCCTTTCTCATCTATATCCAGTCATGTGGCTACCTTTGACGTTGTATCGACCCACTGATCAACCACAGTCCACGGATAGCAAAAGCTCCTCCTTCCGAATGCAACCCCATATCTTAAAGGCTCTCGTTAGGCCTCGGCACCATATGCATTGTATACGACGGATGCAATGACTTCCCACGTTGAGAGGCCTGGTGTCTGAGCTCGAACCAACCACAACCCTCCCAACCCCCCAAATCCCTCGCCAAACCAGTCCTCTAAAATGGTAGAAAAGCCCCAAGTATAAGACACCTGAGTACCGTTACACTAAAACCTCCGAGTAACAACGACAGTTTCGAAAACCCTCCGAATGACGTCAGAGGCGCAGAGTCCTGATTACTTGCGACATCCCTTATTGGCATGGTAGATACAAGGCCAGGAGCCGAAAGCTTGAGGTTGCTTGTTGAAGTCAAGTCCACCTCTTACCATACTCTGACGGAACGGGCCGACGGCTGGGAGTTGCTTCTCGAAGCCAAGTCTGCCTACTCCCGTGTTAGTTGATACAACATCATCCGACACTTGGTTCTCATCTTGGATGCATCTTTTACTAATTCTTCTATCCTGTATAGACTAAGCGCCCAGTCCTCACTCAGCAACTACAATCCTAGCAGAACCTATTTTCTCTTCCTCAAACAACCTCTGTCATACATCCTAGCGACATACATGTCAACGACTGCGCTATGTGCCCATCACTATATAGAAAACCACCATAAAAATAACATATTTTCCGAACTTAGTAGTCGATATGATTAATATCCCTGGTTTGCGATCACATCAGCAAGCCCATCTTCCAAATGTGCAAGTCTTAACATTTATCACGATGTCAGGAATAACATCCGAACAGAAACGAGAACAAGCAAAAAAGAACAGCTTTTCTATAGACTAATACTCGTATTGTTACAAAACTACAGTAGTATCGGACTACGGAAAAAACTAACCACCAAATGGGCGGGTTAGAGGGACGGGCAAATAAAAAAAACCACATTCGGCGCCTCCTCTAACTACCAAGAAGCTCATATCAAGCCTTGTCTCTTAATCAATAAGCAAGCTATTCAGCCTCGCCTCAGTAGCAATAACATCCAACGCCTGCTTCACCTCCAACACTCTCCTACACTCGCTCAACCAATCCTTACTCAGCACCTTAGCCCAACCCTGCAAGCCATTCATCTCACGAGCCGCGGCATCCAAATCGCCTTCCTCGAGCAAAACCTCTGTTCTGCTCAGCACAGCTTCCACATCCGCACCAACCGCCAATCCCGACTTCTTAAATAGGACCTTTGACATGGCCAAGCTAGCAAGATGGCTCGCCATGCCCGCGTCCTCGGGCAGCAGTGCCGCTTTCCTGACTTCCTGTGCGACGCGGCGGAAGCGGTCGATGAGAAGTGCCGAGCTGGGGATACCGCGTTGGTACGCGGCGGGGTTGATGGAAGCAATAGCTGCGCTGACGACGGGGTCATCGGCGGCGATTTCCTTGAGAGCAGCGAGTTCCGTGACAAAAGGTTTGGGCGTGGCTTGAGTTTCCAGAGCCGACTTGACTGCCTCGACGGCCACGACGAGATGCTGCGTCTTGAGGTTAGCGTCGACGACGCTGTTCCACTCTCCCGTCAACTTTTCGAGCTCGTGGACAGACGACGAGAGTTCGTTGAGCTTGCCGAGGCGGCCGTCACGTTCTGCTTCGACGCGTTCGCGGACGTTTGCGGTAAAGGATTTTTGCATGTTGATGCTTTGCTCTAGGAGCTGGTTCTTGAGCTTCTGGTCGTAGACTTTTTGTGCGGCCTGGAGTTCGGACTGGAGACGCTCTTTGTAGGATTGTGATAGACGCTCGCGCTCATTCTCGAATTCCTCCTTGAACTGGGCTTCTTGAGCCTGCATTTGGTGATCAAGACGTGTGACGAGTTCCTTGGCGGCTTGGTCGAACTCCGCGTGGGCGGCGGCGACCTTGTCTTCGGTCTGCTTCTGCAGGCTCTCCTTCATCATGTTGATGTCTGACACGACCTTTGCGAGCTCGCTCTTGGCCTTGTCAAGCGCAGAGTTGTATTTGCCATCGTGGGCGTTGTCGGCGTTGATGACGGTGATGATGTCGTTGACAATCTTGACAACGTCTTGGACAACGGGCTCAGTGGCGGAGGGGACGCTGAGGTGGTCTAGCTGGGAGATGGGCTTGGCTGAAGTCTCCTTCTTGACGACCTCCTTGACCGGGGTGGCCTTCTTCTCTTCTGTCTTGGACGGCGCGGGTGAAGGTGCGCTGGAGGAGACCTTGGGCTGCTGACCGCTCGACTCGGTGTTGTCGGGCTTGTTGTTGGCGTCGACAGCGCTCAGATGGGGGCCCTTGGAGCCCAGGTCGCTCTTGTTCTCCTGGGCTGGGCGCGCCGTCAAGCCGCTCCTTCCAGGAATCGTGACCTTGTTCTCGCCTGAAATCTGAGGGTGCAGTCTCGGTTCTCCAGCGCGGCCGGGGAATCGTCGCCTGAACTCGCGCTCCTCAAAGTATGCAACGGCATCCTCTCCATAGGGAATGTACTCGGTGAAGAAGTCGTGGAAGTTGTCCGAGACGAGCGAGTACCAGACACCGCCGGCGTAGCCGAGGCCAGAGAGGACGGTGAGCCACAGAAGGAGCTTGCGGAAGATGCGTCGCTTCTTCTTGGGCTTGGGCTGGATTGGGTCAGGGGCTACGCTCGACGATCCGGGGCCGGTGGGCGGTGTTGTCTTTGGCGATATGGCGGGCGCATCGCGAGAGGCTGCGGCAGCCACGGAGCTGTCGGGGGCGGGCGGTGCTTTGGGAATGTCCGAGGCCTGGATGGAGCCCTCGCCGACGGGGGTCGGGTTGGAGGGCGATGTGGTGGGTGCTGGGTTGGGGACGGCCGTCTCGCCCAGGTTCTTCTTATCGTCTGCGTAGAAGCGTTGAGCGACGTGCCATTGCGGGCGAGCGGCGCGGACCAATGGGCGGGCAGCTGGACGGGCCCTTAGGATGGAGGCGCGCAGCATGGTGGGCTGGCCCGGGAGATGCTGGATGGAGGTCGGAGTTGGTGATGGTCGTCGATGTTGACCAAGGCCATGAAGATTTGGAGCTCAACCGACATCACACGTCAGGTGGTCCGTGTGTACCCACCTCCCTCTCGGCGCACACATAACCACGACACCGACAACACCAGCCCAAATTCGACTCAACGTCGACAACATGCCGTGTCGAGTCCACATTTGCTCCCTGCACACAAGTCGCTGCTGCTAATAAGTTGCTGCTGCTAACAAGTCACTGCTGCTAACCAGTCACTAACTGCAGCTTCACTTTCACCCCATTCTCAATCACCCGCAGCCAGTCGCTTCTGCTCACCTTGACTCTCCAACTCTCTCTCTCCTTTTTTTCCTCTACATTGCATTTCACCTCTGGCCCTTTCTCTCACTCAACATCTTGCTCGTACTTTCCGTTTCGCAAACTCAAAATAGACCTCCGACTGAAACAAGACAAGTTAGCACAGCCTTGGGCGTCACCAGCTCGCAACGTCATCAGATCACGTCCAGAGCGCCGCCAACAGGCAGCCGCACTTCCACCTCAACAACACCCGCCCACCTTCACCCCGCGCGTTTCTAGCGGAGAGAGACCCACCTTCCAGATCCGTCTGCAGCGAGAAAATTTCAGTTGTGGCTTCGTTCCTCGGCTACAAAGTGGCAAGCTCCAACACCAACATCAAGTCTGCACCTCCGTCAGCTGAACAGAATCTGAACACCTGTCCCCACCTCCACCAAGGAAAATGGCCAACAACGCGCGACAAAGCGCCGCGGCGCATGACGAAGAAGATTATAGCTACGATCTTAGCAACGCCATATATGGTCACTTCCCCATCTCACCCCACCAGTCACGCGCCACTTCCCCAAACTCTTCCAAGAAAAGAAAACCCATCACCACCAGCGCCAACCAAAATCTCGCCAGAAAAACCACCATCTCACTCAACCGCCACAACGCACCTCCAACCTGGCTTCCGCAAGCCCAGCAATCTGGCAAAAGAGAATACAACATGTCCATCCACCAGAGCACGTGCTTGAACCTGAACATGGCGGCGTCGGGACAGAGCTCAGAATCCGATCTGTGGATCTTGCCCGAACTCGACGACTGGGAGGAAGGCGAGGAGACGGAGACGGAATCGAGTAGCCAGGGCACCCTATCGCCATCGGCATCGCAATCGTCGACAACAGCACCCCAACTGCCAGCAGCATCTCAGGGACCCAACAAGTGGGCTGGGAGCTTTTTCCGCCGTGCGGCAAATAGTAATTTGGAACGTCTGCGGACTCGTCTCGAGGGTGATGGCTGGGATTTTGTGGGCGGGCGGTATCGTGATGATGAGATGAAGTGTCTGAGTGGTGGTGGTGGTGTTGAGGGAGAGGAGAGTTTGGATGAGGAGTTTGATGTTGTTGTTTTGTCGGGCGAGAGGGGAGTGTAGTACTACTGGTTGGTCGTGAAAGACAAGTTACCTGGGTAAGGTATCGGTGGTAAAAAGAGAAGTATGTGGGCGAAGACGAAGGGTTCCGACATTGACGACAACTTTTCATGACATGAGTACACGAGGATCTTTGCGGTTTTTTTCTAAAAGCGAGTGTTTTTCGACGATACCCCGGCTGTTTTTCTTTTATAGTACATGCTATTGGTTGATCACGATGGTGGAAAAGTTGGCCAGAATATTACGAGTCACTAATGCAAACAAATATCGACCAACATGTCGTTATGACGGATACCCATGCTGTTGGAGATCTCTACCTGATAAATTCTGTTATCGCTTGGATTGTCCAATGAAGCTCATGTCTTCTGATTTACATGTTATTGCCATCGATCACTTGGAATGTATTCACGGTATACTTATCAGCGCACATTGTAACAAGTCATCATGATCATTATAACATTGTATGAAACCTATTTTCTAACAATAAGCCACACCGTCCACCCTGATCCGCCGTAACGATCTCAACTCATCAAATCAGTGCACGTGTGCACCAGCCAGCTTAACCAGCTTGGGGAAATCCGGTGTTCCAAACCCAGTGATCGGATCCCAGCCTTCCGTGACAGGGAAACCTTCAACGTTACATCCACGGCTGAAGCCCTTGGTAATATCAGTAAGGCCCTTGTACCCCTTCTTGTACAACCAAGGGTTCAAGAAACCCAGAGTGGGCTTGCCACTCGCCAACAGCGCATCGTTGACTAGGGAGAAGATACCAGCAGTCAATGGGCAAGACGCCGAAGTACCAGAAATAGTGCCTTCGGTCCCGTTCCAGAAGTAGGCAAAGTACAGGCCTTGGGCAGCCAGATCAGGGTATCCGCGGCCCGTCTTGTTGTAGAGACCCTCGTAGGTATCGCCGAGCGAGTCAACGTACTGTGGCACGACGCTGTCCTGGTACCAAGGGCGGGGGAAGTAGTTGCTAAAGCCACTGCCGCTAGAGTAGAGATCGCGGAAACCAGCAGACGTGTTGCGACTCGGGCGGTAAGCCGATTCCTCGGGCTCAAAGTTCATGGTCGCACCGACAGTGGTGACGTAGGGGCACGAGGCGGGGAAGTTGGGCTGGAATTGGTACTTGTTGCGGCCGTCGTTTGTGTAGCAGGTGTCTGTGCCGCCGATACCGTGGTCGCCGGACGAGAAGAAGAGGGTTGTGCCTCTGGCACCTACTTGGGCGAATTGCTTGCAGACACGCTCGGCGTAGCTCTTGGGCACGGTCTGCTCCGAGTCGCCGTACGAGGTGGAGATGATGCGGGGGATGGAGTGCTGGGAGAGCAGCCAGTTCACCCACACAAGGTAGGGCTCGTTGGTGTTTGTGGGGGTGGAGACATCGGGTGTGAAAGGGGGTGAGCCGCCGGTGGAGAAGGACGTGATGGGTGTTTTCCAGCTGATGCCCGAGATGGCTTGGACATCGAGGTTGGCCTCGCGGCTGATACCCTCAACAGTGGATTGGTTATAGGTCAAAGGACCGTCTTGAGTGGGGCCGTTGTCGATGGAGATTTGCTTGAAGGCGTAGGCTTGGGATACGGCTTCTGGGCGGTATTTCTCCAGGAACATCTTGGTATCGGGTCGGATGGGGATCTCGCCGAGGTAGTTTGTGAAGCCGACGCTGTTCTTACGGCTGGCTTTGGTGTGGTACCATTTGGTCTTGTAGAGAGTCTGGAAGCATTCCGGGGTGACGGATGTCACGTTGCAGACAGCAGAGATGGTGGAGTTCTGGGGTGTGTGGTAGCTCGCGGGTACCTCGACTGCCTCATCGACAAACGTCGCCTCGTTGGGGGCGACGCGGAAAAAGGATGTAGTAGGCTGGATGGTGTCGATGTGAGCGTGCAGGTGGCGGGGCAGAGACCAGGCAGTTGTACGCGCAACAATGGAGCCATCCTTGTGCTTGTAGGTGTGGTACTCGGTGTCGAGAAGGCTCTCGACCATCTCAATGGGAAGATGGACAATGACCCAATCCTTGGCCGAGCTGTAGCCGACATCATCAGTGTCGATACCGCTTTCGCGGAGCCACTCGTGCACCAGGTCGTGAGTCTCGGAGCTAGGCGCAACAAGCTCGTCAACCTCATCCGCGCTCAGATGCTGACCGTAGCGCTTGTGGTCTGGGTCGGAGACTATGCCATGTCAGTTACTCAAAGACACTCAGAGCTCAGTTGTAGCAAACATACCTTCACGGAGATGGCGGTCAAGCTCCTCAAATCGACCCTGCTTGAGACCAATCTGCAGCTGGATAGTCTTGCTACCATGTGCCCTCTCGAGCTTGGTCCACTCCCTCGGCGCAAAATGAGTCTCCTTGACAACATACGGGCTTCGAGCCTGGATAGGAGAAGCCAGCGCATCATGCGCGGCGACAGCAGCCAACACAACAGTCGCGAAGATCTGCATAATGAATATTGGTCTTGAGATCGGATGGCAGACGCGCCCAGTCGCATCAAGCAGTCTTGATAGCTATTTAAGCTTCAGCGAAGCACCGGCTAACGTCGCGTCATTACTACCCAGAAGCTCGTTGGTACCTTGGCGTACTCCAGGGCCTGCTGCCCCATGTGGAAGGTTGATAATAAGGTGCATAGTACTTGCATGTCGATCCCCGTATAGTCGGAACAAACGCGACTGTTCTCCCATCGCCTGGGAGCGCGCAATCTACATCGCGGCAAGCTGGAGATTACCAGGATTTCACAAACGACATGCGACATACACATAACGTGCTACAATTCGCGACGTTGTGACATGATAACGATAATGACGATGTTCGCAGAGGCCGGGGACAAGGCTTGCAACATTGCAGGTCAGTTGGTGTTGCTAACGGAATAGCCTCGGAAGTAACCGCGCTAACGCCAGAATAGGAAGCTACAAAACTTGGACACATTCGTGCCGCTCGATAAACAAGCAAAGTCAAGCCGCTAGTCGGTGGAACTGACGGCATTCAAGCTGGTCTTGGTAGAGCTTGAGTCGGTCTTGGGAAGGTGATTAAGTGGATCGTGTTCCGCACTCGACTAACTACCAGCGACGACCCCGCCGCCAACCTGGTTGACGGCTTCGAACGAGTGTACTGGGTTCGGTGACCCAAGAGCGTACTTTTGAGCTCTTCATTGGTGAATTGGACATCAAGGTGCTCGCGTTAATCTGTTTTCTGCCATGGGCGGAAGGGCAATGGAATTCAGTGCCGCGCGGTAGTCTAGCCTGACAATGAATGATGTGAACTCTCGATGACTATACTATAGTGTGGTAGTCCTCATTGGAAAACTTGTTGCTCACTATGCTTGCTTCCGAAGATCTCAGGACGAGTGTGACGAAAACAACTACATTTGATCCTTATAAAGTCGCCTTGAGGTAATCGCGGCAGCCACGATGATCGCATACCCACCAATTGTTATGGTCTTCCTCTTTCCACTACCGCCCAATGATCTGCCCATTTCAACCTCCATCCTACACTCCATCACAGAAAATCATGCTATCTGTATGTCAACGATACGACTTCTCACATGACTGCCAAGGACGCCACCGGTACTGCGGGGCTCATAACCTCGCCACCCAGCCTGGTGCATGTTCAAGGGCTGAAGATATCCTAATCATGCGACACTCTTGACCTTCACTCGCAGATAAGCTGCGTCCTCCCAGCGCGATGCAGTCGATAACTACAGCCCGGCGACATCCTTGGACGCCAAGCTCTGTGAGCGATTGTTGCCAGATGTGTCGCTCATTTTTCGATTTTGTCGCCAGGCAACAGACTAGTGACAAAGCGACAATGGTCTTTCATAACATTCAGCAGCTGAAAGAGTCTTCAGAGAATGGCTGTCATATGTGCATCTTGATCTTATTGTGTATAACAGCGGAACAGCAGCGTCGGTACCTTAAAGAGCTGGAGCGCGCAAGCGAAGGCGAGCTCCAATTCGTAGCTGTTGTTTGGTCCTTCGCTTCGCCACCGCCGGACCCTGGAAATACTCCGTACCTACGAATCGAGGAAGCATATCCAAGACCACCTGTACGCAATCGAGTAATTGTCTGCGAATTGAATTGTGAGGATTCAACAGATGAGCATCAATTGAGTATGTATCATTGTCTCTTGTTGCACTCCTCTACTTATGAATCGGCTACCAGTGCGGCTCCTGAAGCGAGTGGAGCCATCTACAGATTCTTTTGAGACTCTCAACACGATACATTACTGGCTGAGAGAATGTGAAACGACTCACACACGATGCGCGCAAAGAAGAGGTGAACGGACTCACCAGACTCCTACCCGACTGCTGCAGGTGCAGCCTTTCAAACCGAGCCCCAAAGCCTATCTCCGTCAGACTGCTCAGATACCAAAAGATGCCAGGTATGCGACTCTGAGTCACTGCTGGGGTCAATACATGCCAGTAAAGCTCGAAAAGAGGACGTTGCAAGCATTCTTGGATGGAATCGATGTCGACGGGCTTCCACTAACCTTCCAGCAAGCCATCATGCTCACCAAGTCGCTTGGTATAGAGTACATATGGATCGATTCTCTTTGCATTGTCCAGGACGATGAAAATGACTGGGCCAACGAGTGTACTCGCATGACATCTGTCTACATGAATTCATTTTTCAACATCGGGGCGAACGCGGCCGGAGATTCTCGAGGAGGCCTTTTCCAACAACGATCATGGAAATCTGTGAACCCCTTATCTTTGCCACTTACGTATATACCCACAAATTGGCATCGCGAACCTGTTGTGTTGTGGCCGAAACCTGGAACCGGGAACCCGCTTGATCATGCGCCGCTTGGGACTAGAGGGTGGATCGTTCAGGAGCGTCTTCTTGCGCCACGTACTGTCCATTTCCTGCAACACAAAGTCGTATGGGAATGCGACGAATGTCAGGCATCCGAGACGGACGTCGCGGGAAAGCTTGAATACCTTCACTTGTCTAAAAAGACATATCTAGCTGTACCTATAGCACAGAGCAACGGCGCCAGCGGTCGCATCCTCCAGTTTCTGGACACATGGTGTGAAATTGTAAACTTATACAGCGCTGGCAAGCTGTCGGTAGCCACAGATAAGCTAGTAGCATTATCTGGAGTCGCAAAATATATGTTCGAACATCGTCAGGACAACAGGGCTCTGCAGTACTACGCCGGCCATTGGAGCCAAAACTTCGAGTTGCAACTAACATGGTCTGCGCTTCACTCCAGCACTGGCAGTCGGTCACGGACTTACGTTGCACCTTCATGGTCGTGGGCATCGTACAATGGCGAGGTTTCATGCCCACGTCCTTACGGCAAAATCTTATTGGCACAGCTCATTAGCATAGAGACCTTCCCTCAATCCGACCCGTTTGGTGCGGTTTCAGTGAGCTCCCGGGGCTATGTTCGCTTTCGAGGTATTTTATGCAGAGCTACTGTCACACACCTTGAACACTGGGATAAGGAAAAACGTTCTAGCACACTCAGATTGCTCTGGTCTGGCGTCAACATTGAATGTGTTGATTTGTCATTTGATGAGCCTGACGACGTAGTAATACTCGAGGACAGTGTTGAGCAGCAAAATTCCTTTGTTGTTTTCGGGATCTCACAATACGGCGGTTTCTCATTCCAAGGGATCCTACTGCAGTTGACTGGGGTTCAAAAAGGTCAATACCGTCGAATTGGTGTCTTTCAAATTGAGCACCAATTTTTGAAAGATGAACAGAACCACTTTGGTGCTTTACAAGATGCGTTTGGTGCTATGGATATGCCTGAACAATACTATGAGCACAGGGGGAACAACGGGTATGAGTTTATGATTGTTTGAAGTTGACTTCACTCTGGTTCGCTATGCACTTCGCTGAATCATTACTATCGCTACAACGTCTGTCTTACACTAAGCGCTGTATAACTCCTCGTCCTCATACTTGGTATGCGTTCCCTACTCTTAGCATGGATGCACAAGGTATCTTCGGAATTACTGTTTCTAAAACTAGATAGAGTGCTATTGAGATCTGTGCTCTATTGAGGTATGCCTTAGCTGGGATAAGAGGCTTGTTGGCATGGTCAAGACGAACCTAGCTATCTCCGTGGCTCTCATCATGAGACCCTTATCGAGGCAGTCACAGTACGGAAGGCTCTAGTATTATCATCTTGGAACACATAATTCGTGATCAATATGGCTCCTACTCGTTGGCTTGACATTGCAAACCGTCAAGTCCCAACCAGCATATCTAAGAGCTAGACTACGTTAGAGCTAAATAGTGAGGCAGCTAACATGACTAAAGTCGACATGGCCTGGTTGCAAATTCGCCAGACCAGGCGTCGCCACCTCCACCGGTACATCTCACTCTCTCACTCCCCCCACTACTCCGCACCATTCGAAGTAGCGACATCGGGGTTAGGGTAGTACCACGCAGCCACAGCCACAATGACATAAACAATGATAAGCATAGCGCCCTCAAGGTAGTTCGACTCGCCGTCCCTGAGGAAGTTACCCACCACAACAATAGCCAGCACCAGCAAGACAATCATAAAGATCTCAAAGTTGAGGTCCATATCCTTACCCATGATCCAGCCAACAATAACCACGAGCGGAGCGTTGAAGAGAGCAGTCTGGATAGACGGACCGATGCAGTGGAAGAGTGCAAAGTTAATCTGACCATCCCACGCTTCGTCAATAGCAGTCAGATGCTCAGCCGCCTTTTCGACAAGCGGCAGCATGATGAGGCCGAGGAACTGGTCTGGAACCCCAGATTCAACAACATCTTCGATGCGCTCGACGAGGAAGACGGCGAGGAGCGTGACAATAGCGAGGGACAGGACAAGCGCAACCATGCACTCTGTAAAAGTAAACTTGGGCTTGGCGAGATCCTCGTGGTGGTCCAGATCAGCGTGTTCATCCGCCTCGAGAACTTCGTCAAAGAGCGAGTGCTGGGAGCGCGCATTGTACCAGATGAAGATGCAAAAGGCGATGATGAGGAGGATGGAAGTCACCTGACTGATTCTGAGGACATTGTGCTGCAGGATCTTTTCCGTAAACTCGTGGTGCTTTGACGCGTGAGCGACGGCGGAGCCCTTGAGCGCGGAGTAGTAGGCTGATGGGATGAGCAGACCGAAACCGGCTACGAGGAGCAGACCGGATCCGACTTCGCTGACGGAAGCGTGGAATTTCTGGCTCATTTGGCGGAGGCCGCCGACGAAGAAGCAGCTAGCATCCAAGTCAGTATAACGTGCACACTTGAACTTTTCGTGGAGTACTCACAGTCCAAGACAAAGCAGCAAGTTTGTCAGTATAGATCCCAGGATCGCCGCCTGGATGACCGGAATGAGGTTTCCATGCTCGCTCGAACCATCCCTAGAATGATGTTTGGCAATCAAGATGATGAATAGGATGATTTCCACGATGCTTCCGAATGCAGTCTCAATCAGGATTCCGCTGACCTTTGGCATCTTCCTTGCAAACTCCTGGCCTGCGAAACCCAGGAGATTGGCTACGGGCACCATGGCGATGTAGCTGGTCGCGAAGATGGCAATGGGCATCGACGGAGCAGCAAAGTGCAGCACAATGGCTACAACGACAAAGGGCCAGAGGAGGTTGGTGTACTTTGCCGCATTGCTTCCGGAGCGCCAGGCTACGTTGATGAAGTGGGATGGGTGGAAGCCCTTGCGGCCGGACTCGCCATCGGGGTGGATGTGCGAGGGGATGATGTTGTGGAGAAGCGGGGTGGATTCATTGTGGTTGTTATTGCGGTTGTTCTGCCCATTGACATGGTCGTACAAGACGCGTGAGACGTTGTGCGAATTGTCGTGGCCGTGGCGGTTGGAAGACATGGTTGCGAGATTCCGGGTAACCGGGAGTGAAGGGCGCTGTGGTTGGTGGGGAATAGAGAAGCTACCCTGGAACGGCGGGCAGCTCGTGAGTGGCCCACTGCAATGCTGGACGGGAAGCAAGGCTTGTCTTGCTGGTCAATTTGGCTAGCGAGCACGATGCGAGATGCAATGAAAGTTCTTCCTGCGTAGTGCAGCTGGGATGGAAGAGTTGAGGTGAGAGCTTGAGGTTTTTGCGGAGGGCGGTGACGCGCTGCGAGACTGCCCAGACGCGGCTGGGGCTGGGCGTTGCCGAAAAACAAGGCAGGATCGTCGAGGTTTGCCAGCGAAGCAGCTTCTTGCATCGCGCAACATCGTCAAACATCACGAAAGATACTGTTTCGCGTTGCGATATCGCTCAGGGCTGGTATCTGATCTCTTTCGGCGTTCGCGATGCATAGCAGTGGGAGTTGATGGAACGCAATGGCCCTGGACACTTACGGCTGGCGAATGAGCTGTGTACGAAAACAACAACCATCAGCGACTTCGGCTTGGGAGCTTCAAGTCGCTTCTGGTTCCCTCGTGAACGACATGTTGTGCGATATACCGGAAATCCAAAAGCGCGATTCTGACTGAGTTCCACCATGGAGTTGACTAGAAAGCGTCTACGCGCGAACCAAGCCAGCTGAAGATCATGTTTCATCCAAGGTCGACCCAGTTGACATGATCACGAAGAGACGAAAGTTTTTTCTTCCAGACTTGCATGGTATTATCTTTGCTCCAATCAAATGCGACTCCACGAGCATCCGAGGTGCGGATGATGAGCTCAACCATAGGACTCTGGTGGGCCGTGGTCCATCCCCATTCAACGTCCAATGAGACGGATTTCCATACAGATACTAGAATCTTGATAGAGATATGAAGACTACATACCTGTTCGACTGCCTCACATTACTTTTAGGTCTTTACATATTGCATCAGAGGTGCCACCGAGATACTGTGTGGTTTTCTCAACGTCGTAGCAACCCTACAGGAATAATCCAGCCATTATGCCTTTGCCAACCGCTTCAAGGCCGAACGGAAGCTGCACAAAAATTCCTGACCATACGCCACTGCCAGTGGAGACACCCCCGAGCGATGCGAAGCGCGGTATATGCCGGCTGCACTTCCTTGAGAGCGAAGAGCAAGACTCATTAGACTTCCTCAAGTACAGGATTGCGATTCAGTTCGAACGTTTTACCGCTGTTAGATCATGTCCGCTGTGCGATACCGAACTCGTCCATTACGGCATGATCGCCCGCATCGAACATCTTCTGGCTCAGGCTTGCAAGGCCCAGGGCAATGTAACCGCCTTGAGAAAACGCTATGATTACGCGTACGAACCGTTTGAGCGACTTGAAGAGCTAGAAGAAGACGTAGCTGGCGTCATGGAAGATTTCAGGAACGAAACGAACAACTCATCCCAGCCGACTAAGGATTCCTTGTTCACCCAACTGCACAAAGTGCTCAACAAGAACAAGATCTGGGGCAGAGACTTGGACTACCTTGAACAACTCCTTCTGGACGGTCACAGTATTCCTGAAGCCATACAGATATGGTATACGTTTAAGCTCGACTGGGCTCAAGAAGACTTCGCGGCCCAAAGTATGATGCTAGGCAAGCAACTCGATCCCCTTGTCGATCAGCTACACGAACTTGAGTACGCCCTCCAGCATCTATTTGCAGATCTTCACGAATTCGACGGATTTCTAGACCTGGAGATTGCTTTGGAAGTACAAAACGTGTTTGGAGCCACTGCTCTATCGGACGAAGTCTTCGAAGAGCCGGAGGAATGGAGTCGTTGGCAAGATAACACAGGGCTGAAGATTGAAAACGCCGAGATACAATCTGATTGGTTGCACAGAACCATTGGTCGGTTTCAACGCGGGCTGAGCAGTCCTGAAGTATCGGGTCGTGTAGAGCAGGAAGAAGACACGGCCGACGTGTATACTGCGGTCACGAATGCGATGGAGGAGGGTTATGATTTGGCGGAAGTGTGGGGATTTGCAGACAGCGAAGGCGTAACGGATAGTGACTATGGGGATGAAGACGCGATGGATTTTGATGTGCTAGATTCGCCTTAAGGCTGCTGATGTCGGGTATGAGTAAGGCAACGCCGTCAAATACCCCAACATCCGCGGTTCGAACAACAATTGTATCATAACTAAAGATCAGAAAATGATTAGAATCGAGAACATCGTACTCAAGTCAGGCTGTCACAAGGCTGAAAAGAAGGCAAACTCATTTCCCCTCCCAAATGTGCCTTATGGTTGGGCGCATGCAACTGGCCATCACTAATCAACTCTCATTGGCACGGCTGAGTATGCAGGCTGGTCTTCGGCGAAGGCGTAGCCGCGTGAAGGGTGACCGTGGCCAATCAACGAGATGGGCGATACGGCTAATGGTGAGCAAGTCGTGCTCAGCCACCACCCAGAACAGCGCATAGAGAAGAACAAAGTCGGCCCCTTGTATCAATGTGATCACTCCTTCATCACCATGCTCAATGAGCGAAATGATGCTTTCACAAAAAGACATTTTCCCATACCATTGATACGAAGATGCAAAGCCCTTCTTCCGAGGATGATGAAATCCAGCGACAGCCGCAGGCAAGGAAACAACCTGAGGCATGGGCAACTCACGACCCAGCCGAATACGTCCATAGCTCCGATGATGAGAGTCCTCACCTCAACCAAGAGAGACAGATGAACCAGCCTTCATCAGAGGAAAGCTCTGACGATGAAGACTACGAAGATGACGAGGACGGCGAACGCTCGACTCTCTTTTCCAACGAGGCTCTCGAAGAAACAAGGTCTGGGTATAGATCCAGATTTGGGATTATGGAAACAGACAGACCGGGAAAAGAAGCTCATGAACTCGATGATTTATTCTCGCTTTCGGAACGACTTCCTACGACTGCAGGATCCTCCAGTCATGCCAGACAGGGTTCACGCTCGAAAATGTCGATCAAAGCTCGATTCATCGTTGCAGATTTCATACAGAAGTTCGTCAAGGCGTTGTATGAAACGTCTGGCCAAGTGCTTTGGCACGGTGGTACGACCATACAAAGACCCCATCCATACGTCCAGGTGAAACTCCTTGAAGATACTCTTGAGCTCTACGCCACTCTGTTGCTGTCCGTATCAACGACGGTCGTCAATGACCCAGCGAGTGCCAATGAAGAAGCTTATGCGACACGTATTCTGGTTGGAGCGGTCTTGGTCCAACAATACAAGTTACAGATCGCGCATCTTCTTCCCCTATATTTATCTGCGCAATATCCCTCAAGAATCGCCTCTCTCTTGAACTCATTGCAACAGATCGATCCACCAGACTTTTCACCCCAGCGACTTGGTCTTAAGACAAGGTCTGTAGGTATATCTTCAGTAGATCATGTCATCGATCTCTCAGATATACTTAATGGGCCGATAGATAGTTTGATACTCGACAACATCATGATGCGTCTGGATGTGAGGGATGAGATGAGGCTCCTGACCAAATACGTACGACATGGCCTTTATCGCGATGGTAACACTGCCATGCGGATGATCGAGGCAGCGATGTCAAAAAAGAACTTGGATTATATCCACCGTGATGGTTACAAGGCACGAATCAATGTGCCCTGGTGGTCAATTCGGGATTTCATGAATGATCAATACGGAGACATATCCTGATTTGGATCAGTCGTAACTCTTACTGGTTGTTCCAATCTGAACGCACAAGCCTCGACTTGTGCGGACTATGTCAAGATGACATGGCCCGAAACCGGTGAATTCTTCTTGGAACTTCTTGATGCCATCCAAGCTACTATCGTAGCATCAGATGCACAAAGGCCGGTTCGGGTTTCTCTAACAAGTGATCGAGGCCTCTCCGTCCGGGCGGAGATCCTCAGCCACGATGTTCGTTCCCACGCCAGTCTTGCTGCAGAAGCTACGAGCTACGACCTGCTCATACAACTCGGTCAGCAGTTGTCTTGGTTGAGCTCTGCATTTACAGTCTCGCCGTTCAAAGAGCAACTGGCTTACTCCAGCCCGTACCTCTTTCTAAGAGAGCACGGTGTTTTTGAAATCACGGTTGGTTATGAACCGATTGATGATATCAAGCAGGCATGCTGGTTACCTTTGTTTAATCGTGCCTGTCTTGTGGCTGGATTTCCTATAGCAGAGAGAGCGGAGGAAATTGGTCTTGAACTATCCTTGGATCTTCTAGCTGGACTCTCAGGCGCTCGACACGTCTTTGAGTACGAGGGAGGCTTAGTGATGAAAGGTTTCTCACACATGTTCGTCCCAGTTCGACGGCAACTCGATCGTGTTCAATGGCACGCCGTCTCTAGTCCTGATGAAGAGACACCGCTATCATATCACGACGGTCTTTCACGCTGCGCATCGCGTGCCACGCTCGACGAGGTTAGTTTGCAGGATCTTGCATCACTACGAACCATCGTTGGATGGTGCTCGGTAGCAACTACTTGCCTCGGTTCGAGCCACGTAGATTATGAAAACATCGATTACACCAAGACCAAAGAAGCCGATTCGGGTCCTAGGTGCACGGGTACATCTTTCGGCTTCCAGCAGATTGGTGTGGCCGCTTTGGATGTTAGGTTCGGCTTAAAAGATGGAAAGAGTCACTTCCAACGAGCTGGTCCATATCAAAGGACTATCCAACTCGCAGAAGGTAGTCCTATAGTGCTACACGACGTCGAGGGGAGAAGATCATGGCTCGTTCCTGCAACTAACGTCATGTTGCATATAGTTCAGCATCGCCATCACTTGAATCCTTTCCAGGTGAACGGAAAGCCGATCAATCTCGATACAAACGTCGCAGCAGGGTCGTCGGCGGAAGCGGTTTTGTTGAACAATCGAACTCAAGTCCTGTACGAGGACGATGGTTATACTTTTGGGGACGACATCTTGAACACTTGGTCGATTTTAGAGCTTCTTCTCGACCAGAACGTCAGTCGTCAACGCGAAGCGCCCGGTATTCGTATTCCAACTTCAGTGCATGAGAAGTTATATGGGTTTGAGTTCAAATCTGTAGTTAACCCGGATGGGGTTTTCAAGCTCAAGAAAACGACCATTAGTAGAGATCACGGCGGATGGTCTAAGCTTATCGAAGAGATTGACGCCTTGGTTCTATTCGCTAATGGTTTTGGGGATGTCATCCTACCAGCAGATGGTTCTTGCGACGTTTTATGTCACAAGTGGAGAAGGGTACCAGATGGGCAAGACTATCTGACTACAACCACGGATGTGCTGCGAACCCTATTTGATAAGGCAGGCAGTCGAGTGGATCGGAAATACCTTACTACCAAAAGTAAGCTTCGATGGCATCAGGGAAGCTCCGCGTTGTTCAACGAATGCCAAAATGTAAGTCTTTGCGATTGCACACGCTTACAGCAGCTCGTCCCAGAATCAGCATTTGAGGGTGCTCAACCTCCGGCCTTTATAGCTGATGAAGGAGCTGTGATCTTTGGACATCTTGAGCCTCGTCCAGCGCCTCCGCGTCCTACAGTACCCAAGATTTCTGGTAGCTTATACAGCCAGCCGAATGTTCCGATCCTGCCACGCGTTGTTCGTCGGCGCAGCAGTACGAACGACGAACGCAAGGGAAAGACCAGACGGCTGGATATCGAGGCTGAAGAGTTGAACTGTGAGCATAACCAATGGCCGCAAGCTACGTCATGAGCCATCTTTTGAGGCTCCAATATACTTTCTTTTTGATACATGTGAGAGACGGGCTTCGGTGAGCTCGGTCTAGATTGATTAACAAGAATGTATTGAAGTACACTTTGATGGACGGTTGAAGATTTCTCATGCTCATGGAACCGGCATTTACTCCCTATCAAGACTAAGATCAGGTATTCACGAATTTGTTCATCATATTCATTCATGTCGCAGCGTCTTTCCACCAAAAAAAACTCGTGTATTCATCTATGCAATCACAAAAGACATAACCAGCCCCGCCACAAACGTAGCCATCCCCGCTTTCCTACCCCACTCCACATCCGCCGCCGCATTCTCATTGTTCACAGACTCAGGCGGCACACGACTGCCCTCCCTCACATGATCAGGCGCAATACAGACGACCTTTGTCACGCCGCCCATAGATGCTTCTTCAGACACGGCAGCAACAAGAACCGGGACAGGCCTCGTAATGTATTCGTCGTACCAAGTGAAGTTGTCAACATTGGTATCGTAATCCCAGGGTTCTTGTGTGGGGCCAACACCGAAGAGCCCACGCGTGCTGAAGCCAGCTGGTACGTCGATGCCAGGGGGAGCGGCGTTGCAAGTAGTGTTTGTGAGATTTGCTGTGCGGGCTAGATGATGTGTTAGCAGGTCCAAACTAGATGTGATGTGTTCGTGGATAGGTTGGTGGAGAGAATGAAATGCTGCACTTACTCGTGCTAATCCCTCCCCAGAACCCTTTACCACAAGCTTCGTCTACTTCATCTTTGTCAAGCGACAAGCCGGGGCATTGATAGCCGTTTTTTGAGCTGTCGATGAGTTGAAGAATGTTAACAGGAAACGCGTATTCCTTCTCCAATAAGTCCTGGCATTTCTGGGATATTACGCCGTCACAGCCATTCTGGCCGCCGCCTTGCCGGTGGTTGTCTAGTGCATCAAACATATATACACATGCTTGAGTTGTGGTGTTTTCGGGGGCGCTAATGTATGCGTATGTCCACGGGTCGAAGACGCGGTTATCGGTGCTGTTGCGAGGATTGTTGCGGGATTCGCCGAATGTGAGAGAGACGTAGAGGTCGATTGCGTCTCCGACAGAGACATTCCATGTACCTGTGCCATTTACAGGCTGCTCGTAAGAAGGCGTACGGCCGCCCGGGTTGCAGTTAACGGGTTCTGTGGTATTTGTGGTGTTTTGTGCGGCGGAGGTGCTTATGAGGGATGCAGCGAGGAGGACATTTCCGAGCCGAGATGATTGTGGTGCCATGTTGAAGGAGTTTGTATAAGTCGTTTAATGCTAGAGGTGTCACGTTCGAGGGCTTTGGAGACCACGATGATGGTGTTGACTGTGTACCTGTAACGCGCGCATCAAATAATTTTGTACGCCCTCAGGCCTACCATATCAGACCGGTGGTACAGTTGACATTCATCGCCTCGCCGACTTGACGTCAGTTGCGATGGCCCCGTTCCATTCGTTTTACAAGACACGCGATGGGACGCCTAGCCAAGTATCGTGCTTGTGCCGATTTATCCATCCTACTATGACGCTAAGCATGGGATTTCAACATGTCCGGCTATCATTGGAAGTAGCCGCACGGATCCGGTTGGACGCAAGGCTGACTTGCTTAGACGAACTTAAGGCCATGGCCGTGTTGGGAAAGATGGGATCTTGCCAAAGTGCGATGTGTGGCATTGACATGCGCCAAGCTGGCTGTGACGGCTTAGCGATACCCACCAGGCACGCCTTAAATTCTTAAATAAAGAACGCCGATCTTTACAACTTCGTCATTCTGCACATACTGCGGATTGAGCCGTCGCGACAGCAGGTGACCTTGTGGTGTTGCTGTAGTTCTCGGCGACCAGCATCCCAATAACGAGTACTTTTGACGTGTATGTTAAATTGCGGTAGAAAGCATTGTCGAAGAGAGCGAAGCCAGCTAATGCAGCAACATCATTAGTCGTGGAGCACTAGAGAAGGATATGAGTATGAGTATACTTCTCACCGCAGGGTAAGAACGATCCAGAGCTTGTGCGACGCCCTGGTAAAATGGCTTGATGACAAGGCGTCGTTTAAAGCGGCCGGAAATACCCTATTACGCTTGCGAACATGCAACAAGTGTGCGGAATAAGAGAATTGACGCGCATGCGTCGTAATCACAATTAGAGCATGTATGGTGCTGAGAAATCTGGATTCAAGTTAGGGGAGAGAAGACGGTAGAGGCTGGGGATTAAAGAGGGGTGTTGAAATTCGCGAATCGGGGGTTACGGATCAGCGAGATGCGGGGAGTACTATCCGTGCGCAGCCAACGAGCCAGTACAGTCAACGAGCCACCCCACCAAACTGCCGCATCGTGAACCCACCCACCTTTGACGCGTCGTAACTCCACAACTATAGATCTGATTCAAGAAGCGGTTAAATATATTAAATCGCGTAAGGCTAGAGATAAATTCTCGTACCGCTAAGTTGCAAAAACATTTAGAGTTAATTGAACAACGCTGTCGCGACGGCACAAAGGCGCACAACCGTCTAAAGCTAAATAAGCTGCCTAAGACTGCCGAAATCTTAACCTATAACAAGAGCATGAACTTGTGCTATACATAGAACGTTGTACTTGCTAAGGGCTTCCTCCTACGCGTGAAATAATACAAAATTTCGCGGCGACAATAGTTAAAAATAAGGTTTCTACAGCCTAGGTTTCCTGCTTTCTGCATCGCTATACCGACGAGCTTACTATTAAATAGAGTACTAGGATTAATCGCAAACGTCACAACGCTAATTTAGAAGAAAGATACAGTCTATACTTTAACTTGTTGCATTTAAAAATGCAAGAGTACAACGTTAACGCGCACAATACCTATAATATAGATAAGAAGGGCTTTTTTATTAGCATTACAAACCGCATAAAGCGCGTCTTTTCTAAAGCACTGTAGGCGTTAGGAGAGATTAAGGCGGCGATACAGGATAGCAACAGAGAATAGGTAACGCTGCTAGCTTGCGTATACTGTAGTGGAGTATTCAGTTGTTCTCCATCAGAACAGGTGCTCGATGCAAATTAGTTGTATTGTTGCTATGTATAGCTATTGTTGGTTGTTAAGTAAGTGTTGTGTGTGTTGTTGTCTGAAAGCCTATTGTCACAAGACGCTACGAGCACGTGGTTTAAGAGCTTGCTAGAAGCGTTAACTGTAGCTACGTACGATATCTAGTGTAATACAAGACGTTGCGTAAGGAAACAGAACTAGCATGTACAGGCGGTGAAAAGTTATTAACGAGGGGCCGTGCGCGTAGCGCTTAGCTTAGCTAGCCAATTAGCAGAATCCGGGTGCTTGGCAGAGCACCCAGATTCTGTAGCGCGTTTGGTGTCAAGGGAACTACGGTAGTTACCGTGACACCTATCGGCCTTTAACTTTTCCTCCTACCTTCGCTCGGATCTTTCCGCGCCGATTATCCTTCAGCCCGCTACTATTCCTATGTTCCTCCACCACATTTCCTCCCCCATTCAAGAAGAAGGCCCCATCTTCTTCTCGCGCTCTGCTGACTTCAACCCCCTCTTCAGCGCTCTCTGTCCCCATTCTCCAGCTAGCTGATCTTCTATCCTCCTCACTGCCAACTCTTCTACTCTTCGCAAGCTTCCTCATCTTACTCAGGTTTCCTTTGTACACTCCCGACTCTCTTTCAGGCCTCCTCTGTGATCTGCGTGACTCAGCATCCCGCTACATTCTTACTTGATGTCTGCTATCTCTATAGCAGTCCTCCTGCTCTTTGGTACTATCATCATAAATGCATTGCGCAGCCACTCCACCGCCTTCTCATAATGCCCCGCTGTCAACTAGACCCTAAGTTCAGATAGATAGTTGCGCGGTTGCTGCCTGAAGAGTTTTCAGCACCATGCAAACGGTGATAAACACAACAGCAACAACATCTCTCTCTCCCTTTCTCCTCTACCTCTATCACCACTTTTTGACCTGCTCTTTGCGTCTGTCTTACTTCTTGCCAACGCCTTTGACTGCCTCTTTCTCGCTAACATCGCCTCATCTTCACTATGACTGCTTTTACCGCACTCAACAGCCCTAAAGGCCGCGCCCGCGATAATGAGCGTAAATCTCACCTTGCCGCCGCACCCAACATCAAGCCAGTGTCAATTTCACCTTCCGTCTCGCTCAAGTCTTCTCCCACCAAGTCGCAACACAGCCCTACCGCGCCTGAAAGTCCGCCGTCCAATGCAATTGGCAGACTCGCCGACTTGCTCTCCCGCTCACCTCGCCCTCACTCCTCTGCGCCCGCGCCGCCAAGCGCTATATCCACTCAGACTGCCGCAGTCACTGAGCCGCTTGCTGAGTCCGTGCCTGACGACGGTGATGTCGAGATGTCGAACTCCAGTTCAGCTTCACCAACTGGTGTCCGTCACCCGTCTGAGGCCCCTTCAGAAACCGTTCCGCCCGCTTCGCGCATATTACAAGATACTGAGACGACGGCTGAAGATGAGCTGATTGCCTCTCAAATGCTCGACGATGATGAGCGCGCTGAGCTGGATGAAACCGGCTCAGTTGCTCAGACATCTGAGAGCATCCCTCAGTCCATCGCTGAGTCTGAGAATGAGGGTGCTGTCGAGCATGAGTACGCTGACTCTCTGCTTGATGCCTATGATGAGGTCTGGCCTGATGCCGGCAAAGCCAAACCCATCTCCCCCACTAAACATGTGGTCCCCGGCGGGCTTGGGCGCATTAGTATCCCTCTCTACTAGTATCCTACTGGTAATTCCGGTGTTCCTCACATTATTTCTTATCGTGAGTGCTATCTTTTTTCCTTCTGCTTAGCTGAACATCCTTCTAACATCCTTCTTTTTGCAGTGCGACGATTTCAGGATGAAGTGATTACTATCGACTTCCTCGGGCGTCTGCAGCACTACCTCTAGACTCTTCGCCTGTCTGGGGAGGGTCTAGGTCCTTCACTTGTCGTTCTTGCTCAAGATCTCAGGCTTGCCTACACTTCCCGCCGTACTAACTTCTATATTAACACAAATTCCAACGTTAACCTTGAGGATGGCTTTCTGACTGTTGGCGAGTACTTTCGCCTAAGTAGCAACATGGCGCGGGGCATCATAACTTCTGATGTCGAGGCGCTGCTGCTGAGCGTCTCCTATGGCATGGTTGCCGTGGACATAATAAACCATCATAGTGAGGGTTCGGCGTGCGGTCGTTGCCAATCTGAGCGCTATTACAAGGCTCATACGCAGTGCGCTATCGTCTACATCGACAGCTTGCTATACAAGGGCGGCTGTTGTCTGAACTGCCTTCGTTCATCCGCTATAGATTCCTGTTCCTTTCGCCGTATGTTCCTGATTGCCTTTTAGACATCTAAATTTCTTTTGCTAACTGTAATTTTTCCCTAGGTGTCCCTTCTAAGCGTCGTTCTGTTGTCCGTAGCGGCCCCTCTAAACCCTTAAGCCCGCCGAACGTCCTAGGTAGTCCTTCCTCCCGCCTCACTCGCTCTCGCGCCGGGTTATCGCTTGTTCCTGCTACTAAGCCGCCCTATGCACAGTCGTCCGTTGCTTAGACACCCGAGAAGGCTGTCAACAAGTTCGGGAAGCATTTAGTTAAAGTTAACAAGGGTTTGCCTAGCGATTTCAGGCCTGAGTTCTCCGCTGGCAATATAGTTCGCGATTCTAATGATGCTGGCGAGGTGTCTGAAGAACATTCGTCCCAGGTTGGTGATGAAGATGATGAGCAGGATACTCTTATCTCTGCCCCTTCCACGCCTGCCCCGCCTCCTCGTCTTCCTCCCCGCCGCTCCTCTCTCAAGTCTTCCCAGCTAAAGACTCCATCTCCGCGCAAGAAGGTGGCGATCCAAGAACCTGTTGTCTCCCCGCCAACCGCTCCTAGGTCTAGCGGGCCCTCATCTCGTACTCGTTCACGCTCCGCTACTGTTGAGCCCTCTGCTGTTCCTTCCACCCCCAGCAAGAAGGCTACTCCGCGCAAGAAGGCTTCTGTCCCTAGCAAGTCTCCTGTTTCGCGCAAGAAGGCTGCCCCTCCCGCTGTCGTTGCTTCTTCTGCTTCTGGGGCTGATAGTCCTTCGTCTGCTGTTGTTGAGGATTCCGCTAGTAGTGATGCTGTTGCTCCTGAGGGTTCTGTTGTTGAGAATCTTGTTGTCCCTGACAATGAAGTTGCTAATGTTGAGCCCGCCGCTGAAGCTGCTCGTTCTTCTTCCTTGCTTCGCTCACTTTCTAATTACTTTAGCTTCCTTTCGGGTTAGGGTTCTAACGGCTTTTTAGATGTAATTTTAGTAGTTTTGTAGTTGCCTTAGCTTGAATTCTACTGTTCTTCTTGAGTTCTCTCTCTTCTACTTGCCTAATCTTTTTATTCTATTCTTGTCTTATTCCTAACTCTTTCCCCTCCCCTTAAAGAAAGAAGGTCCCCTCTTCTTGTAGTGTTATGAAAGTCTTTTAGGACTTTTTAGGTTCGTTCTCTTAGTATTCTTGTCGTCTTTTTATAGATTCTCTAAGTCTTTCTATCTCTTTTGTGTTTGTCTTTCGCTAATTCTCTAGCTGTACTCTAGATTCTTTCTCTAGGTCTTGCCCAGCTTCTGAGATATTCTTTATTGCTTCTTCTTCTATTAGGAGATCTTCCTCTGCTTCTTAATTCCCTTCCCCCCGATCCTCTAGTCCTTCTATCTAGCTTTCTATCCTCTTTCTTCAATTATCTGGATTCCTCTCGTTAGTACTCTGCTTCTACTCCATAACTTCTCGCATCATTACAAGATATTCCCTAGCTCTTCCTCTGCCTTCTTAACTCATTCTTACTTATTCCTAGCCTTCTACTCTAGCTCTCTTTCTGCTCTATTAATATTATTCTAGCTACTTAAGAATATATAATGTCGATCCAAGCGTGCCGGGACGCCTGGTGTAACGGGACGCCTTCTCTTCTGGACCCTCGGGTTGTTCCTAGTGTTCTTGAATACAAACAATTGCAACGCACATCTATTCTAAAGCTCTCCTTCTCCTCGTACATCAGTCTCCGACAACAAAAAGTACGTTGTTGGCTATGCTGGCGCCTGTTTTGTTTACGCTGTCGACTACCTCTCCTCTAACATCCCCCTGTCTATTCGCGACAATACGCATCTACGAAGAGCTCGGTGGGCTTCAGAGCAAGCCAAGATAACAAAGAACAAGACTGCATGTTCAAGAGGTTAATTCAAGGTGGAGAATGCGCATCCCGGCAGTTTCGCCGCACAAACAGCAAGATCGTCAAAAGGCGTGTAGCCGGCCGTGCGTCTTTAGCAGCTCTTGGTACGCGGCAGCTTGCAGTAGCGTGCTGAGATATCTGCGCTCTGTGGCTGAGGGATGTGGCTCTGAGCGTTTTGCCTTAGGTAGCTCTTATTCCGATTTTACCGGCAGCTGTTCGTCCAGTCGTGCAACAAGACAACATCTTTAGTCTACACGACCTACATCGCTGCGCAACCTGCCTTGTTAGCATGAGTGTCGCGAGACGCTATGATGGCAATCTAGGTAGGACTGCTTACCCGCTGGCACCCTGCTCATGTGCGTAGCAGCTCAATGTACGTTCACATAGCGAATGCTGTGCAGCGCAGGATGCTCGATGTGCCCAGCGTCCGCTCAGCCTAGTCGCATGCACTGCCTCAACAATCAGCCTTCGCAACCGCCCAGTGCATGCTTCCTCTGCCTGCTTCGCTCTGTCGCGACTATGCCTCTCTACTCTCTACATCATTAAACTCGTTCGCGTCTCGCCTTTCCCAGGATAAGCCGAAACTGCAAACGCTATGCGGCTTCTCCACTTTGACGCGCTGGGGAGGCTCGTCTTGACAGATTTCAGCGGCAAGACGACCCCGCCCTATGCCATTCTGTCGCACAGATGGAGCGACTCCGAGATCCTCATCGAAGACATATCGAACGGGGCCTACAAGGAGAAGGAAGAAGGCTATCGAAAGCTCCGGTTTTGCGCTGAACAGGCGGCGCATGACGAGCTGCAGTACTTCTGGATCGACACATGCTGCATCGACAGATGGGACCTTCGCGAGCGGTCGAAAGCGATCAACTCGATGTTTCAATGGTACAAGGATGCGACACGATGCTATGTCTTCTTGTCAGACGTCTCGGTGTCGACTGCAACAGAGCCAGTCCAGCGCAGCGACTGGGAGGCGTCATTCCGTGCAAGCGCATGGTTCACTCGGGGGTGGACGCTCCAAGAGCTCATCGCGCCAGTGTCAGTCGAGTTCTTCTCACGTGACGGACAGCGAATAGGCGACAAAACGTCTCTTAGCCACTTAGTACACGAGATCACCAGCATTCCGCTTACCGCATTACGCAACTGTCCCTTGAACCAATTTACTATATCTGAGCGAGCGCGGTGGGTCGAGAATCGCGAAACAACGGAGGAAGAAGACACTGTATACTGCTTGCTTGGAATCCTCGGTATCTTTATGCCTACTACCTATGGCGAGGGAAGAGACAGAGCATTAAGAAGGCTGCAGGCTGAAGTAGATGCAGCCAGTAGCGCACCATCCATCATTCCATTCTCCCAGAACGATCGTTTCGTAGGTCGAGAGTCGCAGCTCGCCGAACTGGAAGCAAAGCTCTTCAGCAATAAGCAATCCACCACCACCTTAGCGATAGTCGGACCTGGGGGAGCAGGCAAGTCGCAGCTCGCGCTCGAGATTGCACATAGAACGAGGCAAAACAATAAGAACTGTTCGGTCTTCTGGATCGACGCAAGCGATAAAAACAGTTTCCACCAGTCGTATGCAAGTATAGCCCAGAAGCTCAGCATTCCGGGGTGGGACGATGATCAGGCAGACACAAAACAGGCCGTAAAACGATGTCTAGCAGAGCATAGTGCGAAACAGTGTTTGTTGGTTTTCGACAACGTAGAGGACACTACTCTGAGATCCAGCGGGCCATCCACAGCAGAAGCTACAGATTTGATCGACTACCTGCCCCAGTCTAAGCTATGTTCCGTTATCTTCACAACAACAAATAGCAATACAGCTAAGAAGATAGCTCTAAAAGATGTTATAGGACTCCAGGAGCTAACACCTGACACGGCTCAAAGGATGCTGGAAAACCACTTGGAAACTCCGTTTCCGAGCAGTGAGCAGCAGGAGGCGAAGCTGTTGTTAAAAGATCTATTACATCTTCCTCTAGCAGTTGTTCAGTCAGCGGCCTATATTAATGCTAGAAGCTTAACGCTGCGAAAATACCGATCACAACTAAACAAGCACGAAGAACCTGCTCTCCAGCGTAGCAGCGGCTCACCCGGGGGCAAGCTGCAGAGTTATGGTATAAAAGATCCTGTAGCTACTACACTGTTCATCTCCATGGACCAGGTTCTTCATGATAATGCGCTTGCAGCAGATTATCTGTTCCTTGTCGCATGTGTTGATCGAAAAGATATTCCACATGATCTTCTGGAGGCGTCCTCGCCCAGGGCAAGGGAGGATGCGATTAAGGTCCTTAGTAGGTATGCACTAGTAACCAGGCGGCCTGCCGAGTCCGCACTCGATCTTCACCGACTAGTGCATCGTGCTCTACGGCAGTGGCTCGAAAGGCAGGGGTGGCTAGGCCGGTGGACTCAGCATGCTATTACACAGCTACTCAGGATGTTTCCAGACCATGGTCACGGTAGTAGAAGTAAGTGGAGACGATTACTTCCACATGCCATGTACGCTCTGTCTTATGGTCCCGATGAAGGAGGGGGTAGTAACAGATTAACTCTGGTATGGAAATGTGCCATGACGTTATATAGTGACGGACGGTACAATGAGGCAGAAGGACTGTTTGTACAAGTAATGGAGACAAGAAAGAATGTGCTGGGCGGCGAGCATCCTGATACGCTGACCAGCATGGCCAACCTAGCATCGACGTACTCGAACCAAGGGCGGTGGAAGGAGGCCGAAGAGCTAGACTTGCAAGTGCTGGAGACAAGAAGGAGAGAGCTTGGCGACGAGCATCCCGACACGCTGAACAGCATTACCAACCTAGCATTAACGTACTCGAACCAAGGGCGGTGGAAGGAGGCCGAAGAGCTAGGCGTGCAAGTGACGGAGACAACAAAGAGAGTGCTTGGCGACGAGCATCCCGACACGCTGACTAGCATGGCCAACCTAGCATCGACGTACTGGAACCAAGGGCGGTGGAAGGAGGCCGAAGACCTGGAGGTGCAAGTGATAACGGCAAGAAGGAGAGAGCTTGGCGACGAGCATCCCGACACGCTGACCAGCATGGCCAACCTAGCATCGACGTATATGAACCAGAAGCGGTGGAAGGAGGCAGAAGAACTGGAGGTGGAAGTAATGGAGACAAGAAAGAGAGTGCTCGGCGACGAGCATCCTGACACGCTGACCAGCATGGCCAACCTAGCATTAACGTACTGGAAGCAAGGGCAGTGGAAGGAGGCCGAAGAGTTAGAGGTGCAAGTAATGGAGACAAGAAAGAGAGAGCTTGGCGACGAGCACCCAGACACGCTGACTAGCATGGCCAACCTAGCTTCGACGTATAGGAAACAAGGGCAGTGGAAGGAGGCTGAAGAGCTAGACTTGCAAGTGCTGGAGACAAGAAAGAGGGTGCTTAGCGACGAGCATCCTGATATGCTGACTAGCATGGCCAACCTAGCTTCGACGTACTGGAAGCAAGGGCGGTGGAAGGAGGCCGAAGACCTAGACGTGCAAGTGCTGGAGACAAAAAGGAGAGAGCTTGGCGACGAGCATCCTGACACGCTAACTAGTATGGCCAACCTAGCGTTAACATACTCAAACCAAGGGCGGTGGAAGGAGGCAGAAGAGCTGTTTGTACAAGTAATAGGGACAATAAAGAAGCAAGGGCGGTGGAAGGAAGCTGAAGACCTGGAGGTGCAAGTGATGAAGGCAAGAAAGAGAGAGCTTGGCGATGAGCATCCCGACACGCTGACCAGCATGGCCAATCTAGCATCGACGTACTCAAACCAAGGGCGGTGGAAGGAGGCCGAAGAGCTAGACGTGCAAGTGATGGAGACAAGAAGGAGAGAGCTTGGCGACGAGCATCCTGACACGCTGACTAGCATGGCCAACCTAGCGTTAACATACTGGAACCAAGAGCGGTGGAAGGAGGCCGAAGAGTTAGAGGTGCAAGTGATGGAGACAAGAAAGAGAGAGCTTGGCGACGAGCACCCAGACACGCTGACTAGCATGGCCAACCTAGCATCGACGTACTGGAACCAAGGGCGGTGGAAGGAGGCCGAAGAGCTAGACTTGCAAGTGCTGGAGACAAGAAGGAGAGAGCTTGGCGACGAGCATCCTGACACGCTGACCAGCATAGCCAACCTAGCTTCGACGTACTGGAAGCAAGGGCGGTGGAAGGAGACCGAAGACCTAGACGTGCAAGTGCTGGAGACAAAAAGGAGAGAGCTTGGCGATGAGCATCCTGACACGCTGACCAGCATAGTCAACCTAGCTTTGACGTACTCAAACCAAGGGCGGTGGAAGGAGGCCGAAGACCTAGACGTGCAAGTGCTGGAGAGAAAAAGGAGAGAGCTTGGCGATGAGCATCCTGACACGCTGACTAGCATGGCCAAGCTAGCATCAACGTATATGAACCAAGAGCGGTGGAAGGAGGCTAAAGAGCTGTTTGTACAAGTAATAGGGACAATAAAGAAGCAAGGGCGGTGGAAGGAAGCTGAAGACCTGGAGGTGCAAGTGATGAAGGCAAGAAAGAGTGTGCTCGGCGACGAGCATCCTGACACGCTGACCAGCATGGCCAACCTAGCGTTAACATACTCAAACCAAGGGCGGTGGAAGGAGGCAGAAGAGTTAGAGGTAGAAGTGATAGAGGCAAGAAAGAGAGTGCTCGGCGACGAGCATCCCGACACGCTGACCAGCATGGCCAACCTAGCTTTGACGTACTCAAACCAAGGGCGGTGGAAGGAGGCTAAAGAGCTGTTTGAGCAAGTGATGGAGGCAAGAAAGAGTGTGCTCGGCGACAAGCATCCTGACACGCTGACCAGCATGGCCAACCTAGCTTTGACGTACTCAAACCAAGGGCGGTGGAAGGAGGCTAAAGAGCTGTTTGAGCAAGTGATGGAGGCAAGAAAGAGTGTGCTCGGCGACAAGCATCCTGACACGCTGACCAGCATGGCCAACCTAGCGTTAACATACTCAAACCAAGGGCGGTGGAAGGAGGCTAAAGAGCTGTTTGAGCAAGTAATGGAGGCAAGAAAGAGAGTGCTTGGCGACGAGCACCCAGACACGCTGACTAGCATGGCCAATCTAGCATCAACGTACTCAAACCAAGGGCGGTGGAAGGAGGCCAAAGAGCTAGAGGTGCAAGTGATGGAGACAAAAAGGAGAGAGCTTGGCGACGAGCATCCCGACACGCTAAACAGCATGGCCAACCTAGCGTTAACATACTCAAACCAAGGGCGGTGGAAGGAGGCAGAAGAGTTAGAGGTAGAAGTGATAGAGGCAAGAAAGAGAGAGCTTGGCGACGAGCATCCTGACACGCTGACTAGCATGGCTAAGCTAGCATCAACGTATATAAACCAAGAGCGGTGGAAGGAGGCCAAAGAGCTGGAGGTGCAAGTAATAGGGACAATAAAGAAGCAAGGGCGGTGGAAGGAAGCTGAAGACCTGGAGGTGCAAGTGATAAAGGCAAGAAAGAGTGTGCTTGGCGATGAGCATCCTGACACGCTAACCAGCATGGCTAACCTAGCGTCGACGTATATGAAACGAGGGCGGTGGGAGGAGGCCGAAGAGCTAAAGTTGCAAGTGATGAAGGCAAGGAAGAGGTCTTTGATCTGATAGGAACATGCTTCTAGCTGCCCAGGCAGGTTCCTGTCAATCGACACCCTTATATATGGTCGTCGCTAGATATAAGGAATAACTGGCGAGCAGGGGGCAGTAACACAGGCCGATGACGTTGCCTCAGCGATTTATGTAGAGTATAGAAGAGCACCATCACAGAGCTACTTCGTGTGTTCTCGGACGATGATCATAGTAACAGAAGCAAGGTGAAGACGACTGCCTCTACATGTCCAATACGCACTGTTGCATAGTTCGGCAGATGATAACAATGCAAAACTATCTTGCATCGAAGTGTATGATGACTCTATATAGTGACGGACGGTACCGGGAAGCCGAACAGCTGGACGTGCAAGTGATGGGGACTCGCAAGACGAAGCTGGGAGCGGACCATCCCGACACGCTGAACAGCATACACAATCTCGCCTTCACGCTGCAGTCACAAGCATGTCACGCGGAGGCTCTTGCACTAATAGAAAAATGCTTCCAATCGCGCCAGCAGGTCCTTGGCGAGCAACATCCCGACCCACTGTCGTCGTTTGACACGCTAAGTGGCTGGCGAGCGGAGTGCAGTAACAGAAACTCGTGACGTGGCCACTCTGTCTAATGTAGATTTAAAACCCAGATGCTATTGGTCAAATAAGGCAATTGTGGCTTCTAAAGGTATTTGATGATGTAGCGATAGCGTGTATCACGAGGACATTTCGCGAAGAAACTTAATTCGATTACTACAGCGAATCTACGCAAGGCGATAATAGATCTGTGCTAGGTGCGGGTATAAAGCATTTTGTCTGCAACGCGCATATGCACGACTGCACCAACAGCTGCCTGCAAAGTCGGGAATAAGAGCTTCCTGGGGCAGAGTGCTCAAAGCTGCAGTTCTCAGCCACAGCGCGCGGGGGCGGCACACAGATACCTGAGCACGCTACCGCACGCTACTGCATGCCAAGTACTACTAATCGCGCATATCCTGTGCGATGCGTTTTCACGAATTTGCCGTCTGCGCGGAGAAATTGCTGGGATGTATCCATGCTACCCTAAATCGATCTTTTGAGGTTGCGATCTTAATCTTTGCTATCTTGGCTTCTATCCCAGCCTACCGAGCTTTTCGCAGATATGTATAGTCTCGAATGAACAGGGGAGTGATAGAGGAGAGTCGGGGACAGCGTTAACAGAACGAGCGACAGCACGGTCAACGGCGCGCTTTTCAGCGTCGGAGATCGATATACTAGGAGAAAAAGAGCTACAGAGTAGATGCATATTGCACTTTTTTGTATTTGAGAACACTAGGAACAACCCGAGGGTCCAGAAGAGAAAGCGTCCCGTTACACCAGGCGTCCCGGCACGCGTAGATCGACATTACATCCTTTCCTCTTAATTTTTTACTCTACTCTTGTCTAAGCGGCCTTTAGCATTGCCTTGCACATATAACAATATCTCTCTTCTCTATCTTTGTCCTCCTCTTCTTGTCTTCCTACATCTATTCTGCATCTTTACATACTTTTAATTATTACATGCTTATTGCAGTAATATTACTAGAAAAGTAGGCTTGTTGCTATAGTTACGATAGGCCTTTAGGCAGCAGTAACTTGCGTTTGCGCCTACACACAATAGCAAATTTTAACTTAATATTATCTCTACTTCCTCTCTCTTCTATTCTCGCTCCTTATCTACACTTTTGTTGTAGCTCTTTTAACTTGTCTGTGTTATTGCTCTTTGTTTTTGCTTTTTACTACTCTACTGCATCTTCTCTTACTATGCCGCCTTGCTAGCCTTGCTTATCTAAGCCTCTCTCTAAAGCGGATAAAGTTCGCGCAAGCTAGCAGGCGGTCGCTGATGAAGACATAGACTCTATAGGCAATGGCTTCAACCTTCCTATTCCGCGGCCTGAAGGCCCTTTGTTCGACGAAGCTTTTAGTCTTCTATTTTCCTCTCGTCCTCGCCACGTCTTCACCTCCCTGCGCGGCCTAAGGCCTACTCAAGCCGGTGCCATTACTAAGCAGCCTGCCGAATCTACGCCTGACGACGGCGATGTTGATATGGCTGATGCAGGCTCTGTTTCGCTAACTGATGTCCTCCCGCAGTCCGAGACGCCTTCAGCAACTGCTTCGCACGCTCGCTTATCGCCTTCCATGTCCGCCGCCGATTCCTTCCCTTCTACCGCCTCGTCTTCCCGCGCTTCGCCAATACCACAAGATACTGAGATGACAGCTGAAGATGAGCTGATTGCCTTTCAGATGCTCGACGATGATAAGCGCGCTGAGCTGGATGAAACCGGCTCAGTTGCTTAGATATCTGAGAGTGTCCCTCAGTCCGTTGCTGAGTCTAAGGCTGAGCCTGAGGATGGTAATGCTGTTGTTAATAAGAGTACTCGCCCTCGCTATGTGCCCGGGCTAGATAGTGACATTAAGACGCTTCTATAGGTAGCTCCTAAGAGGGAGAGTGTTATGAGTGTATTAACTAAGATGAGTAAGTTGTTATCCTCTTTGCTAGTCTGAACATCCTTCTGACATCCTACTTTTTCTAGTTGTTGACAGTCGCTATGACGAGATTACTCTTGACTGGCTAGAGCGTCTGCGCGGTGCCATCGAGGATCTTTGCTACTATAGTTTAGTCTCTAGTCCTGTGCTTGTCCGCTGCGCTCTAGGAACCTTCAACAAGACTAGCCTATCCGATCGCATACTTCATCCGCCTGTAGACGTGTCTGATGACTAATTGACCGTCGAAGAGTTCTTTAGCCTGCGCAATAACCGTAACCGCAACATCTTTAAGCCTCGTGTCGCTGCGCTTATCTATTATTACCTTGATGGCACGGTTACTCTCGGCGTTGATTCCGCAGAGGCTGATAAATTTGATGTCAGTGTCGGCTTTATGTGTGGGAATTGCGCCCGCGGCCTCCCCCGGCCATTCAAGAGTTGCCGCCTTGCTGTTATTAACGGTCTGTTGTTCCTGCGCGGCACCTGTACGAACTGCTACGCTATAGGCTATGAGGCGACCTGTTCTTGCACTAGTAAGTTGCTGATCCCCGCTTAGACATCCGGTTTTCTTCTTTAGACATCTTCTAATCAGCTTCTGCCCTAGGGGAGTCTAAGATGTATAGATCTATTAAGCCACCCGCTACCTCCGCGCCCGCGCCTACTATTATTCCTCCTTTTGTCGTCCCTCCCCGTTCTCGCGCCGCTTGTCCTTCAGCTCTAGTACTGAACCCTCTAAATGCGCTGAAGTCCTATTATAAGGACAGTATCGCTTGGGGTACACTAGAGCCTAAGGAGATAGAGTCTGGTGATACTAAATTCAATCCCACGAAGAAGTTCCAGCGTCCTTATACTAGCGATCTAAAGCAAGGCTTAACTAAGGCTAATAAGCGTGAACTTCTTAAGCTTCTTAAGGATACTAAGAAGGAGATTATAGAAGCTCCTGAGAAGTCGCCTAAGAAGTTGCCTAAGAAGTCTCTTAAGAAGTCTCCTAAGACTCCTTCGCTGTGCAAGAAGGCTACGCTTTACAAGAAACAGACTTCGTCGCCGCGCGAGAAGGCCGCGCCTGCTGAACATCCTGTCTCGCCTGTGACCTTTAGCCGGTCTGACCGTCCTTCAGCTCGTGTCCCTTCGCCTCCTCGCACTAGTCACCTGTCCTATATTCCGCCTGCCGCCGCTAATAAGGCTCTAGGACTAAACAACTAGGATAGATCTAAGTCTGAGGAGTATTAGCTAGGCGCTGATAACGATAAGACTGAAGATAAGCCTTCCCTATCTAAGAAGCCTCGTCTCGACCGTTAGGAATGCGTCTGTGTTGTGAGCGCCGTAGTTGCTGCTTGTAGTCCTGATGTAGTTGTGTTAGTTTCTTCTTCTCTTCCTAGTGCTTTTAAATAGCCTTTCTAGGATCCTTCTATAGTTCTTTAGGTAGATTTAATACTTGTTTTTTCTAGATTTACTACTTCTTGTAGTTGTATTCGTGACGTCTAATCTCCTATCCTACAAATATTTTCCCTCTCTTTTAGATCTATTTTGACTTTTTTCTATTCTCTTATAGGGAACTTCTAATAGTCTTTTAAGTTGAACTTAGGCTATCTTGTTAGAACTACAGCTACTATTCTTTAGGTCTTCTTTGCCACTTTGTGAAGGTCTTCTTATTCTTCTAGGTTAATTAAAGAGTCCTTTGCAGCCTGCTCTACTCGCGCACTTCTCCTACTCAGCTTCTTTGCTGCTAATTCTAGTATATCCTGTCTGTACGCTAGGTAATCATCCCCTTCGCTTTCTAAGTGTTCCTTAGCTACTTTAGCTTCTCCTCTCTGCGACTAAGATTTAGGCGGTCTTAGTTAGTTCTTAATCTCTTCTAATTCTACTACTGTTCGCTAATAAAAAGCCTTTAGTCTATTCCTAGGCGTGTGCTAGCAGAATGTTGTGCTATTAAGATCTTCTAATTAGTACTATCCTTTCTCGTAAGTACTCTAGATTCTAAAAAGGCCTTTCTACTTTAAGAGAAACTTTGTAAGAACTAATTAGTTATTATTATAAAATAAGTCCCTTAGTAGCACTAGGTCTCTAACTAATAGCTTCTTAGGTTGCAATACTTTTGCATTGTTAAAGTACTCCTTATTCTCGTAGCGTAGTTAGACTGTCTAGTCTATTGCCTCCCTAAACCTCTTATCTCTTTAGTTAAACTAACGCGCTCTTATAGCTAGAAGTGTTAGGGTATTTCTAACTTCGCTCTATAGCAATGTTTGCTAGGTAGAGATAGAAAGTTTAATAAGTAGCACATGCTGCTAACTACATACTAGAAACGCTAGCGTCTTATTCGTTAATCTCTTAATTGTAGTGCAATCTGCCTATAGCACGTTGTGTAGATTGTCGACTTAGTTGCCCTAAAGCTTTTTTAGTGCAGCAACTATTAGCGCATATCCTCTCTTAATAAGTCCCTATCCTTAAGGATAGTAGGCGCTTAAGATAACTTTGTTAATTCCTTACTCCTTCTATAGGTCCTCTACAAGTTCTTTGTTCTCTAGACCTCTGTTAGTTAACATTTTAAGCAGTATTCCTTATCTGCAGCAGATGTCGTGCAATAAAAACTTCTAAACGCTCTTTAAATCGTTCTTTACTAGTGCTTTTGCCTTAACTTATTAAGATACATAGTCCCTTGCTACTACTAAGAACTGTTTGCTGTTTTAGCTAGGTGGTATATACACAACGTTAACTGTAATCTACCTAAAGAGTATATTAGGTAGCTTAGTTAGCTATAGGCTCTCTTGCACTGTTGCTAACGCGTGCGATTAGCACTCTAGGCATAATTAGACGTACTTCTTAACTTGCTTATACTGTCCTTTCTAGTAGTATCGCGTCTAGGCCTTCTGCTAAGTTCTTTCTCTACCTCTGTAGCTAGACTTGTTATAGAGAGATCTTATAATCTTATGTTGTTGTTTAAGGTTATTAACAACTCTTTGTAGTAGCCTGCCTCCTAAAGGAATTATAAACAAGTGCTGTTCCTAAACAGTTATTAGAAGAGCCTTTTTCTTAAACTTTTGTAGTTCTGCTGTAGTAAGGCCTTCTAGTCTTCTTCTAAACAACAGCTAGGCTGCAATAGCTTGTAATTAATCGCTATATTTAGGTTCTAATAGCCTATCGTTAAAGGATAAGTCCGCCTTGCACACACTGTATATTATAGCAGGAGTTTCCTTTGTTACTAGTTAAAGGGCGTTTAGGTGCGCGTCTATAAAGTCCTCTACATCTTCTTTAGGCTCTGTAGGCGGTTCCTATCCCTCTAGTTCTAGGCGTCTTAATAACGCGTTAGCTACTATATTCTTCTTCCTAGCTACATAGACTATATTAAAATCTTATATATTAAGTAATGCTAACTACTTTGTAATTAGGGCTCCTAGTAGATTAGTAGCACTGCGCTGTAACTAAGCAATAAGAGTCTTTGCGTTAGTTTCTACAATAAACCGCACTCTATAGATGTATAACTAGAACTTCTTTAACGCAAGAAGTAAGGCCTTACATTTATGCTTGCTTAAGTCCTAGTTGCGCTTAGTAGTAGACTAGACTCTGCTTTTGAACTTTATTAGGTGCTAATAGCTATTTAGACTAACTTGCATAATAACTGCTCTCTATCCTTTCTTGCTACTGTCACATGCTAGTATTATTTGTTGCAGTAGCTTGCTGTAATTGATAGAGACTAACGCAGGTGGGGATGTAAGAGCATGTTTAAGGTGCTCTATCGCTTGCTTCTCTACATTAGTCTATTTAAACAGCGCATTCTTGCGCAATAGCTTAAATAGGGGAGCTGCAATAATAGCAAATCTAAGGACCTATACGCGATAGTAGACGCATATGCTGATAAACATTTAGACGTCTTTAGCGTTCTTACAATCTAGCTAGTTAATAATCTTGTCGATCTTCTTCTTATCGGGGTGGCGGCTGTGCTCATCTATACAGTACCCTACTACTACTATAGATAGATAGCAGAAGTCAGATTTGTGACCTGAGATAGTTGCACCCGCACGCTTAATATCGGCTAGCACTTTGTCAATGTTTGAAAGGTGTTCAGCTACGAATTAGCGGATGCCTAGCTTAATTTCTTTGTCGTCGTACCTGTCCTTGGGCCCTTTTATGCACACGTCGTCTAGGTATAGCATACAGCGGTCTAGTATGTGTTCTCGACATATCTTAGTCATTACCCAGACAAATTCTGCAACTGAATTCGTCGTACCTATTAGGAGGGTACATTAGCGTACAAGACCCAGCGGGGTAGAGAACGCTGTTATGTCTCTAGAGTCCTTGTGCAACTCTACTTAGTCGTAGCTAGAGAAGAAGTTAAGTAAGCTTATGATAGCGCATCCCGCGAACTCTTCCGAAAACTTATCGAGATTGAGAGGCGGGTTCGCATCGCGGATAGTGACTCTATTAAGCTTCTAGGCGTTGTTAATTAGGCGATAGCCTTTGTCTTTCTTTGCAACAAGAAACTACAAGTTGCGATATTAGCTTTTACAAAGTTCTAACGTCCCTTGGTTAATGCGATCCTAGATTATGTTGATAACTACCTAGCAGAGCTTCCTTAGCACAGGGAATTGGTCTGCTCTCTATGCCTAATAGAGTACCGTGTTAATAACGACTAGCGGGATTACGTCTCTGCTAACTCTCCCGGATTCTCTGAAGTCCTATGCTAGGGCGGCTTCTCGTCTGTACAGCATCTCTAACAGCATTTCCTTCTCCTTAGGACAGAGGTCTGGTGATATCTTTATTTCCGATATGCGTTTAGAAGTCATTCTGGTCCCTCTAAGGAATGTCGCATATCTAGGTTCGAAGTACTGTTTGAAAGCTGCTGAATCGCTGTCCGCGTTAGGTCGCTGCTTCTCTGCCGCCCTCTCCTTCCAGTTAAGCCGTCCTTCGATTTCTCTAGTCGGCTGCCCTAAGTCATCAACTAGTTCGATCTTAACTCCCTTGCGCTTGTGTGCGCCGTTGACCTAAAAGTCGTTCGGTAAGATAGCGTCTTCGGGCCGATTTAGTGGAGCTGGGGCTACTGTTATAACCTCAATCAGCAATTGCTTGCCTTAATTGACACTAGTCAGGCTACATTGCCAAAACGTGTTTTCTGTATCCTTCGTAGTGTCTTCTGTGCGGGCAGCTTGTTTAATTTCTTGCATAACATAGTCTGATAGCCATTCACAGCTGTCTATAGCTATAACACATAGCCCCTCTTCATCTCTTATAATAATGCTACTATCAGCACCCTTGCCTATTGAATTACTGTTCTCCTATGAGATGTACTCTCCTCTCTTCCTCCTCTGTTTAGGCTTCCTCGGCTTCCACTCGCTGACCGGCTTTATCCCTAGCTGATCGTCCTTCAGTTCTTCTTCCCTTGCTTCCCCCACCTCGATCGACCCCACCGCACTGAACGCCGCACTTCCTGCCAGCCCTTCAGTCAGATACTAGAGTGTAGCACTAGCCACTACACTCCTACTCCTTTTCCCGACATAGGTCCAGCGTAGAGGTTAGGCTTTGATAGCCTGTTACTTCTAGCGCATGCGAATCAGGTGTTGTACTGTCCGTCTACACTAAAGATGCGGCAGTACGTGAGCCTATTCGTCGCGTATTCAATACGCGCCCGAGCGTCTGTCAGAAAAGGATTGCCCAAGATAATTAGGTTGGTGCAGGATTCGACAACGAAGAAGTTGGTACGGACTTCGACCTGTCCTATAACAATAGAGACTCCCTATACGATGCCCACAAAGCTTGCAGTGCTGCCATTAGCTGTAACCATCCGAGCGGCCTTCATACTGCCAGGTAGCGATGTGATAGGCAACATGGCTTTTTCCGCCGCCTCTCTCTTAATTGTGTTGAGCTCTGCACCCGAGTTAAGGAGTGCTAGGAAGGAGTTACCCTAGATATCAACGGGTACCTTTAGGCAGTCCCTGCGGAGATGTTTAATTCCTATAGCTCTGTCGTAAGGCTTTTGATTGTCCTTTAGGTGGCTGTAATCATCTTCCTCTAGCTCTTTATAGTCATTTCCTAGATCTGCGACTACGTGTTGTTAGATGTGACTAATCTCTAGATCCGTCCAGTGTTCAGCTTTGAGACTGTAGCATTCAACTACATAGCCTTCCTCCGCTTCTACTAGGACGTAGTCGGGAAGCGTGCTTAATGTAGCCAATGCGCTGATCTCTGTTCTGGCAGCCATGTAGGTCTTATCCTCTTCTGCTATCGTTGAATTGACCTCGAACTTCTCTAACTTATCTGCAGTGTAGCTTGCGCTAAAGAGGCTCTTGCGGACTTCTGGCATGTTACTAAGAAGCGTGCTAATCTGGAGTAGTACTGTCGTGTTGAGGATACTCTTGATGACTGAGCGCGCGTCCGGCTCTAGTTTGTCCACAATCTTCCTCTTCCTGGCTTGCTTGTCTTGGGAGTAGCTTTAGCTATCCACATTCTCCCTGCGGGGGTCATGAATGTTAGTCTCCTATTCTATAGCGCTGCCTAGTTCTCTGAATTAGACTATCCTATCTTTGTTAATATTCCTGTTGTTCGAAAGATGCTTAGACCTGTTCTTGTGTCCTTTTAAGTGGGGAATATGTTTATTGCTCAGCCTACGCAGGATAGTTTTCTGCGATTGCTTCTAAACCTTAGATTGTTTATAGCCTAGGTAAGACTTCTGTTCCGCAGGGACTCTAGCAATTGTAGCAGCAGCAAGAGTGTTGTTGTTGCACTCGCTAAGGCTAGTTATCTTTAGTCTAAAGTCTAACTCGTTTTCTGCAAAGATACTAGATAACTTCTAAAATTAGTTAACCTTATCCTCTTGCAAGCTTCTTATTAAGTCTAGTATTAGTTAAACTAATATAGCGTTGTTCTCTACTGTTGCTATTGCGGGCTTCTCCTTAAAAGGCGAGGAGACTGTTAAAGGATTAATGTTTTGTTTAAGCTATCTTCGCTTAATTTAGGCTAAAATGTTCTTAGCCTAGAGTTGCTAGCTAAGTTGCAATACTCTTCCTTGTAGATTATCCTCTGTACCCTATTAGAGCATAGATTAGTTATTAAGATGTACTTAACCTTTGTTAATAAACGCTCTTAGTGTAGGGCAGTTGTTCTTCCTGTAGCTAGACTTGTTGCACACTTAATAGTTTATTGCTACGTTAAAAGATTGTGCTTAACTATTATCCTAGCTATATTAAGGCGCTTAGTTCTAGTACCTCTAGGCGTTGTTACTAAACGTTTAACCTCTGTAAGTCTAATTACTATTCTGTTAATAACTATTATACTGTTAATTACGATGCTAACTTAGCTACTGCGAGTTTCTTCTATCCTAGCTAGGGAATGCAGGTGCGTTGTTTACTTTATTATTAGTTCTCTAGTTTACCTCTACTTAGATTGTAGAGTTATTTATTAGCTTAGTTTTACGCAGTATCTACTAAATCTTCTATAGTTTAAGCTCTAAGCTAGCCTAATTAATCTTTAGGTTAAGTATTTTATTAACTAAGTTATCTACTTCTATATTAGTAGGGGCCTTTCTAGGAGGTAACTAAGTTAACTAATACTTATAATAAAAGTCTTGTAATAAGATATTTAGTTTTTAAGGTTAAAAAGCATAGTTTTGCGTAGTTAGCTAGTTATAGATAGCAGATAAAGTATATTAAATAGTTGTTAGGAGAATAAATTTAGTTTCTAAAGTAATCTCCTTAATAGCCTCTAAGGAGTTAAGCATGCGTGCTTCTTCTTCTAGCTCTAGGCGAATAGTAAGGTATTTACTAATCTTCTTATAATTAAATACCTTTAGGTTATTTATTCTAAGAGAGAATCTCTTAAAGATTTTAGTAGCGTGTCTAAAAGGCAATCTCTTTACTAAGTAGTAACTATAGCAGTCTTTATTAATAGTAGCTGCTTTAATACAACGCTTGCTACAGATCTAAAACTCTTGCAAGTACTCTTTAATATTTAGGTTAGAGCAAGCTTAGCATTAAATAAGCTAGTGTTTAAAGTACTCTACTCTTACTTCTTGCTAGCTCCTGTTATTAGACTTAAAGAGCTTTCTAAGTACTTTACAGAAGTCTTTCTAGAATTTGTTTACAAGCGCATTAGCGTAGGCATTTGAGGACTAAATAATAAGCTACTGCTTAGGCTTGCAATAGGCTAAAATGTAGTTAGTTATTACTTTGTCCGCAAACTTATAGTAGTTGCTTATATCTTTAAAGCGCTTAAAGAAGACAGTAACATTAGTACTATTAAAGACTAGTACTGTCTCTGCAGGGTAAGGTAGGAGCTAAGTAGCAACTATTAGGTTATAACTTCTAATATAATAAAGAGACGCTGCTATTATCTAGAAGATCTTTATTATATTATTGCGCTTAGACTAGGTCTAAAGAAGCTCCTAGGCAGTAAAACTATCTAAGGTAACTTCTTAGGTTCCTAAGTCCTTTAGCAATATTATAGCGTAAGTTAATTAGTTAGACTACTTTGTCTTACGCAGTACTGTGCTCTAATCTACGTTCTAAGTATTTTTAGGCAGTTGTTTAGCAATTAATTAGTGTCTTTTATCTAACTTAGTCCTTGCTTAGTTCTTGCTTATTTGCGTAACGTGTGCAATAAGTACAGCAAGAAGTACAATAAGAAGCTTAATTGCTATGTAGGCTAATAATCGCAATTAACTATCTACTTGCTTTTGTGTCTAATTCTCTTTTAGAAGAGCGACTGTCTATCTTCTTATATAGCTTAATATATCTTCTAGTACTAAATTGTTCTAGATATCCTCTAAACTATTTAAGTTTAGAGTTTCTTTTATTAGTATTGTGTTATCTATTATTTCTTTACTCTACTGTAGAGGATATATTAGTTAGCATATCT